ACTTCAGTTACCAACCGAGTTAGCCTGCCGGCTAGAGCCACTGTGCATGTTCCTAGCTGGCTAGCATGTTAGCAGTTAACTGGCCAGCTACAGTAGTTTTGTTTTTGGGCATTCGCCTTCATTTATAGCGATAATAGATAATAGAACGTAAAGAGAGACGGGGGGTCACAGGCCAGAATTGAAACAAGGTCAATCCAATTAGGCAAATTATTATATTAATTATAATGCAAATCATTTGTTTTTTGGCCACTAGGGGGCAGAATAACTCCAAAACAAACTTGATGACTGATGGGATACACCTTAGTGTGTTGGTACAGCTAACATGTTAGCCAACATTTGTGTATTTACACATTCAGAAGACACAAAGCAACATTATCATTCCAAGAAGAAAGAACCAAAGCTTTTTTGCCTTTATTGGATCGGACTCAAGAGCGAGAGTGGATGACGCAGCAAAGGGCCACAGGTCGGATCTGAAACCCGTGACCACTGCAGCGAGGACTCAAAGATTATCACCTTCAAATCAACAGCTGAAACACCTGTAAGAAATATTGTGGGCGATACTCTATTTACCAAACTTATGTTTTGCTGTGATTTAGTTCAGGGTTATTTTTATTTCCCTGTAAAAGGAGCAAAGAGCACTCGACAAAAACTCTCCTCTAAACTAATCTTGTGTTGTGATACCACTTAGTCATCTATGAGACGTCTGTCGATGAGGAGCATTTCAAAACACTTGAACCGTGTGGCACGCGCTCTGCTGTTCTCCAGGAAAACCGACAGCTTGACAGGATCACTCCGAACTGTTAAGGAGGCAGAATAGATGCTCTTAACCTCCCACGGCTCTTAAAGACATCTCAAGCAGCTATGCACACCCACACAGGCTGCGCACACACGCACATGCAGAGGCACACACTGACACTAACTGCTGAAACACACGAAGAAGTTTTCATCTTTTATACATCTGTAAATACACAGATATGCATGAGTGTATTTATGGCAAACAAGACGTATCCATCTCATCTGTCATCTTATCTCATTGACCCTCCACCTTCTACAGCTACAGCCATAAATTAGACCCTTAAAGGGATTTATATTCAACATACTGGGAAATACAGTTTATTTCCCAGAGCGAGGTTAGGTTACGGAGCTGGAGTCAGGACGCGGTTAGCCTGGATTAGCATAATGACTGGAAGCAGGGAGAAACAACAAGCCTGGCTCTGTCCGAAGTCCATAAATACACCTCTAAAGCTCACTAATTAACACATGTCTCATTTGGTTAACCAGTACATAAACTGCACTGTAAAATCTGCAGTTTGTGATTTTATGGGGATGAAAATGTTGAACTATTCCTTTAAAGCAGTGGTCGCCAAAGCTTTGTGATGGGTTGTGAGATTTTAAGGGGTGTAGGAAAAATATACACAGCAGGCTTATATCTCAGCATTTGGTTCACTTCTGTGAAGAAATCTAAATTTAAATGTAGAGTAAATTGTCTAATAGAACAATGGCCAAGTAAATACTAAATTTGTCCACAAAAAAAAGCCTATTAAGTCTGTATGATTATTAAAAATGACTTAAAATACATAACACAGACAGAGAATTGTATAAAAAGTTCCCTAAACAGGAAATAATCTGCTCAGAATTCATCCAAATCACTTGTTTTACACAAACTCCCTGCAGTTACTGAGTTCACTGTTTTGGTTCATTGTACAGTTTTGAATATAATATGAAATATCCATAAAATATGTCACTTAATCAGCGCTTGTCAGTTTAAGACACGATAGAAAAAAGGGTCCCTTAAGGACAAAGGTTGGGAACCACTGCTTTAAAGGACCATGCTGCTGATTTTTGTGTGTTGTTAAAATAGCTCCTTTCTAACCAAAGTTGCAAAGCGCTTTACAGTAAAACCACAGATGAAAACAGAGAAAAACAGCAGAATTGTGCTAAATTAATAAGATGAAAATATGAAATAGTACAGAAAATAGTACAGTACAAAACCCACAGAACATTAAATATAAAAATAACAAAGGTTAACTAAAGTAACTTTTAATATGAAAGAAACTTCTGTTCCTGTTCCTCAGCGGGAGTAAGTTTGTGATTTAGATGAATCAACTCTTTAAAGGATGCGACTTCATAATGAACCCTTTTTAAAACATCCATATTTGTGTGTTTGTGCTGTTTTATTTATCAAGTTCATACAAACAGTGCATTTAAAAGTGCTGCTGCTGAAGTGAGAAACTGTAAAATGTCCTTACTTCTGAGACTTTTCTCCATTTTTCTATCCTTAAGAGGAAATGATGGTGTTCATGCCCCTGAATACATCGACTCACACCGGTCCTGTAAAGGGAAATCATCAGTGCAGGATGTTTTTTCCACAGAGGCCCAGACTGTTTATGTCGTGCTGTATGAAATATATAAGACTCCTCCAGCTTTACGTGATACACACGGCATATCAGACATCCTGCCACCACCACCACCACCTCATACTGTAAATCCCCTCGGGAGCCAATCACGCTGAAGCCTTTCACATTTACCCATAATGCAGGCGTCATGAAGATGGAGCAGCAGCGTGGAGAAGGAGTCGACGAGATATGAGCTCTGAGACCGTCCAAACGGCGCTGTCCATCCCCGCCGTGAAAACTGAAAAAAATCTGAGGGGAAATCATGTGTTGCGCTCCAGTGCCGCAACTTTCCTCATCCCATCTGGCCTCCTCCTCCACACATTGTTAGCTTCAAAAGAACCTCTTGGTCCCGTTAGCCAGAAATCACTTATGAGGGTTGTTTGAAATTGCAAAAAAGCTTTCCCTCTGTCTTCTGTTTCAAACAATGCACCAAAGCAGGCCTTTCTTTCCTCTGAACACCGCACATTGTGTGGGCTTTCTGTGCACATCTCTCCGTGGACGATGAGGAGAAGAAAGCAACAAAACAAAAAAAAAAAGCAATCTGAGGCAAAGTGAGCATTTGTTGGCTCGGTGAGAGACCCTGAAAATAACGCACACACACACACACACACACACATATCGACTCCCACAATTCTCTCACATGAAGCATCTGACAGAAACATGCACTCTACATCCCTGGTATTTACCTCCCCTCCAGCCAGGGAAGCTATTATTGCTGCATATGTCATTACATGTTTCATTTGGAACAGTGTCAGTAAGATTGGTTTCATTACCTGGTATCACAAGCCTGCTGAACACTGCATAAACTCTAATGGTCTGGTCCAACACTATTCATTATTTATTCAATACATTTGTGTGTTTTTTCCCCCCCTTGGGGAGCGACGTTACATATAATCAGTCAATAATGGGGTTTGCGGTCACCTTCACAGCATGAAAACAAATACTATGACTCTAATAATGTCCTTTTTTGACTATTAATTCAATATATTGAGGATAAATTTTTTTAGCACTGTGCTTTCATGTTTTAGCTGACACAGTCAGAAACAGGTCTGAGAGTCCACAGCGGCTTTGTGACGCTGTACAGCACAGTGATACGTTTAGCTAAATCAGCACGCAAACATGCTGACAGTGACAACGCTAGCAGGTGGAATCACGTGTGAACCTATCGTGACGTCACCCACGTCTGGAGTACGTAAGGTAGCTCCGCCCTAAAACATACCCTGCTTTATGGTCTATTTTACTCTAAATGGGACTATAATTTACTAAATGAACATCATGCTGTATGGAAGAAGACTTGAAACTAGAGATTGAGACCATAAACTTATTATGAAACGGTTTACTGAGCTCATAAATCAAGTGAGAAGTCGGCTCTATCGTCATAAGAATCCATTCCCAGTAGCTTGCTGGTAGTTTAATTTCAAGTTTAACTTCATTTTTGTGTCGTCAACGACTGGCTAACACTAACAATTTTAGGCCATGAAAGGAATGACTTTTTCATTTTAATCATTTCTCTACGGTAACTGAACCCCCTTTAACCAGCCTCATACCATTTTCTCTCATCCTGACCGCTGTGAGCATGCCTAGGCAACGCATTCATCAGGCAGCAACCACCACACACTAGACCTTTGTGTAGTGCATGTGCAAAAGGGCGGGCGCTGCTCAGTGCTCACACAGCGACGGCGTCATCACGGATAACCCGATGAGTCTCCGTGGTCATACTTGAGCATAACACTGACTACCCTCCAGCACTCTCAGCTTCATGGTGGCACGACAGGAAACGTAGGAAAAGTAGAAGTCATACTCTGGGGACTGCAAATATTTCATCCAGTAGTTTAGAGTCACACTACAAGCATAGCTTTATCACAAGACATGAAACCATGTGAAACTGCTTTGAAACCAGTAAAGCTACCAGCCTTATTAAGACAAGCTACAGGCCTACTCTGTTATCAAAAGGTCACAGGTTTGATCCCCCAGAAAACAGTCTTCAGACTCACCTGAACACAAACACCCACTGAAAGTCATTCTAGATAAGAGTGTCAGTTTAAAAAGGTCTTATGCAAATATGTGATCACAGCGGCATGTTTAATGAATTATGTGCAAACCAGAGATGAAAGCTGTCAGATGTTCACCTAAAAGGTGGAACTGGTTATAATGGACAAGAGGAAGATGGAGCAGTATCCACCTTTAAGGAAAGAACATGACAGACTGCATGAGGTTTCATTATCTTACCTCCAAACTGTCCTATATCAACTTTTATATAAAATATTTCCATTTAAATTCAGCTTATCAAAGACTACTTTGAACATTTTCCTGTAGCATTTGCATTATTTATACATGTTTATTATTCTGAGTCAAAAAATAAAAGCTGAATTTTGACATTTATCATCTGATGGGTTGTGTAGTTCATGTAGAAATACTTCCACCTAGTGTACAAACGCAATTACTGCATCTTTTAACCACAATTTTACACCAGAAACATTAAAAGCTGGAAGTGCAGGTGCAAAAAGAGAAAACAAACAAGGACTATCATAAATCTGTGTTTATTATGTTAATAAATAGTGAACATAGTGATTTATTATACAATTCATTTACGTGGAAATAATTTAAATTAAGTGTACAACTTTTTTTTAATAAAAAAACAAAGTGTTTTTCACTTTGTTAAATTGTGCTCATGTGCAAATCAGCATCTTGTGTCTTTTCTACGACTTCCTGTGGAGAGAAAGACAAATTAAACAGTTGCAACTTCATCTCTCCATATTCATCATTACATACCCTTTAAATCTGACCTGAAATTTCATACACTGGATCTGTTTGCCACATAATGATGGATGCAGGAGGAAAAATATATATTTAAGATATCCTCCAAAAGTACCAAAGTTTAAAAACTACATCAGGTGGTGTATTACTGGGTGAACAGAGCCATGTTTATGAGAGTCGTGTCATTAAAAGGCAAAAATAGGTATGTCAATCTATAATAAATGTAAAGTGACAAATACATTTTTAAAGAAATAACAATATGTACATGAGTCTTAACATTGCTAATCTTATAGTTGCACAATTCCTTATCATGAAGCTGCTAGTAGGGGTAAGAAAGCTTTCACTGGGTGGAAATTCAACATTTTGTCTTTCAAAGCAGAAAGGGGAATAAAATCACAAGTTCTGCCAAGTTTTTCTTAAAGTGAGCAGAGGACAAATGTTATTTTACTTTTTTAAGCATACAGACATTGTTCTGTTCTATAAAATACTTTGATATTTATGTTTTTTAATTTACATTTTTGGTTTTGAGGTAATGCAAAAGAAGCTAATCAAGTTACATTAGTTTAATGTTGTCATACTTTGATTAGGTTACGGACTACATTTTTTAACAGGTAATTAGTAATTTTATTGGATTACATGGGAGGCACTTCTTCCAAGCCTTTTGTGTCCCTCGTGTCAATTTACACCTGTATTTGTGTACATACAAGCGTTCAAAGGCTCTTTTATCCTGTGTAAATCTGGATTTAAATGACTCGTGTTGTGCTGGCGTTAGAGCACAGTAAAGTGAAAAGCTGAAAGCAAACCTTGTGATTGTGGTTGTGATTTCTTGTGTTTATTCAAGTGCTGTGATCTGGCTTCATTCTTGGAGCTGTCAGGGTTAGGCATCATCGCTTTCCATGACTTCTCTGTCGGACGATGCAGTTACAGAGAAAAGGTTAGTGAGTTACAGAACAGCATGTTAAGGGTTAATTTGTCCTGATATAAAAAGAGAAAACCATTCGCTTACCTGTTTGCCACCTGTGTGGCAGGTAAATCTGATCCATGTTCCTCCATTTGTCCTGAAGGGAAATCGGCACTGCACGGTTCTCATCCATTTCTCGGATGGCGTTGCCGTGGGGACAGTGGTGCAGCCTCTCCCATCCAACAGACTGATGCTGTGGCTCATTACACATACAGTTCTTCTCCCTCAGCTTTGGGTATGTTGCTGGAGGATATTTCTCCAAGTTTTGTTTGGAGGCCAGCGGCCTCTTGAGATCGTTGAGCCTCCTGGGATCATCAACTGCCCTCCATTTTGACCCCGTGCGACATGAGCTGTTCTCAGAAGATTCTCCCTCAGTGTCATTTCCATGAGGATGGCCACGAACATCAGGACTGGAACCTGTCTTCATCGGTTGTTTCTTGGAGTGAGATTTACAGGCTTCACATGTCGGTAAGAGTGCGTCATTCCTTTGTTGGAAAGGAACAGCTTTTCTTTTTAAGGTCCGACCTTCGAGTCCTGGACTGGCGGAGGAGCAGATCCTGCGCTTTGTCAGACATCTGGTGCAAAGTCGTTCCCTCTTCGGTGCATAAGGGGCGAATGCGTTCTCATTGAAATTTCTGCTAAGGCAGCATTCGTGGTCAGAGAAGCTTCGCCGATCCACCTTGCCTTTGGGTTTGTATCTCTCCTTTGGCTTGCGAACCGTAGGTGGTTCCTTGAACTCTAGGTCTAGTTTTCTTCTTCTGGAAGGCACATCTAAGCCACGGCTGTTCAGAGGTCTGTTGTGCTTCTTGGGAGTCGGCGGCAACTTGCTACAATAGTAGACATTGTCAAAATCAGCTAGCCAGCTGGTTGAGGGAAGGTAGGCAGGCAATGATTCGAATGAAGTGTCTTGGTGATCCTGAACATTCGTGTCTCGTCTATGTTGGTTTCTATCTGCCTTAAGAGGGGAATTATCCAACAGCAGCAAATAAGGTGCATGGGCCACCACTGCTGTGTGCGTCATCTCAGTTACAGGACTTTCCTCTGCAACGTCCATCATATGGCACCTATTAGCTTCAGACACCATCTCATCCCCTGGACCCTCTACAGTGGGGACCATGTCCTCCAGTTCATCTTCTGTCAGAGGAGGTAACTCAATCATGGGGACAACCTCTTCTGCAAGAGTCTCTCTCATCATCAGCACATCTGTTGAAGGTACTTCAGCAGCCAGTATTTCATCAAGAGACTCTGTGTGGCTTTGAATCAGCGATTCAGGGGAGGAAATCAAAGTTTCCCCCATTGACCAGACTGTAGACTCCATCTTCCTCAGCTCATCCAGGTACTTGGGATCAAAGGGCAGGTGAACAACTTTGAAGTGAAAATTCTTGGATGTCATATTGAAATCTTTCTCACTGCTCGTCTCCTGAACATCTTCATGAGGTGCTGATCGGGAAACAAAGTTTGAGGCAACAGTCGCAGAGTCTGTCTGGTTCCTGGACTCCTCTGGAGCAGGGATCTTCTCACCACTGCTGGGATTCCCGACTAACAGGATGTCAGGACAAGCTTGGAGGGCCTGCTCTGACTGTTCTGCAGGAAGGTGCAGTTCCTCGTCCTGCAGCACATGACCCTGGAAGGTGGAGCTACACTGGACCACATCTTGGGAAAAGCTGTGGGATACTTCTGCAGTCTCATGAGAGTGCAGGAGTTGTAGTCCCACCGGTGTGGTGCAGCATTCAATCCTCACCTCCTCTGTCTGAATCACAAAGCTGGAATTTGGTGGCGTCCTGGTTGAAGAAGAGGGCACCATGTCCTTTAGCTCCAGAGATTGATCCCCCTTCTGTACAGCCAGAGCTGGTGAGAGTGGCTGACTGGTGGGGCTACCAGGGCTGTTGTTGCTGCGGACTGGGAGGCCACGAGAGGCCTCAACATCGCTGGAACCTGGGGTGCTAGTCCTCTGGGTTGCCAACAGTGGCTCGGTTTGAACCTCAGAGCTGGTCATTTCTCTGGTCTGGCTGTTGTGTTGGTAGCGGAACCTGCGGGAGTGGTACGCCATGGTCTGGTAATACTGAGGGTTGAGCATGCGTCTGTAGTCCATCAAGTGGAGGTGGGTATGGGGTACAACAAAGCCAGGGGGCTCCATGTACGGATTTGGCTGATAATTGGGCATCACTGGCATGCCATAACCTTTAATAAAAGACAAAAAGCACATCTTATTAAACATTTAAGATTTTTAAAGTCACACTAAAGTAGAGTTCTGCTACCCAACTCAACAAGTATTTCAGATTAAACTGCTGCATAACCCTTCTGGCTTAGGTTTGGTCATTTATCAATGCAATTTATCAAGAATTCCCTCACATTTCTTTGTGTCTCTGAGCTAAAAGAGGGGAAGAGGGACAATATATTGCATTAGCCTGGCGAGCAATGGATGAAATAAAGCATAAAATATAGGGCAGCTTTTGGTTTCTGAGCCTGTGTGAACCTAAGTGCCAATTAGGTTGAGTTAGGTTACAAACAGTTAAAGCTCTAGTCTCAGTTTAAGGCCTGTGCAAAACTTTACACCAAGAGAAATTAATGGCGTCACTTCAACAGCAAAATAAGATACAAAAATAATAGTTTAAAATAACACTACACTGCAGCCACATATCAGTTCTGTGAGGATGTATTTAGGCACAGTGGGGATTTTAACTAAAAACATCATCATGCTAACATGCTAAGATGCTGCTGTTTGATCTAGTCATTTTTCTAAATAGCATGAAAAAACATTGTACAAGTACATAAAAATAACAAGTTGCAGTTTATATAATTTGTGATATAAGCAACAGTATTCAGAATACACAAGATAAGTATTTTCAGGGAATTTTCACCCTTGAAATCCACCAAATAGACACAGATGTCGGATTAATGGCCCTTACCTAAACCAGGGTAGCCATAATATGGGTTGTAGGACACGGGCATGGGCACTGGCACAGGCCACTGTAGACTCTGCATGGGCAGGTATGGCTGCGAGGGTTGTATGTAGAAGAATGGTTTATGGTGCTGCTGGTGCTGCTCCTCAGGACGTTGTCCTCCAGAAGGCCCTGGAGCCGGCTGATGGGGCCCCTGGCCCTGCTGAGCTCCATATGCTGGGTTCGGACCCCGAGGGCCCAGACCGAAAGTGTGTTGCATGGTAGATGTGGCTGCCTCCATATCTGACAAAGAGACGAGAAGCTAGTTGAAATAGTTATTTTGGTCTTTGTTGGCAAAATAGCTGCAAGAGATTGTTTAAGAGAATTCTCTGACAACAAAACACTCACTGAACAAATAGAAGATTACCACTAACAAACCAACATGGCTTTCAAGGTACGTTTTAAATCGGAAATCAAAGGTGTGGACTCATGATACACGGTAGCTTGTCAAATGCTGCACTGATTGGCTAGGTTTTTGTTCCAGGTGACATTGGTCCAATTAGAGTTTAATGAGCTTCTTTTAAAGCCAATGAATGTTTCCCACTGATTACCTCCCACTGTGGTGCATCAACTCACCTGAGGATAGGTAGACAATCGATCAGAGATAGGTGAAAGAGCAGGGTTGGCTTTAATTAAGGACTACAGACCTGCAGCTTGTCAGAACCACTGGCACAGGTCACAGGTACGTGGCTCAAAGTGGTGCATCCTCTCCTTTTCAGCATCTTTGTGAAGCTCAGGGGTTATTTTCTTGAAGACCGCCTCATTTGCAGGTGAGCAGAGCGAAAGATTCTCTAAAATGTAAGGCACATATTCAACACAGCCTGTGTTGAGATGCAGGTTTGACCCCTGAAGAGCCAATTAGGAGGTTAGATGATAGCTTGTTTGGTAGCCTGGAGCAGTATTTATAGACAGTATTATCTGTGAAGAATAAACATGCTCTGTTTGAGACTGATTTTAAATCTTTGCTGCTGTTTAAAGAGGTTTTCTGGTGGGTGTGCTTTCAGGATGGAGCCATGATATCTACTTTTGCTGGTCATATTGGTCAGAGGAGAAGACGTTTTGTCATAAAACCATAAAGAATGATTAGCTGTAGTGTACAAAAACATGTTTAAAACATCCATTGATGATTAACTGATTAATTGTTTGGTCTCTCAAATGTACAGTGTACAGTGAAAAAGGCCAAATGCAATTTCTTTCTTTTTTTAACCCAAATATATTCAATTTTCAATAATGTAAAACAGAAACATTGACACATTTGAGTGTCACAAAACAATAAAATAAAAAAAAATTACTTAAATGATTAATTTCCTCTCAAACGACCAATCCATTAAAGCATCTAATGAAACAGTTCAAGTAAGGTTAGCCAGAGGGGTGTAAGGGACGTTTGACCAACTTTACAGGAGAGAAACAAAACAAAGATCAAACTTTCTTCTGACTTTATTCAATTCAATCTTAATATTAAAACTTGTGGAAGAAAACATCATGAACAATATTGACATTTATTGCACTTTTGGTCCCCTGGAGAGTGTTCAGGGCTTTGTTGTTGGTGTTTGATTAGTAACTCCTTTTGATTGGTTTAAATTTGATCACTGTCACCCAAAATGTCACCTAGACATCGGAATAACTCACATTATCCCTCATTATACAAAAGTGTAAATCTGAGCACAATGTGAACAGCTGTTAAGATGTTATAATATAAAAATGATTCAACACAACGTTTAAATAATGACAATATTTTATTGGACTGGCCCCAAACAGTGGCACACCATCATCTGCAACACAACCTTTTCAGCCCATTTGCCTGTTTGTGAAATTCATAAATCATGAATAGTGCACGGCAGTGTCACTGCAGAAACTTTATACATTCCTTTTACCATTTTTTTTTTTTACTTTTATCTAACATAAAGAGGCTTTCTGTGCAGTGCATTTCACCTGGTGCTCTAAATATTAAATTACATTATCCTGGAACAAATACACCTTTTGGGGGGGACCTGAGGAGGAAAGAAAACATTTAGTTAAAAGTGGATTTTTGACGAGAGAGAAGTTTGAACATATTGAAAAGTGTGTGTGAACTGATCCCCTGTAGAGTTAATGTTTCATCTTCTTCACCTACAGTTCAACACGTTTTGTTCGAAAGTCAATCCGGGGGCATCAACATCTTGGTTCTCCTCTCACGGTAGAGCCTGACAAAGAATAAAATCACATTCAGAGAAATGAAAGCAAGGTCAGAGATAACAATGTCCCTTGTTTGCCAAAGTTAGGCATTCTGGGTATTTATCCAAGTGATTTTATTGCTAAGAAGAGCGACAAACCACCCATGTCCCAAGCAAGCTAAGAGAGCAATAGCTACACGACGGAAAGACGTCAAGTATGGATCAGTATATTAAGGATCTATCATCATGTGTCGCTATGGAAAAATTAAATCTCTTAAGGAAAGCTGGAGTTTTATGATACAGTAATGATCAATAAATAAAGAGACTGAGGTAGCTGCAATTACTGTATCATCTGTATATTTACCTGTATTTTAATAACTGTTTTTGTTTACTTGCCTTTTCATTTGATGATATATTGTATCTGCTGCCGAGACTGAGCATTAAAATAAAAAAATAAAAAAAATTACAATGATCAGATATTAACCTCTCTCCCAGTGTAATGGTGGCGGCTCATCGTCATCATTGTCCTCGTCTCTTGGCCTGTGGTACATCACTTTCCTCTGAGTGCTCATCTCTATAGAATAAAATAGCAGAGACACAACAATGAAAAGTTATCTGTAATTTGAAGAATGAATTAAAAAGGGAAGAGAAGAAGCATGTGTTATATACAATTTGAAAATGGAAACTGAAACTCTTGTGAGCAGTTTCTTTCAACCGAACTACACCTGCTACATCACAGTCTGTGTGTTATCTTTTATAAAGAGGTCCTGATTTATAAGAGACATTTCTGTTGAGTCTTTCAAAAGTATTTTTTTGGCACCACAAGCCGACGGCCGTCTGGTTCCGTGATATTGGAGAGTCGGCAGACATCTCTACGGCCATTATCTCCAATATTCAGCAACTCACACCAAAACAATCTAGGTGGATTAAGAGCACTACAGGTATGAGGTTAAATGTGTTTGATTTTGGGTTTTAAAGCTGTAAAGTTATAAATTACATCTTCGGACAGATTTCTAACAAAATTTAACTGAATTCATAGGTGTGAGTCATGCTGTATTACAAAAACAGTAGCTTGTTCACAAATTAACTATTTTCTACAGGAAAAAAAAACAGTTTGAGCAATAAACTATGAATCATTTTGTGGCTTAAATTCAGTCACTCAACATAAATATAGTGCAATAAGTACTGCAGCCATTTTTTGGGACCTTTGCTGAGATAATCTTTGGAGCTGGTAGCTGGTTGAATATTGTGCTCACAACTTTAGACTCTGTGGTTCCATCTCAGCATTTCACAAACATTAAAAAAAAGGGGTAAATTAATACGTTTTGGAACAAAACTGCTCTAACTTGGCTGCAAAATTCTAATTATGCTGCACAAGCTGTTTGGGCAGATTGATTAAGACATGCAAAATGATGAGCCGAGTAAACTTTTGTTAGTTTAGGAAACTTTGTTCGAGCGGCTAAATTCAACCTTGTCGTTGAAGAGGGGTTGCTTGTCTCCTCCTGGGAATCACGTCACCGTCTCCCCACCTGCCCTGGTCGGACGTGGTCACATCTTCTCTGCAGAGTCTGTCTACAGAAGAGCTCACACATTCAGCACATGACTCGAACACGATAACACAATTAAAACACATATCTAGGATAGAAGTCGACTGAAGACGTCAAAGAAAAGACATTTGTGGCAGAGACTTACCCTGGCATGTTCTGCACTGCAGCTCACTACTAGTCAACTCTCCAATCTCGCCATCGGCTGGCTCCTGCTGACAAAGATCATGACCTTCCTCCTGGTTGACCGGCTCTACTGGATCTTTGTACTGGCCTCTTTTATACCAAGGTTTTGCAGCATGTCTCAGTGGGGCAGAATGGGGCTTCCTGGGCGCAGTGTGCTTCCTCACAACCACTCTGACGGGCTGCTCACACCCTCTTCCATATCGGCTTTCCTCCTCGGAGTCTCCGGCTTCATCCCTGTACATCTTGGAGGTGTGGACTTTGCTCCTGCTCACCCCTTTAGCGAGGCTTTTCCCACAGCAGGCGCACATGAACCTCTTTGAACCAGGTGGCCACACAGGTTCTGCTTCTTCGGCAGCCTGCGGAGACCCGCCTACGACTTCTGCAAGCCTCCTGCCTGTATACACGCGTTTCGGGAAGAGATCCGTATCGTCCAGGTCTGTGGAGAACATCTCGTCTCTGGAGGAAAGCTCGTCCAGCGACGGACTGAGCACGCTCATCCGCTCATGGGTGGTGTGCATGACGGGGTAGTTGTAGAAGTAGGGCGCAGCGGGGGAAGAGAGGTGGCCGACTGCAGCATCTCCAGGGGTCAAAACCCTCTCGAAGGGCAGCTTGAGGATCTGGTAGTTTTGATCGGCTTTCTGATGTTCTGGTTTTGAGGCTTTTTCACCACTTTTGGTGTCTCGGAGCGCTGGCTGGCAGGCGGTAAAGGAAGATGGCACTGATGGGGTTAAAGGCAGGGTTGGATCCCCTCTTTGCTTCTGGAGCTCTTCAGTATGGCATTTGGGAACGCTTGGATCGGTCACCGAGGTATCTGACTGGATATCCGTGGCCTCCGCTTTTTCAAGAGCGAGGAAGCGTTCATCTGCTGCGGGCTGCTCAAGCTCAGAGCACTCTTCGTGAACAGAGGAGGTGTCGAGAGGCAACTCCTCTTCCAGTCCTCCTGACCAACATTCCTGAGGGCTCAGGCCATCTAAGCTCCTTTGGCTGGACTCGCCGTCGTACACCGCCGTCGTGGAGTCACTGAAGGTCACAGCCGGAGACTCCAAACGGCTGCTGTCATGCGCCGAGGGCAGGACGTGACCCTGCTCCTCTCTTTTCTTATCCTCTCCTGGAGAAAACATCCCCGAGGACTGTGAGGCGACACCAGAGTCCAGTTCTCTCTCGGCTCCCTGCAGCTCACCACCTCGAATCTTATCCAGGCACTCGATGAGCTTGGTTATGGCGTCGCTGGGGTCGGTCTGAGCCTCTGAACAGGCCATTTCTCGCCGGCCGTGAGGCTGCGGGTGATACTGCTGGCGGGGCACGTCACCCCAGGGAGGAGGAGCGTGGAACCGAGGTTCAAACATTCGCCTATGGTCCATTGGATATATCGGGGCGTGTGGGAAAACAAACCCAGGGTACTGCATGTACTGGTAGGGGTTCATGCAGGGACGGCCAAAGTTAAAACCTAGGGAACGTAGATGAGAGTTAGATTTCAGACAATAAAGACTTGTTTAATACAATAAAGAGAAAGTTTAAATAGCTTGATACCTCCAGGAAAACCATACTGACTGTATGGGTTGTTCATCTGCCAGTGCTGGTAGAGGTAGTAAGGCTGAGACGGTGGCTGCACGTAGAAAAAAGGTCTGGGATGTTGAGTTCTCTGTTGTCCGCCAAATGTGTGTGGTTGTTTGCTTCCATCTGCAGGAAGCAGCAGTTTTAAATGTTAGTTTCAAGCACAGTTTACATAGTTTACACAACTCAAACGTTATTAAACCAGTATTTTTAATGTGTAATTACAAAAAGAAAAACCCTTTACCGTCCATTTTCTCTCCCTCTCTCGTGTTTGCTCAACCTGTCAGAAATAAAACGCCGCAGAGGAAAGAAACCCGGTGAACGTCAGCCAGCGTCGGACGAGCAGAGGGAAACTTTACAGTCGATTCTTCGATAAACAAACAGAAGTAGAAACGCTTCACTCTCAGGTGCGCATATCGTCCTACCAACAAAAGCCCCAACATCTCCGCTCATTAAGTCATATAGGAAACACCTGCTGCGGCCTTCAAGTGCAGGCGGACACGTCAGTGCTGAGGGGTTCAATAAGGCCACTTAAAGCAGGATCAGATGGAGATGTTGGATGGAGCAACAAAAACATGAAATAGAGACAATAAAAATCCTGGAGGGAAAAAAAAAAACCACATTTAATTTTAACAGCTTTTTTTTTTTTATATGTCCAAATTGTCTTTTAAAATGTTGGCTGCATCATAAAATGTGTTGGCTGCACAATGGCTTATAAAAACCACATCATAATCGATGCATCAAGGCACCAAATAAACCACATGTTCAATTGTATTTTCTTTCTACAGAGGACAACAATGTCATTATATTTTGGCAGCCAATTTTAGCATAAAAATCCCCCAAAATTACGATTTGCAATAAAGAGAAAACCCCAACAGAAGACCTCTATTTGATTCAAAGTACAAAGCATTCACTTATTTATTGTTATTTTTTTGTCTTTCTTTCTACATTTCTTTCATTTTTGTTATATTGGTGTTTAAAATAGTTTTTTTAATATATATATTTCTCATTCTGTGTTGTCTGACCTAGATACACAAAAAAACCCTAAATCAATAATATATAATAATAATACCAGGCTTTCAGAAATATTCCATACACTTTTACCAAACGCCAAAAATAAAGAATCTTTTTAATCATTATTTTGTTTTTTTAAATGTATTAACTAATATATATCTTAGTGTATTCACTTTAATCTGTTCATACTTCATATATCTTGCTAGCATATTCATATATATATTCTTTTTTATATCCCTGTACATATGTACATTACTCTGCACAAACTTTTTATATTTAAGTTGCACATGTGCAGTTTAGTTTTTAGTCAAACATGCTCAGATATTTGCACCATTTTTACTTGCATATTGCACATTGTGTATATACTTTTAATTTATAGTCTGTATAAACAATCTCTTCGATTGTAGTTTGTAATATTCTTATTTTGTGATCTCTTATTGTACTTCAATACTACGTCTGTACTCTTGCAGAATTCCTCCTACTCTTTCGTCCCCCTGGTCATCAGACTGTACATACAGCGCTTACAATTTCCTCCTCCATTCGCACCATTTGCACTGTTCTTATTTTAATTTGAATGTTAATTTTAATTGTAATGTATGTTTAACGCATGTATGTATCTAGTGTATGCTGCTACCGGATGCTTGAATTTCCCTCTGGATAAATAAAGTATCTATCTATCTATCTATCTATCTATCTATCTATCTATCTATCTATCTACCTATCTATCTACCTATCTATCTATCTATCTATCTATCTATCTATCTATCTATCTATCTATCTATCTACCTATCTATCTATCTATCTATATTGTTTATCTTATACTGTATTCTTTTATACCTCTTTTATTTTCTATACAAGTGTTTTGTAAGCTGCTGGAAATCCAGTTTCCTCAAGGGAGTCATCCCAAAGGGATCAATAAAGTCTAAGTCTATCTATCTATCTATCTATCTATCTATCTATCTATCTATCTATCTATCTATCTATCTATCTATCTACAGGGATCAATAAAGTCTAAGTCTATCGATCTATCTATCTATCTATCTATCTATCTATCTATCTATCTATCTATCTATCTATCTATCTATCTATCTATCTATCTACAGGGATCAATAAAGTCTAAGTCTATCTATCTATCTATCTATCTATCTATCTATCTATCTATCTATCTATCTATCTATCTATCTATCTATCTATCTACAGGGATCAATAAAGTCTAAGTCTATCGATCTATCTATCTATCTATCTATCTATCTATCTATCTATCTATCGATCTACAGGGATCAATAAAGTCTAAGTCTAAGTCTATCTATCTATCTATCTATCTATCTATCTATCTATCTATCTATCTATCTATCTATCTATCTATCTATCTATCTATCTACAGGGATCAATAAAGGAACATCTTATCTAAAGTTGAATGTAACATAATAACTGCTGTAAAATGTCCTTTTTATGGTGCAGTAGAATTATTAACGTGTCTAATACTTGGCCTGAATATAAAGCACAATGAAACTGTGAATCCTCTTCATAAACTCCTCTGTGGTAGTTGTTTTCAAAACTCCCTCATCCGTCCAGCAGAGGTCGCTGTTCCTCTCCTATCCGGGGTACTCGGCGCATGCGCAGTACCCTGATCTGGCCTGTGGTCTTTGCAGGCGCGGAGAGGTTGTCCGCTGCTCGGCGCTTCCACACAAACACTTTAATGTCTGAACTCGGCTTCAGGAGCTCACTCGGCCCTTCCTGCTGAAGAGAGACGGCATCGGGTCGGTCCCCCGGGGGGTTGTGCGGTCCGCCCTGCCCCGCACCCTGAACGCGGGTTCAGCCTCGTTCTGGAGGTAAACTTAAAAAAACAGAAGAGGCTCATTCAGGTTGGCTAGCTTAGGTTTATTTAGCTCTTCTAGCTAGTTGTAGCTAGCAGCATGGCCGCTGTCTCTTTTTTTTTTGTGGGGGGTGAGGTTGGGTGAGGTTGGGTGAGGTTGGGGTGGGGGGGCTTTAAGTGTAATTTGTGGAAACAGTTTTGTCTCAGTTTAGCTGATGCTTCAGTTTGCTAGCGCGCATCAACAGCCTGGCTACCTCGTTAGCAGCTAACAGCTAACGTTACGTTACCCCGGAACTGTGCAGCGAGGGGGGGTAGGGGGGGTGGGGGGTGCTTACGAGCTACCGTAGTTAACGTAACGCTACATCGAAGCCAGCTGATCAGGTTGTGTTGGTCGGGTTGATTAAAACAAAAAGGAGAGAGAGAGAGAGAGACGAGGATGGAGGGGAAGCTAAGCTACAGGGAGTGTGTGTGTGTGCGTGTGTGTGCGTGTGTGTGTGCGTGTGTGTGTGTTGTTGTTGTTGTTGTTGTTGTTTACCATGTTTTTAAGGTAGCAGACAGGGTTTGTTGTGATGGTGGAAAGTGCTAACGCCTCCTCCTCTTTGTGTCTTCATGTTTGTTTTTCTCTGATTAGATATTTAAACTCCACATCATAACACACACACACACACACACACACACACACACACACATTTATATATTTATATAAAGGTATTCTGACTCTCAACGGAGGTGTTGAAGATGACACCAGGTAGGAGGTCTGTGGAGGTATCAGACCTGCTCACAGACGTCCCTCCCCCGGTGCTTTGTGCTTTGTGTTGTGGCTCAAAGTCATTTAGTTTGTGTGTGATTCACTCTTGAGCGATGTCTTATTTTATGTAAGGTCAATCGATAGGTAATTGCCCTCCTTGTAAGATACTCGGTGCCCAGAGACGGGATGGAGGGAGGGTGACCTGCAGAGGGAGTCCAGATTCGGGATGTTTGTTGCTCTGATGTTCCCGAAACTAAAACTTCTTCTCAAACTCATCATTGTTCTCTTTCTCTTTCTCCTCCTGTGTGTTTCAGACGAGCACTGATGTAGCAGTATTGCGACAGTGCTCTCCCTCTACCTCCGCCTCCCCAGTGCCTCGCCGCATGACCTCAGACGGCTAGATAGATCCACGACCGGAGGGGGGGGAAACGCCCCTTTCCTCACCCAGGACGCCGATCCTCCGGACGCCTGACTGTGACGACGCCACCGCCTTCCTCATCTCATCTTTCAAACTCCTCTCCAAGCGGAGGAACCAGCTGAATTGTTGTTTTTTTTTCTCCACATAGGAGTTGAACACCTCCACATGGGCCAGTGGAGGTGTTGAAGAGCTCTCCCCCACCCCCTGCCCCCCCCCTCGCCCGGTTTATCCTTTATTACATCTTTTTTTTTCTTCTCCTGGTTGGCTTGAGTCCGGTTCTGCCGGCCGTGAGACTTTTCAAAACTGGGGCGCGATTCATGGGATGCAACCATGTCGGATCTCAGTGAGCGCAGGCCGGTCAACACGGACTACGCTGTCTCCCTGCTGGAGCAGCTCAAGTTCTTTTACGAACAGAAATTACTGACTGACGTTGTGCTGCTGGTGGAGGACACGGAGTTCCCGTGTCACAAGATGGTCCTGGCCACATGTAGCTCCTATTTCAGGTGAGTGCGACCACACCGATGTCAGCCCCAGTGTGGAATAACTCACGTCGTACGTCGGGGGATTTGTGTTTTTATTGTGGCCATGCTTTGTGTGCTTAGAGCTCATCTGAATTTGTCTCCTACAGTTTCAATAAATAATGCACCGTACAACGTTGGACAGCAATTATTCCCCCTCGGTCTGATTACGACGAGGTGTAGCGACGCTGTCATTATGTAGCACACTTTGTTATGTCTGTAAGTGCAACAACCTCCTACGGTTACAATGAATAATGCACCACATTGTAGAGCAAGTGTTCGCCGCTCCATACGTGGAGGATGGAAACCAAGAGGATGGTGTTTCCTTGAAAGCCGGGGCTCGAGTCTCCCTCTTGCGCCGGTCGTTTTCCGTCTCTGATACATTCCTACACGGAATAAATGAAGCTATCTCTAACCTGTAGTTGCACAGACGTATCCCTCAAGGCCCCAGGGAGGCCTCATTTGTACGCACAACATTGCATAATGAAGTGTGTGTGTGCACTGCGGTGAATATGACAGAGCAGCAGCAGCAGCAGCAGCAGCAGCAGCCCCGGCTCTGGGAATAGTCCATCTGTACATGACAGGAGCTCATGCTGCATTTGAACACCCTGTCTAGCTCTCTGTCTCACCCTTCCCTCCCTACCTCCCTCCCTCCCCTTCCACTGCACACTCACGCACGCATTCCAAGAAAAGGTCCCGACAACTCGATGCCTCTCTCACACCCACCTCGCCGCGATCTTCCCCACCGTTTCCCACGCACTCGTTATCTGGTGCGAACACGCAAAGCATTTCCCCCTCCAGGGTTCAGAGGTGTCACAGCGCTTCCTCTAAACCCGCTACTCCTTCCTTCTTTCTCTCTCTTTCTCTTTCTCTGTGTTGCCTCTCCTTCTACCTCCCCTCTCTCCTCGCACGCCTTGCTTCAGGGGAAAAGGGGGGAGGGTGGGGGAGACTCTGGAGAGAGCTTGTGTTGTGGAGGGGAAAGTCTGGTCACGTAGGTCTTGGTGAGAGATGGAGAGAAAGGGGAAGAAAGAGAGGAAAAACAGGGAGGGGGGTGCAGGGGTATGCCTGCAGGGTTGCGTAATAGGGCCTGGCAGGTTCAGCCCCTGCTGCGAGCAACACATTGACACAGCCACAAACCCCCGTACAGCAGGGCAGAGCTTGTTTTACAGACAAATCATTGGTTAAGAGTAAAATATATATCATCATCGTCTAATCTGTCTTTTAATTTTTCAATTAATCCTTAATCTCATTTATAAAATGTCAGAAATTGTAGAAAAATATAACATAAGAACTTCAAATGAACTGCTTTCAAGTGCTGCCACTCATTATTGATTAATCTGCCGGTTCCTTTCTGGTGTTTTGTCTACAAAATGTCAGGAAGTTGTGAAATATACCCATCGCAACTTCCCAGAGCCCCAAAACAACGTCTACAAATGTCTTGTTTTGCTGACCAACAGTTCATAACCCAAAAATATCCAGTTTACCTTCCTGTAAGACAATGAAAACACATCATTTGAGACCATCTTTACTTAAAATTCCACAAATTATTGGTCGATTATCTCAATTGTTTCTCAATTTACAATAATATTAAAGAGGAAATGGCAGCAGGAACAACACATTTCTGACACCTTTCCTCATCGCCTAATCAATTTGAGGATATTCCCCCTGAAATAAATCTATATTTAATTCACACGATCGTTCAGCGCCCTTCCCTTGGAGCCGTTTACCCGTTGGAAGTGATGTGTTTATACATTCCTCAGCAGCGGTTGTATCTTCTGTGGAATAAACAGAAGAATTGCGTAGTTTGGCAACGATGAAGCTACTGACAGACCCTCAAAATCAGAAAACACAAACAATGAAAGCCAGTATCGCTGGTGCCGGGTCTTTGACGTGTTACTGACAGACACAGCGTGGCGTCGACACATCGCTGCAGACGCGAGCGTTCGGCACCAGAAGACGTCGCCGCGGTGAATGCAAATGATCGGTTTCGAGCCAATAACCGCTCCACAGAGGCATAAAATGCGGGGAAATCGATGTGGTGAAAGAGGTTAAAGAGGCTCTGACTCACTCCGAGCTCCGGTGAATGACAACGTGGAAGTGTAGGCGGCTCGCCAAGGCTGCAGCAACATGGGAGTCGGAGCAGAGAGAAGCCCAGCTGGAGCGAAACTGTGCACAGTTAGCCCGCCAGACAGGTGCCGACTGTCCCTTTTTGTAATTGAGTATTAGGAAACTGGGTTGGTGGACTCTGTAATCAGTGTACAAGAGCTGTCGAGCATCAAGTCAGCCGTAACATCTGCTCCTAATAAAGCAGTGGTATTCAGTCCTGCTCTTTGAGACCAAGTCCAGTGTTGTCTGCTTATAGTATGGCTCTGAGTCAATGACAATAACCGGATCAATAGTTTCTAAAGGAAGAAGAACTCATTAGGAATGTGGAAATGGTGGCCACTGTTTAATTTCACACTCTTAATACGTTTAAGATAACTTTAACTTTGCTTGAAAGTTGTTTTTAAAATCAAAAAAACACCAAAAATGAATTGGATACCAGCTTCTCGTCAGTAAATATGTGCTGGTTTTCTTCATCTTCTGTGAGAGCAGCTGGAGTATCGTTGGGTTGACATCTCATTGACCCAACGGTTAACTGATTAATCAATAATGCTCACCTTGCCTTTGCTGTTCTCTCTTTTCACCGAACTAATTTATGATTAAAGATAAAAACTCTACAAAGTAAATGCTGAGATTTAAGCCTGACATGAACTGCGAGCTGCTTGTCTGTTTTACGTGTTGTATCTTTGTTTTTGATCAAACAAAGACAAATGTCCACCTCTGGATAATAAAGATAAGTTACTTGCTGTCCTATTAGCTTTTGAAACGATACCACAAATGTATCACAATATCCCAAAAGCATCTGGTGTCGTATCAGAGTTTTACACTCTAGATCTTTCTAGTAACAGTGAGTCAACGTTGGGTTTTGCTTTTCGGAGGACTTGGAAAAAGCATTGCTGCAGCAGCCGATTACAGGTCCCCTGATTCTGGTTGGTAACTTTGTCTGTTTTTACAGCCACTTTGGCGAGTGGCCAGCTGTCATTAGGAGGCTCTGTTTATTTAAAAGAAAAACTTTGGAGAGAAAAACAGCAAACAAGACTTGAATTTGGAGTTTCATCACCCGCTGTACTCTTTAAAAAGTCCTCCAGTTTTACGTGTTTATCATGAAGTCAGGACCAAACAGTTTGGAATTAAAATAGAACCCAAGTAAATAAACTAATTTCTCCTCGTTTAAACACATCTTAAACCAACCGTGCCTTCATCACTGTGACTTTGTCTCTTAATCTAAAATCACCACTGGGTTTTATCTCCATTCTGCTGCACAGAAGTATATCTGAAGTGATGTTAAAGTTGTTAAAGTCCGGTTTCACTAAAAGAAATCCGGTGCTGAAAGTTATTACAACACAGTTAACACAATGTGGTGTTGTTGTCTTTGTTCCTGCAGGGCGATGTTCATGAGTGGCCTCAGTGAGAGCAAACAGACCCACGTCCACCTGAGGAACGTGGACCCGGCCACCCTGCAGATCATCATCACCTACGCCTACACGGGCAACCTGGCCATCAGCGACAGCACCGTGGAGCCGCTCTACGAGACCGCCTGCTTCCTGCAGGTCTGAGTTATATTTTTTTTGTCAACAAATCCCATGAAAAGAAAAATATTAACAATGAATTGATGCGGCTAACGGATACATATCTTATTCCTCTGTGCTGCTGAATGGTTATTAATACACCACAGAAAATAGTCCCCAGCAAAGTTTCCTTTCCAGTTAAAGCAAATTACTGAACCTTTTTTAAAATAAATGAAACTTTATAGTAGTTTTGAAAGATTTATGTCTTCATCAGTAACTAATGTATAAGTGGTAGAGAAGTCAGAAACATATTGAGAGATGGACTTACATAAAACATGTCCTTTAAATATGAATGTGATATGAAAATCAAGAAACCTTCATTGTTTCACATTTTGTATCGTAAGAAGTTATTTTTATGAATGCTAAAACAAACCTGGTATGCTTTCAGTATAAGTGTATTCTACCAAGTGGCCAACATTTAGTTATTTACATCTTTTAAACTGGTATGTTCTACTTTTGTGTGTCTGACTGTCGTCTCTTGTCCTCGCTCTCATTCAGGTGGAGGACGTCTTGCTGCAGTGCAGAGACTATCTGGTGAAGAAGATAAACGCTGAGAACTGCGTCCGCATGCTGAGCATCGGCGACCTGTTCAGTTGCAGCGAGCTAAAGCAGAGCGCCAAGCGCATGGTGGAGCACAAGTTCCCCGTGGTCTACAGGCAGGAGTCCTTCCTTCAGCTCTCCCACGAGCTGTTGATAGACGTCCTGAGCAGCGACAACCTCAACGTGGAGAAGGAGGAGACGGTGCGCGAGGCGGCCATGCTGTGGTTGGAGTACAACATGGAGGCGCGCTCGCAGCACCTGTCCTCCGTGCTCAGTCAGATCCGCATCGACGCGCTGTCCGAGGTGACGCAGCGCGCCTGGTTCCAGGGTCTGCCTCCCAACGACAAGTCCGTGGTGGTGCAGGGCCTCTACAAGTCCATGCCCAAGTTCTTCAAACCCCGGTTAGGCATGACGAAGGAGGAGATGCTGATCTTCATGGAGGCCATGTCAGAAACGCAACACGAGGGATATGTAATGCCCGCATCCTTGCCTTATACGGTAGTGTGTTACAGCCCGCAGGCGGAGAAAGTGTACAAGCTCAGCAACCCCCCCGGAGACCTGCAGAAGGTGGGCACCCTCGTTACGCCAGACAACGACGTGTTCATCGCCGGTGGACAGATCCCTCTCAAAAACACTATCACCAACCACGGCAAGAGTGGAAAGTTACAGGCCGTCTTCCACTCGGTCGATAGCTTCTTTTGGTTCGACGCCCAGCAGAACGCGTGGGTACCCAAAACCCCCATGCTGTGTGCCCGAATCAAGCCCTCGCTGGTCTACTGCGAGGGCTACATCTATGCAATCGGCGGCGATAACGTCGGAGGGGAGCTGAACAAGCGCACGGTGGAGCGCTACGACTGCGAGAAGGACGAGTGGAGCATGATGAGCCCCCTGCCCTTCGCCTGGAACTGGAGCACCTCCGTGGTGGCGCACGACTGCATCTACGTGATGACCCACGACCTGATGTACTGCTACTTCCCCCGAGCCGACACCTGGGTGGAGATGGCCATGCGCAAGACCAGCCGCTGCTTCGCCTCCGCGGCTGCCTTCGGCGACCTCATTTTCTACATCGGCGGCCTCCACGTGGTCAGCAACTCCGGCATCCGCCTGCCCACGAGCACCATCGACGGCTCCTCCATCACCGTGGAGATCTACGACGTCAACAAGAACGAGTGGCGCCTGGCCGCCAACATCCCCGCCAAGCGTTACTCGGACCCGTGCGTGCGGGCGGTGGTCCTGCTCAACTCGCTTTGCATTTTCATGCGTGAAACCCACATGAACGAGCGCGCCAAGTACGCCATCTACCAGTACGACCTGGAGCTGGACCGCTGGTACCTGCGGCAGCCCGTGTCCGAACGCGTGCTCTGGGATCTGGGCAAGGACTTCCGATGTGCGGTGGGGAAGCTGTATCCCTCCTGCCTGGAGGAGTCCCCCTGGAAACCCCCAACCTACCTCTTCTCCCCCGACGGAGCCGAGGAGTTCGAGGTGGACGGGGAGCTGGTGACCCTCCCTCACGTATAGCTCTTAACCTCCGCTCCCCTACCTCGCTGACTGAACCAGGAAATCTGTACCGCTGAGGGATGAACACGAAGGGGGAGGGGGGGGGGGGGCAGATCGGATCTCTCGAGATATAAAAGGGTTTGACGTTTGTCCGTGTTGTGGAGGGATCTCTGGACGTTCGGAGGCTGTCGCTGGTGAACAATGCAGCCCAGAAAGATGCCCCTCAGAAATACTAGTAATCTGAAAAGTTTTTTTTTTTCTTCTTATTTTGTCAGTTGTGACATCTGTTAGATATTAAAAGTCTGTCATACTGTTTCTACAATGTGATAATCTAAACGTCAGCTGATTTTTATTTTTTTTGTGATGATGATGAGGGTGATGATGCACTTAACTGGTAAACCTTGGAATGACAATGGCAACTGTACCAAAATCCCCCAGCCCCTCCGATTGTGGCGTCTCTCTCTTCCCTCCTCCTCCTCCTCCTGCTCTTTTTCTCTTCTCTCACCACTGATGAAGGAACACGCCGCTGACAATCTATCGTTTGAGTATCAAAGTCGTTCCCTGTAGGTTTGAGAAAGGTAAACGGGTTCCAGTGGCGAATAATAATAATAAAGTATTTTGATAAATATATAAATATAAACATCAAAATACTCCGTAGAAACTCCTCCAACCACTCCTCCTCTCGCTGTCAGTAAGTCGTTCGATGTGCTACGTTGTAGTGGAGCTTTGTTTCGAAGGACTACGTGGATCGATGGCGTAGACGTCGATAAAGCAGCAGGAGTGGTTCGACAAGTTTGTGTCGATGTGGAGCTTTAAAGGTTCACTACCAGGGTGGGTCTACCAGCTGCTGATGAATAAATGTTCAAACTCACCAGCCACTCAGTAGTCAATAATCATATTCTGTCTGAAATCTACCAGCTGCTCTCATGTACCAGCATTCGGCTGATTTCCCACCCTGCACTGCTCCAGTTTGACTTTATCACACCATTAAATGCGTTTTTTTTTTTTATTGTCCGAGGAGGTAAATTTGTTTCCAGAACCCGTCGATGCTCATAAGACAGTCACTCTCTATTAATACTATGTCTTGACTAAAGCTGCACGGAGGGTTCATCTGCCCACATTTATTCTAATTTCTGTTTATGAAATGTCAGAAATGTTCAAAAGCAAACCTCCACAAGTCGCCAAAAGCCCAAAGCTTTAATCTTTAAGTAGCTTTATCCATCCGACCGACAGTCAGAATCCAAAATCTTAAAACTAAATTCTCCCGTGAGAAGTTCGGACTCGAACAACGTCATCGTTTAAAGTCGTTTCTCAAGCAAAAACTCTGGCCCAGCTTCTCAAACGTGACGATTTTAGATTGAATAACGTCGACTGTCGGTCGGACAGGATGTGAAATAACTCACCAGCCCGCTCAGCAGTGAATCATTACGTCGTGTTCGATCTCTACCAGCCGCTTTACCAGCAGTCGTTCTGGTGCTAACGTCCCACCCACAATGCATCCGGTTGAACTTCTTTTTGTGCTATTTTCTGACATTTTATAGAGCGAACCGTTGATCAGAAGTGAGAATAACCGTTAGTTGTAGCTCCACTTTGGATTATTACTCGATTGAGACGCTGACTGATGTAATCCAGGCCCGCTGCGTCCACTGAAAACAACTAGAAGAGCCACTTTTAAAGCTCACAGGTGCGAGCGTTTGATCCTCGGAGAGATAGATTTCAGAGCGTTTCCTTTTGTTTAAAAAAAAACAGGATCCATCTCTCTGTCTTCACGAGGCCTCGCAGACGAGAGGAAACGGAGGCTGCCGGTTTGTTTTTGTTTGTTTTCTCCGGAAGGGGGCGGGAGGACCGACGGGGGAAACTAGTGAGAGGAGGAGAGGGGTTTAAAAGAGGGGCGACTGCAGGTCCGGTCACCCATCACCTCTCCTCCCTCACCGCTCTGTCCTCCACCCCCGACTCCACTATACCGTCTGTCTGTCTGTGTCTGTCTGTCTGCACACAGGTCTTCCACACAGCTAGCAGTTTACACCTCACTCCATCCATCGTCACACGATCATGATGTTTTCCTCTCTGCAAACACACACACACACACACACACCCCTCCACTCTCAGTACAAACATAGGTTTCGGGCTCATGCATTTTTATTATTATTTTTTTTTTTTCCAAGCTGCTGAAATATATAAATATATATAATAAAATATATATTTTTCATAACTGTTTTAGTGTGGGGAAAATAACCAGGTCTATTTTGTAATTAGTGTCTTTTATTTTTTAATTTAATATCAGACATTACTGTAGTGTGATTGTGGGTAGAAATCCATTTTCCTATCAGATTTAATTTTTTTTTTTTTTTCTCGAGTGAATATTGAGGAATCTTTGCTGCTGATTGGTTGTGAGAGGAGAGGGCTGGCCCACGGCTGTTGCTATGGAAATCGTCTCGGCAACCGCCAGCAGCGATGGAGAGGGGCGGGTTGGGGAGGGACGGGGTCTTCCTCCTACCTTTAAAAAAAAACAAAAACAAAAAAAAAAAAAAAAAAACATGAGCACAGGTGCTTCATGACGAACCTTACTAGCATGTTTGGCTGCATCATATTCCTTTGGCACTGTATTTTGAATGAACGTTAATTTATTAAAAAACATACCAAAAACGTTCCTGAAACCGACTCCTCGTTGCTTTTTGTTAAGTAAACATGTTTACTTGTTTATTTGAAGTGGTCAGTAAGGTTATGGGGGGTTGAATCTCAAAACATTTGCTGTCAAACTGTTCAGGTACCTAAAAGTTGGTATTGAATCTGGACAGATTTTCATGTTTGTTTACTTTGTTTTCAAGCAAAAATTAACAATTATTAAAAAAAATGCAAGTATTACTGTTTTATTGAGGCAGAGTTCGTCTACGTGTGCTTGTGTGAAATAAAAAGCAGGGTTTTGTATTAAAAAACGTATATTTCTGTAAGTAAAGTGTTGGAAAAAGTATAATTTATTACAGAATATCAGGCATCATATTGACATTTCAAACATTAACCTGCAAAGTTAAAAGTGTTAAACACTGTAATTTCAATTCAATTTTAAAAACTAGTTTTATAATTGATCAAGGCAATGAGAACTGAAGTAATAATTTCTGCTGCTACAACTTAAAATGTCTTAAATACGATTAATGATCTTTAAAAATGACTGGATTAATGAAGTTAATGTGTAACGTTGTATTTTTCTCGTTTTTAAATGTGTATTTTTTGGGGGGAAACATTAACACTGATCGACATGCAACCAGCACCGACTGTCCATCGTATCCTTTGTGAGGTTGTCACATATTTAAAATGATACAATACGATCAATCGATAGTATTAAAAGCACAAAAGCTAGAAAACAAACTGACGGCTGCACAGAATTTTAACTCCACCTCAGTGTGTTCACTCATTTTGCTCCCCCAGCATTGTTTGCAGCTTTTCCCCAAAAAAATCTTTCTTTGTATTATGGTATTAAAAGAGGTATTTAGTATAGTTTTTTATAAAAGTATTGTATTGAAGTTAAAAAGTCTGCTATTGCGACATGAAATAGGCCTTAAACTGCATTAATAATGGTCCTAAGTTGAACATTTTTTTGACTTTCTCATGAGACAGAATGAAAATGTGCACTGGCTGTCAGTCAGGATTACTGGGTGTGAATCTCTTAAGGTCGCTGGGTTCACGTGTCCCTGTGACGCCACCGCCACCACCGAATTGTTGTCGGACAGCACATGGGTGCGTTTTTGGGAGGCCACGTGCTTCCACCACAACAACCCTCTCTCCACACACACACACACACACACACACACACACACACACACACATAGAGGCCACCACTTTGTTTGGCTGACCTACATTTGTACCCAGACACACGAACCCAGAGGGATAGAAGAAATGTTCCGGTGTTGTTCGCTAAAAATAAGAAAAAGTCTGCGGTGTATTTCTTTAATTATATTTTTAATACAGCAATATAGTAGTAGAGTATCACTTTCTTCTCAAATACATTAAAAGCATCTGTCAAGAAAATATTCTGTGAATTTTAGTTCACCAATACATTCATATTTTTTTTTTTTTTTTTTAAATACAAAATGAAAATATATCATCAGAGGATAAAAAAAACAAAGAAAAGAAACAAAAAAGCAGCTTTTAACAGCCGATATTTTCTTAAACTTTATCCAGAAATCAAAAAGTCGATGACCAAAGAAGATTTTTAGAAGCGTGAAAACAAGAAATAAAGATATTAAAAGAGTTTTAAAGACAAGAGGATGAAACACGAATTACAGCTGTAAAACTGGACTGGACAGAGCATGCTCACTGGACCACTTTTAATCCAACTGTCGTCGAATATTTGTAGCATGGAGGGAAACAAGATCTTGTAAGCACCTCAAAAGTTACAGTTATACAAGATAAAGAGTCACATAAATAGAATATAATGGCTGCTTTCTGCAAATACACACAGTGGTCCGCAGATTAGGACTTGATCCAGTGTTGTCATGACAAAAAACATGGATATTTATGAGATTACACGTTTATACACAACAAATAAATAAGATATATCTTTAAACTATCTTCAGATTCACTAAATATAGTTCTCCCAATATATATATATATATATATTCTGACAGTACAAAAAGGCCTGGGTGAGCCGGGTGCAGGTTTCCTTCATAGTTTGGGGAGGTTTTTATCACGTTTATCAGGGCACAGAATCAGGCATTAGGTACAAAAGGATTGTAGTAATAACATTGTGGTTATTGTAGTAACAGTATTCAGATTCAGAGCTGGAATAATTAGTGAAGTAATCAGTTTAATTTTCACATTTTAGGTCGTTTATCATGAAAAATGTCAAACATTCAGTTTAAAATTCAACATTTTAGTGGTTTTTGGGCCGTTGGGTACGAGTAATTTAAAAGACGTCTAAGGAGCCCAGAAACTGTCGCATGATCATATCAATAAATAATACTGTTAATTAAATATTTAAAATAAAGAGTAAAAGGAAATATAAACCTTTGTACTTTTCCTTTAAGATCCAATCTGTTGGTAAAAATAGCAAAATAAATGACATTTTCTTTCCGTTTCTAGCAAACATTAAAATTGCATAGTAAAGTAATTTTCCAAAAAAAAGGCTCCTGATTCTGATTATGTTTGAGACATTTGTGTTAAATGCACAACTAGAAACAGGGAAGTGAGTTTAATGACGTATGATTCACTTTTTCGTGCAGAAAAGTTGCAGCGATTAGATAAAAACTGGTTGAATGTGCGTTAACTGTTGCTGGAGGGACTGACTTTTACTACATTTCGTCAGTTTCAGGGCTCCATAGATATATATTGTATATTTCTACACATAAAAAATAACCCACACTGTTACCACGACAACCCCAATGTTACTACAGAGGCATCACTGAACATGAGCTAATTTAAAAACTGTTAAAATCTTCAAGGTGCCACAGCTCATGCTGTCCTGTCAAAATCCTGCAACACGGATGTATTTATTTATTTATTTATTATTATTATTATTATTTATTATTTTTAAACATTATTTCTCAGCAAAATAATCGGCTATATAGATCAAACTCTAGAAATATGCAGCAAAAGAGTGAACACCGCAAACCCAACGACAGCATCTTTAGTGTCTCACAGGAAAGCATCCAGCAATACGAACGGCAGCAGAGACAGACAGACAGACAGACAGACAGGATGCAGCCCGCTGTATTTTCTGGGTTTTGATCGATATCGCCTCACAGTGGATCTGGGCTGTACAGTTAGTGTAACGCTGCCTTCCTGTCTCTTCCTGTTTGCCTCTCAGGTTTTATGGTTCCGACTTTAAACTCGTTGATTCTGAAGATGATGATGATTTTCTCTGCTCACACTCTTCACACGAAGCAGCTCTCGCTCCTCTGACCCTTCAGCCAGAAGCTCAGAGGACGAGGAGACGGTCAGAGAGGAGGAGGGGTTTGGTTTCAGGGTTTGACCTCGGTGGCGGGCTCCGGGCAGCCCGGGGGGGTTACTGCGGCGGGCTGGGCCAGCGTGGAGAACCAGGAGGACATGGCCGACTTGGCGCTGGTCAAAGCTCCGCCCACCGACTGACCTGAGAGCGGAGGGCAAAGCGAGAACAAGACACTTACACATCTCTGCATGTACCTTAACAATGAGACGAGTTTTAGACAACATTTTAAACCAAAAGAAAGAAAAGTGCCAGGAACAGACCTACAGCACAGGGCTCCCACTCTTTTTAAGAAACCCTTTTCCAGGGCTTTTCCAGGACCTTTTCCAGGAGTTTTTCTTGACAACACAGGGCAGCACTTGCTCACAATGGTGGTCAGCGTTTATGGGACGCTCGGCTGTTCTCACCAGAGCCAACTTTTCCTCCGCGGCGTCAGCGGAGCGGAGCTGTTGTCTCTGATAGACAGACTACTTTATTTTTATCTGGTAAACCCAGAAGTGTCCCAGTGTGCAGATTATCCTATCAAAAGTCTAGTTTCAAACTGAATATGCACCCAGGTTTAGGTAATCTAGGTGAGGGGCTAGAATACAATTAAGATTTTTCCAGGATGTTTGGCAATTTTAAATCAGGTTTCTACATTTCCAGATTTTCCAGGAAGCGTGGGAGCCCTGACAGCTTCCTCAGACGATGAAGAGAATGTCTTACTGTGGTTGAACTTCAGTAACTTTCACACTGTAAGTCTGAGCTTTCTTACCCACTACCTTCCCCGTCTGGACCATGCTGCGACTGGTGGTGATCATGGCGTTTCCGATCTTCTTCCCTCTCTCGCTGTTCTGCACCGAACTGCAGTGGAAATAAAGCAGGAGGGGGGGAGACAAACAAACAAAGGGTTCATAAACCATGTACGCATGCACTCCCCTTCCCCTCACCTCCCTCTCTCCCGGTGTGACATTGTACGAATTCTTCCTCCTTTCCGGGAAACAAACTACACAAAAGTGCCACTGCTAAATGTTGCGCCGACCTGTTAGAGAGGATTATGTAACGGAGCTGAGCCGCAGTCACAGGTGGACGATCTGATGATCAGAGCCGACCTGAGAGCGGAAACGGGTTGTTGGACTGCGTTTCACAACAAACGGCACGGCTAAATGCGGCCCCCGCCTGGCTTCATCTGACCAGCGGCCTGGTGCGAGGCCAACGCGCAACCTTTCCCCATGGATTCCCCCCCCCAGCCCCCCGAGCTGACCTGACATTCAGCAGGAATCTCGGCTCTGCATCATCCGGGTCAAACGCTGTTAGAAAGACGGCGTGGATGTGTGTCAGCAGCTGCCACCCTGGGCCTTCACACCCTCTAATGAGCCAATTATTTCATCTGAAAATAAACCACCGGTACACTTCGCACAGTTTGTAATGTGGAAAAATGCTCCTCTAGAGATCCAATCATATGGAAAACCTGGAAGCATCTTCCGAGGTTACTTAAAGAAGTCCAATCAATCAATCAATCAATCACTTATTTCCTCATTCAGTTAAATCAATTTCTCTCCCTAACTGACCGTCCAGTGAGCTTACCAACATGAAATTATGTCACATTTGTTCATTTAGGGCATTTCTTTACAAAAACAGGCAATAAAATGTGCATTAGAGCCCGACTGATCATCACCGAATATCAATATGGCTGCTGATATATTGAATATTTGAGCTGGAATGCAAAATAAACAGATTTGGCACCAATATAAAGGCACTCAGTAGGCTGCTCTCTTAAACAAATAACTATATTAAAGAATATTGAAGTTAAATATTTAATGTAACATGTTAAATAATTTAACATACAGACACACACTGTCAACCAATTCTAGGAACAAACACTGAGTAAATGAACTCAACAGGACTCCCTTTCATATTGGAGCACGTCGGATGACGTAAACGCCAAAATACCGAAACTACATAACAAAATCAAATAAAACATTCTACAAATAAAAAGATAGGAAAACATAATGAAAGACCAAACAACAAAAATGTGAATTAATTGAAGGTTTCAGCACAATTTTCTGTATTTGGACATAAAAAAAAAAAAAAGGGAGCAGCATCAATCTGAGGAGGCGCAGACGTAAAAAGTGATGAAGTCTAAAGGAGATCTTCAGCACATAAAGTCAGTGAATGAAACCTAAAACCAAAGAGAAAGTGAGACTGCTGTCATTCCCACACACACACACACACACACACACACACACACAGTGTTTATCTGACTACAGCACCAACATGACACCGCTCTGTGCACAACGGGCCCGGCGGAGCGTGAACTGGCACCGCGACTCGCTGCCTCTGTGGCGTCTCGGAGCCCGTGGCGGAGGTCCTGCGGCGTCCTGTCACTCACGGGACACCGAGTGGATCCACCAAAAACAAGCTGCGGTTGCTAGGCGCTTGTTGCTAGGATCAATAATCCAGCAGCTCCCACCGGCTGCACATCCACCAGGAATCTGTCCTCGCTGTGCCAACTTCCTTTTGTCTTTATTTTCAAAGTAAGAGACCCGCTGTTGTGCATTCCCAGCAGTGCTGAGAGGCTTAGGCTGTTTTTGTCATTCAGTTTAAAGCCTCTGGGTGTAGGTTTTTGTATCTATTCTGACGGCAGTAGCTTTTTCTCTGCGTGTTAGTGCAGTTTAAGTGTGCTCAGAAAGTTGAAGCTGTTGAGTGGAAATGTGGGTGGAATAATGGAAACTGTGGTAAAAAGATCCCATTTTAACTTTATTATTACCCCCCAACAATCTCATGATAACATCAGTGTTTCCCCTGAGCTACTGTGCACACTGTCAGCTCAGAGAGGAGCCCCCGGCGGACACACGGCGGACTCTCCATCTCGCCAGGCTGACCCAAATAAACAGCTCCTTATGCGGCGCAGTGTGGTTCGCTGACAATAAAGAAAGATTCCTCTAACAGCGAGTGTCCGCCTGCAGCCGTGCAGCTCGTCACATGACTCTTGTTTTCTGAGAGAACATCTCTGCCACCGGCTTGCTCTTTGTCCCGACGCTGATGACGGGGGACACATGAAAAGGGGTCGGCCGTGTCCGCCCCCACAGTGCCTCCATAATACACATGCAACACAGCACATTTAGAAGGATGCGTGGGGGGGGCTAGTTTTTAAATGTATAAATAGAGCGGAGACGGCAGGGCAGCAGTGGATGGACTTTCCTCTTTTACTTTCTCAACCAGCAATCTGACAAGTGGGATAACATCAAACCAGTCTGTCCCACTAACCCCAGTTTGCCCCCCCAACATCATCCAGCCTCAAGTTGCAGAAAAAACGCTCGATGTTTACTGATGCAGGAAAACAGACAAGCGAGAGGGAGAGAGAAAGAGAGAGAGAGCGACGCTGTGGGGTCGGACTCAAGACTGATGGACACACAAAAAAGAAAAACACATTGTAAATCTAATCTCAGTGGAGGGGGAGCAGGAGGGGCCGAGGTTAAGCAAGGACCCAGGTGATAAGATGCTCAGAAAGTGGACATACTGGGTTAGACGTATACTGTAACGCCGTCACCATTACAGAGTTCGCTCTTGACACAACTTCTGCACACAACCAAGCCAAGCATAGGCCTTTCCCACCAACAGGGAACCAGCTCCGTTCTGGTTCGTGCACTTATTTTAAAAACCGTTCGGAGCATTTCCACCAAAAATAAATTGGTGGAACCTGAAAAGTTGGTTCCCAGCTGGTTTTTCCTTGGGAATCAAAGTGATATTCTACAGGTCGTTGTGCATTATAACAGCTCGATTACAATGGATCCACTAAAAAGTGCAAGAACCAGAAAAATTTGGTGGAAAAAACAGGAAGAATCTGTTTTTACGGAGTCGCTGTGATTGGCAAATTACAAGCAACGTAACCCTGATTGGTTGTTTGATTCAGACCCAGTCTTAATAAAGTATCGGACGCTCACAGGCACATATTTATCTCACAGTTAGTGGCATGCAATGGTCAACATTATGATAGAATAATGTTGCCTACTACTTATTCTGATTCCAGTAGCCAAGACAATTAGATGTCCTGTTCATTAATGTGATTAAACCAGCCAATAACAGCTTGTAGAAGCATGTTGGTTATCCTTTTATAGTATGTCAGAACCATGTAAGTACAACATGTCTACTAAGACAAAGCAGATCTGATTGAAGAACTCCACATCCGTATATTTTTATCCTTGATGCAGTGTGTTTAGTTTTTTGTCTGGGTGAGGAGGATTTCAACATCCCTCAGAGACGTCTGCGAGGCTCGAAGCTTCTGACACTCAATAAACACTCGTCTCTGATGTTCAAGGTCGCGGTGGAGTCTGAGCTGTTTATCTGCCGCCGTGCTCTCGCGTCTCCGCTTAGGGAACACGTGTAGGAAAACACACACACACACACACACACTTTTCCAGACCGGCAGAATCCCCTCCTGTTTTAGAGCCCTGCATCTGACACAAAGCCGAGGCAGGAACTGAGACACGTTTATTCCTGAGAAGATCCGATGACCGAGTGCCAAACTTCCTGCCTGCACCCCCACATCATCCCTGCCTTTCTATATCCAGAGTTTTATAGTGCAGCGAGGGCCAGCCGTGCCCCTTCAACCCCACTCCCGGGTCCATAAACACACACCCTGCTCTGACCCCGTCAACACTTTTCAAAATCCTCTCATAAGACAAAGAATCTCATCTCTCCATCATCCGAGATCTGACGAGTGTAAGGATCGCAGTCGAGGCTGGATGACCGGCAGTGGTGTGTCAGTTGGTTTCTAGTTGGTAGTTCAATAATTTTAATGTTCGTTTGATTGAGAGTCCAAGATTTCATATTCAAATTGCTTTTTTTGTTGTTGGACTAACTGTGAAAAATCCAAAGATATTTTGGATGTTTTCCTGTCAAAGAAGAAAAATTTTCATTTTTTACATTAGAAAAGTGGATTTTTTTCTCATTTCTGCTTTAAAAATGATGATTAATCGAGTTTTTTATTTTTATTTTCAATCAGCTAATTGTTTCGGCTCTACACACAATATCAAACTGCAATGTTCAGGGTTGAAGAAGAAGCCCTGCGTTGTTACCTCACCATTAAGCAGTGAGTTATAGTAGGCTAAAACTCAAGCTTTAAGAACAGTATTTAAATACTGTTCGTACATGGTGAAAATGTATGAATAAAATTGTGTTTTGGGGTTGTTGTGTTGTGTTTTTTTTTGCACACAGCAAACCTGTGGAGGTTGCGCTGGTTGTTAAGTATAATGTTGTCATGTGTAGTTTGCATTAAATGGGTATTTGGAGGTGATGGGATAGTTACAAATGTAAAATTAAAATCTTGAATATTTCTGTTATTATAAAAAGTGTTTCTGAATGTATCAACAATGTATTAAAACTGTTATTAAAAGTGCTGAATAAACCTACATATTCATCATGTGTGGCTCAATTTTTGGGGGTTTTTAACACAGAATTTACTCTTTTTTAGGTGCAGATACACTAAACTACAGTTTTTTTCTGTGTGTTTGTTCACTGGAGATTTACAACAAAGTTCACAGAGGCCATGTCACCGAACACCCGGAGGTAAAGTGAGAGCTCCGAGTATCACAGCCAAACAGATCTGCCCGTGTCCTCGCCGTAAAGCTAAGTTAGGGATGGAGGCACACTCAGTCCTCTGTGTGTGTGTGTGTGTGTGTGTGTGTGTGTGTGTGTGTGTGTGTGTGTGTGCTGGGGGCATTTATCTGACGCGTAACACGAGAAGCGGCGCTCCAGCTGTGGTCGGAGTCGCCTTTCATCCACACTCTCCTGGAATGAAACCGGAGCTGAAGCTGAAGAAGTCTCCAGCTCTGTTTTTGAGAATGAAACTCGCTCATAATTAATGACTTCAGCTGATATGAGACCCCCCCCGCCATCCCATGCTGCCGCCACAAAACCACAAACCCCCACGTTCAACATGAGTCCAGTCAGCTGCTACATCCACCACACAAACACAGCATGTAGTAACTGCCTGCTGCTCTCTCCGTGACAGAAAGTATCCATAAAGTATTCACAGTTGGGTGTTAGAGTGCACTGAGAGAGACAACGTTTGGAAATTTAATCATTAGTGGTCTAAAAAGGGTTTAGACAGGACAGCAGCAGTAAGGTATCAACTTAAAAAACTATTTCAGTGACTTTTTCTTTATTTATTTACTGTTTTATTTTAAGAACACCAGTGTTAAAATAAGTTTTTCCCAGTTTAAATCTTTCTCCAGTCTTTTATTTTGAAAGTACAGAGACTAATAATCCTCAAGGACAAAAACTAATTTCTGCTCTTAAAAAGCTTAATTCTTGCTCTCAAATGAATACTCTCTGTGCATGAATCAACAGAAAATACTGCTGAACTGTATTGTTAATATTTTAACAGATATTTAAGGGGTGCAGAAGAGTTTTAGACAAAATCAGATAAAGATATTTCCACATATTTATGTCCAAAAACAAAACAGGAATGAATTAAACCGTCTCAGATCAGGACATGCTGAGGATGCTAGCTCCTTCAAAGTAAAAGCACAGGTGTCTGACAGCAAAGTTGATGGCAGAAAAACAGGATTTACAACTAATTCAAATATTTTACAGTAACTTCTTACATTATATTTTAAAAAGGGACACTGGAATAAAGTGAAAGCCACATTTTATTTTACTGATAAACCTGCCAAATGTCTTCTTTCCAGTGTCATGTTTACTGGCATCTTGTCACCACGAGAGGGCAGCAACACGAATGTTTTAGGGAGCACTACATCAACTGAGCTGGGAAATAAATAGGTCACAGCTCTTCCAGTGTGTCCACATGCTGTTGTTTGAGGCTCTGTGTCTCAAGGTTGCAGTATTTTATGCTGCTGAGGTGTAGCCAAAGACAGATTTCCTCTACAGTGAATATAAAGTTGAATGTAAGCAGTAGTAGAAGTAGTAGTGTAGTACTCACTGTGAGAGTCGTAGTTTCACATCAGCAACACTGTACTGGCCCTGGAACGGGTGTCTATAACAAAAAAAGAGCCACAGAGATCACACATAAATAATATGTAGTAGATTATCTTTCAGCAAACACCTAGAATTAATCAGATTTGTTTTGTAACACATGCACACAAGTCTGGATGATAAATCCAAGCTCTTAACCAGTGAGTGAGCAGTAAACCTTTAAACTGTTCAAACTCCTGTAAAAAGGTCTGTGTTTTCCACAAGAACAAATTATTCACTTCAAACAAATGATGAATGCTTTTAAAATCCATTTGCTCCTTTAAAACAAACATTTGAAACAGCGTGTCCAATCCAATAATCCAGGCCTTAAATCTGCATCTGCTCTAAGAACGACAAAAGGAACCAACATGGAACCGATACAGATTTCTCTTGATACTCTTTGAACTTTTTCTTTGCCAGTATGGATGTAAAATGTCTTAAATTGTCTTCATAATGTTCTTAAAAAGGTCTTTAACCTGGTGAAACCTGCAGAAACCCTCGAACACACTGTGTATTTCATGTGAGGCAATTACATGTTTTGCATGCTGACATCTGACGTTTTATTTCTTTATCTTCAACCACAGCAGAGTGTCAGGGCTCCAGAGTGCGACCAATTTGGTCGCACATGCGACCCAAATTTTTAAGAGTGCGACTAATAATTTTTCTAGGTCGCACTGGTGCACCTGACGCTGCCCAGGTGAAAACATCAATTAATTTCGCAAGCGCATCATCTCTCTGTATTCTCCTGTGACCGAACTCACACACTCATGGTAGGATCATATCGTGTTCTAAACCAATTACAGACAGAGCTCGGGCGGGTCTTTGCCTCTGATTGGCTGTGGTCCTGTTCACCACGCTAAATTGTGTGTGTTTAAAAATTGCCGAGCCCCGGTCCTTCGGCGACAGCATCAGACTCGGAACCAGAGGAGGAGACAACCGAGTCTGGGATAGAGCCCGGCTCCGAGACCCCATTTTAAAACGGCCAAAATATATTCCTTCAAACAGGACTGGCTGAAACAATTTCCCTGGCTGAGGTAGAACAAAGGACATAACACAATGCACTGCGTGTACTGTCAGGAGTGCTTAGTGTTTTAGTTTGAAATTTAGTTTCTATTTCAGCTCAGTGAAGCACTTTAAACACTTTATTTTTCTTTTTATATATAATTGTGCTTCAAATAAAGACAAGCATTTCTCTTCACCTTCTTGTTTAAAAATCATTCACATTATATAAAAGTTATGGAGAGCGATAAAAAGGTGACCTTATCGCGTTAAAGGTGACGCAATGAAAAATTTGGGTGCACCTACTTTTTGTGCTGGTGCACCTAAAAAAAAAAGTTAGGCGCACCACTGCAACCAATGCAAACAGTTAGTCTGGAGCCCTGAGTGTGTTTACATCCGAATGTGACGACCAGAGGAATTCACTGGTTGTAATGAAGAGCTGATTTGTTGCACAATTTTTAATCTTTGGGTCAACTTAAGTACCAGACATTTGGTAACAAGCGTCATTAAGACTTTCTATTCAAATAAAACTCTTCCAGGTTCCTGGTGACTTTAGAGATCTCTCTGGTTCCCTTTCAGTGGTCAGTGTCTCCTCCTGTTCACCTACCCTGGGGTGATGGCGGCCATGGCGGGGTGCTTGTTGCTGTACCACACCCGGTAGTTGTGTGTGATCTTCCAGGCTGTGACGAAAGGCGCGCCGTAATCAGCCAGCAGCCTCTCGTTATCTGAACGGAAACAAGAGAACGAGAGAGAAGAGCGTAACTGGATTTACTGTCATTTTCTCAACAGAGTCAATTACGTGTGATGATCTCTGCGCATGACGCAACCATTACAGCCGCAATCATACTGGTAATTAGTAATGCCTCTGAAGATTACGAGCTCTTTACAGACAGAAAATACAATATTAATGTGGAATGTGTAAAGTAGCTTAGTCCATCCTCCAGTTCTTTACTTTCAAAATGTTAATAATAATAACTTTTCATTTATAAAAGCAGCTTTTAAAAGGACCCATATATGGATTGTGAAAAAAATAAGGTTATAATTTTACTTAATTTTTGATTATTTAAAGATTTATTGAACTTTTTAAAGCCTGCAGGTGCTTTGGATTAACGGGTGAGTAAAATAAGCCCTTAATTAGGAAGCGAGAGGGAAGGAAAGAATGACACGAGTGATCCCACCTTGTTGTAACGCAGAGGACAGTAAGGAGTGGAGGTAGAGGGTGAACTGGGCTCTGATCCACTCGTCTCCGCCCTCCCAGCCTGTCCCGTCCAGGAAAACGTCGTCGCGGTTCTCCGTCACGTGTTTGACCAGGTAGTCGGCGAAACGCAGGTCCGCCGTCGTCAGGCTCAGGATCTTCCGGAGCTCGGGGTCCTGGATATGCACGCCAGCTTCCTCCACCTACAACGCAAATTAAATTAAACATTAAAAAATAGACTTTAAAGTTAAATTAAAGCCCACAATATCTACATTTTTCCATCAAAATAAAAATATTCTATACGTACGTCAACAACGGCATCACTGAGGTGCCTCTGCTGGCGGAAGAGGATGTTGGTCGCCCCGGCAACAAAGCCGCGCACCGTCACGTCTGACAGGAGGTGATGCTGCTGCAGGGCCATGTAGGGCAGACACAGGTAACCCTGGCAACCAGAGGCAAAGGTCAGTGTGTTTATCAGACACACACACACACACAGAGGACAAAGGAGAAGCTGTTTAAAGTGTTAAATCTGAACTAATATTAACTTATTTGGTTATTTATAAACTAATATTGATCTTTTATTAACTGGTGTCTGCAAAACATTCAGTTTCACCTTCACATTCACAGTTTTATGACTAAAATCTCTTCTCTGCCGTTTGAAATGTGTGATTTACAAGGCGATTGTTTATTTTTGGCCACTGGACCGCTTCCTTGTTCCTAAATATGTTTTGAGGAATCAAACTTGTTGAGGCCCTGGTTGCCTTGAACTACACATTTATAGATGTGTAGTGTTGTCTCTCTAATGTCAAATCAGAGATTGTACAGGCGAGTGTTACCTTAGTGAAGATGGGGAGCGGCAGGCCGTACTGATCCTCCTCCAGACCGGACACCAGACCCTGGACGACCGCTCCCTGACCGCCGGCGGCCTGCGGCTGCACAGTGATGGGCGTCCCCGGCTTGGAGTCGAAGGCGTCTGGGAGCTCCGACTCTGTCTCCTTCCCCTCAGCTGCCTCTTTAGAGCCATTTTCCTCTAACACGCTGGGGTCCAGAGTCTCCCAGTCGCTCTCGGAGGAGTCTGGGGAGGTGCGCGACGGCGGTTTGAGGAGGTGGTTGTCCCCCTCGGCGCTGTTCCCGGAGGACAGAGATTCGGCGGCAGGCTGGGCGGTCTCCACCCCCTCCAGCGTGGTGTTGGCGATGATGTCGGTGACGGACACGGAGACGAACTCCTCGGCTCCTGAGACGCTCTCCACCAGACTCAGGTCCTCTGACACGCTGCTCTTGGGCCTGTAGTGGGACGAGTCCACCAGGCCGTGTTCGATCATACCTGCACAAATCAGACAGAACGAAGACGTCAGTCTTTATTTCATTCAGTCACACTTTATCTCCACTAATCCATCTGCCTTTTGCTGTCTGCTAGTTTTCTGTTAGTCAGGTTGCAGGGTTTCTCTAATTAATTCATTTTCCAGACTTCAAAGTGAGACTATGGGATGTTTTAGGAAGAAATAACTAATTTAAATAGATCTTTCTGTGCAACTGTAATTGCCGATTCGATGACTTTTCTCTGGTTGTGTTACACTTTACTACCGTGCTCCTGTTTTAATTTACCATTTATCTCGCATTAAATGTTTTCCGCTTTTTCCAAAATGTTACATAAAGATTTTGGTTGGTTTTTATGGGATTATTTGATTATGCTGATGCAATGAACATATGTTATAACAACATATTTCCATACTTTTAAAACCTTTTTCTCAATTTTTTAAACAGTTTTTCCAGTTTTTTGAAATCTTTTTATAAAAAAAAAAGAAGTAGAAGAAATTTTAAGAGTAAGAGGAGAAAACAGTGTTTTCTTTCTTTCTGGTGGAGTTGCTGACCTGGAAACAGTGATAAAACTGTCATCAGAGCTCCAACCAGCCTGTTGACAGGAGACACATAGAACAGGACCTGCAAGGCATAAGAAACACAAAAATAAAAACAGACATTCGGGGTCATTTTTCAAACCTTCTGACTTGCTAAGAAAGGAGAAAAGCTTTCTTTGTGAGTCGTACCTTCTTCTCCAGCAGAATAAGCTTGAAGAGGATGAGAACCTGTGAAGGTAAAATGAATAAAATTAAAATAATTACTTACATAACTTCTGTTACACAACCGGCAGAAACAATATTGTTCAATCTTTAATTTCCCACCTTGTGTCGAAACTGCAGTATTAAATCTCTTGGTGATAACCCTGCGGGGAAGAAAACAAGCAGAGCATCAACAAATGAGGAATTTGCCCTCAGATACAAATGCATGAACAGTTTTGTCACATGGTCACAGGCCTGACAAGACAAATAACCACAAATATGTTCTATTTATCTGTTGAAAGAATATCTGCATCTCTCTTGGAGCAAACTCACTGTTTTTTAATAACTGTTCAGTCACTTTACTCCTTTACAGACGACTGAGATGTGGTGTAAAGAAGTTATACTAGATCTAAATCTATGAATATGCAAATTGCGTTCATTTCTAAAGCTTTCCTGCTGGGCACAAGATGTCTCCTACTTCACCGTAAAGTCCACTGTGGCTTCAAGTTTCACACATAATAGTCACACATGATTATAAGTTCCCTAATGGACCGGGAGTGACTTCCTAAACTGTTTGTGATGTTACAAATCATGCCTTTCAAATCAGTTTTTCCAGTGAGCAGCAGAGAAACTTTCCGCTTTTCAGCAGATGAATGTGAACACAGCCTTCTAGTGTCAAACCTCTGCACGTGCATCAATCCGCACAGCGACGCTCTAACATTCAGCTAGGGGAACGGGAAGAAGAACACGTGTTCTCGAACCTACCGAGATAAACCTGTGATCCGTCCAGAGCCGAACCCCTCAGAGATCCGTTCATGTGGTCGTACAGTTCCTGCGGGGTCGGAGGAAGGAAGGAGGGTTTATTTAATAATGATAAACAGAAAAAAGGGCTAAAATAATAATTAACAAACAGATGCTTTCTCACCTTTAAAATGGAGATCTGTGAAAAGTCTTTCTCCTCGAAGTAGGCGTGCGTGATGAGCTGTAGCTTCGCTTGAAGCAGACCGTAGAGAGGCTGGAAATGAAAACAAACGCCGTCAGCAGCCGATCATATGTGTGTGTGTTAATAATGCCTGAGTCATTTACAGCATGACCCATAAAAAACACACACTGTGAGCCAGTTTCTCCTCACAGGGACAACCAACTCCATCACACCTCCTGTTTTCTTTCTTTTTACCAGGAAATGGCCAAACATGACGAACTCTATTGTTTTTAGTATTGTGCTCATTTAACTTCTCTCAGGAAAAGTGTGGAGTGGCTGATGGCTGGCTTTCAGTAGCTCATATATCCCAGGTTTTTTTTTCACAGTAAAGGACATTCACTTCATGCAAAGCACCCACTCTTTCTAAGAAATCGTTTTCCATGATGCTAACTTGCATATGTTGGGCAACTTGCATAATTATATTATTATATTTCCACATGTGTTTGTTTTTGCTGTGCAGAACTGTGTCATTGACCTGTGTCTTTGTATTAAGCATATAAATACTCAACTCCCAGTGGGCTGAACTTGAGGTTATTTATATGCTTAATGCATAAGTGCAGCAGTAAAGACAAGGTTACTGGCAAAATGCTACATGGCAAAAGAAAAAGCAGAACTGAAGAAGTTTGAGGAAATATTACGTCTAAACATTCCCACCAATAACACTGAGCTCTCTTGTTTCCAATATGCATCTATTAAGTATATAAATGACCTCAAAATGAATCCAAATCAGCACACCGGGAGTTAAAATGTCACCTCTTCCGCTCTAAAAGGTTATTTTGTACTTCTCAGAAATAGATTCACAATCCCTGATGATGCTTATTAATGTTAACGATGCAATTAACATATTGCAAGTTCGCAACTGTACATTTCTAACATAAAACATCAAAGTTGGCTCTCCTGGCCGGCTAACAAACAATAAACCTGCGGACGGTGCAGGATTTCACCAAGAAACTTTGGAATAAAACAAGATTTCTTCTCTGACGTTCAGCTCAGAATATCTACCGGCTCATTCAGCATCACGTAATTGTTTCAGAGCCTGCAGCGCCAACGTAAATATACCTCACAGCTTTAAAACGGTGACTGCAAGTCACTCAAAGCTCTGTGGGGACACATGAAAGAGAATTTTACTTCTTTTATCACTCTGTATGAGAGGAGACGGACACTTTGGAGCCTCACTGGATTCACATTAGAGGAGAATATAGCAGAAAATAAAAAGTCCTTATAGACGCTGATTAATTTAAAGCCTTTCCTGCTATCATATAATCACTGCATTATTTCATATATAACTCTTATAAGCTACAGAGAGTGAAATCTTATTCTAATGTGCTGTAAGGTAACGGCTGACTCACCACTCGACTGAGGACGCAGACGCTCTTCTGAACGGTCTCCCTGGTGACGTCAGCCTGTCGGACCTTTAGGGCCTGAAGAGGGATTAAAAACATTCATACGTAAATAAATATAAAAGGCCACAAACCAAACGTTGTGAGGCCGCTGTGTGACCTCTTAAAATAAACTGATGTCATGAGAGACAGAAAATAGAACATGTTGTCATTTTATTTGCTCTGTTTGCTTCAAATCAAATCAAGAACACACACAAAAAAGAGAGCAGTGGTGTTTTGTGTACACCGTACTACTTATTTCATTATTTAATTTAAAAGATGTGAGCTCCCGCCACTGTTGTCTACATACTTTTGGCCATACAGTAAAAATATAAGATGTATTTTCTGAGCTAGACAATAAAATCAAGGCTCCGGCGTTAATAAAAACTACATTCAACTGACCTTTGCTTCTATTTGGCGATAACAGGAAACTCCGTAGACACACTTCATGTCTCCGCTGAGCGGCGGCAGGTGAAAATACACAGTGTCTGCAAAACAACAAGAGGGGTCATGTTAAAATGCATTCTTTCATATAAGGATCTGCAAAATACTCCTTCATGAGATTCAGCAGCCAGTTAGATAAGATACACTGTGTGTGTGTGTGTGTGTGTGTGTGTGTGTGTGTGTGTGTGTGTGTGTAGGATTTAAACTGCGCTCACACTGCAGAATAAGCTTCAGCAACCTGACAGTGAGTTCAGAGAGAGGATGGTGGTTATATAAAAGAGAAGGTACAAGAGGAGAGAGCAGCTGAGGAGGGACGTTTCAGTGGTTATTTTACAGCAGGGCTTTTAAAACCAGCCGTCTATTCGCTGTCAAACTGGATAAACTTGACCAAATTGACAAGCTTTTCATTCCTGGCTTATTTCCAAGCTGTCAACCAACCGATTAGCTTCAGTTAGAGAACCAAAACGAGTTGTTCTGCATGTTTAACTACAACTACAAAGGGCAATTACTCAAGTTAATATACTTGTGTACACATCTGAGGCCCTTTCTTGTCTTTCTTTTCTACTTATATTCAACTACATTTCAGAATTATTGTACTTTTTACTTCACAAATAATATCTGACAGCTATTTTTACAAACAAAATATTCAATTCAATTCAATTCAATTTTATTTGTATAGCACCAATTCATAACAGAAGTTATCTCAGGACACTTTTCAAATAGAGCAGGTCTAGACCGAACTCTTTATAACATTATATGTTACATATATACAAAATATGATCTTTTGTTATAGATTAAAACTACCCAACAGTGTATAGAAGCACAGCTTTCTCACCATTTTTACAAACCAAACAATCTTTTAATTATGGAGAAAACAATCAGATCAATCCATAATGAAAACAGTCGTTCGTCCACTTCATCAGTCATGTTGTTTTGAGTCGGGTTTGTCTTCTGAACTGATTCGTTTTGGTGCATTCAAAGACATCTGAGACACCTTCTTGCTGCTTTTAGCAAAGTTTGTTTATTGTTTGTCTTAAGGTTTTATTTCCTCATGAATAAAATACTGTTCTGGCAGCTGACTCTCACATTTTGGATATTAGAGCTCTCCAAAAACACAAAAAGTTAAGTATAAATGCTTTATCAAGCAGTGCAAATGCTGCAGTAAACTGTCACTGTGATGGATTTCCTACTGACTTTCCTCCGGTCTGCAGGTTAATTTCCATACTGTACTGAAATAAACACAAACTGGTGCTTATGTGGAATCTAAAACCTCGAGTACAAAGATTTGGAACATGGCCAGCAATAACGTAACATATGGTACAGTTGTTAAAGCTGGGGATGCACTACAAAACTACAGAGATAAACCTCTCTGCCTTGAGAGCTGAACGGCCCGCTCACTGTCCGTGCCGCCGCGTGGAGCACATCTGTGTTTGTGTGCAATTTGTACCAGTGTTGGAAAACGGAGGTGATTTATTTCTCATCACAGACTGCCTGAAGCTCCTTTAACAGAAGAACAACAAAGTTAGCAGTGAAGGGAAATGCCACAAGTGCCGGCGCTCATTCCATCTGAGGGGAGGATGAAGAGCGTTTAATAATGTGGTTTAAGATCTTCCTCTGGATGAGACGACAGCAGAGAGTCACAAAGGTTAGACTGCGGACGTCAGAGATTAACCAGAGCCGGGAGGGGAGGCGGGGTTCAGGCTGGGCAGCAACAGGGCATCTGGACAGAGGCCACAGCTGCATTATGCCAAAACACAGCCTTCAACTCTGCCTTACAGTTTAAATTCCCTTTTTTAGAGCTGGAGTTAATTCAGCTTTCTGAAAGCTGCTTCCAAAAAAGATGCAGGAGATACGAAGAAGAGCCCGCGGAAGGGAAATGAGACTGAAACATCTGAGACCCGCAGACATGGCTTTGCTTCTAGGTTTTAGTTTTAGTCTGGTGGTTCCCGAGATTGCGAGATTATCATCAAAGATGGGAGAACAGAAAATAACCCACAGTGGTTGTGAAACATGTAATATGCTGCTACGATGTTACGGTGTGTTCAGATGGTTATTAGGTAGTGAAAGGAAGCTCTATGGTTCGGTTTACATCCAAAAACTGGTTTCTTTGGAGGTGCCATTTGCGAGATAGTGATTGGATTTTTCTATTTAATGTGTATTTTCCTTATCTGCTGTGTTGTATCTGGAGCTGCTGTAGCGAGTGAATTTCCCAAGTATCCTTCCAGGTTTGGATCTCAGATTTTAGGGAAGCATACAGACACCTCCCCTTTCAGTAGAGAGATGTGAAAACCCCTCTTTTTGTGACAAACTCTGCACAGATACAAGCCAGTAAAGTCAAGGTTTGACATTTTAGGTGACATAAACATAAGAAAAACAGCTTTAGTCCAGCTTCACCTCCTCCAACAGCAGGTAAAATGACAGCAGAGAAGCAAGTTGGGAGACTAAAATGGCTCCAAATCTGCTTTAGAGCAAAGTCAGGAAACATACTTGCACATTTGTCTTTTTAATGAAAGATGCAGGAAGATGGGACGGGTCAAAACAATGAAAAAATATGCCTGAAGAGCAGCTACAGCTTAAAAAGAAGCAGTCTTATTTAATATAAGGTGTGTGTTCTCATGTGATGATTCTGTTCATCTTTAGCAGTATTTCCTGCAGTGTCTTCCTCTGTAACCAACACCCAGTCATATCAGTGTGACTGCTGTTTATGAGCCGCAGTGCAGAGGGAGGGAGTCGGTCACATCAATAGTGTTTGTTCTTTTTTTTTTTTTCCCCCAATCAGCTAACAGCCTGCTGTGGCAGCGACACACACTGGAGCAGCAGAAACAAAGGACACAAAAGATGAAGGAATATGCGGCGGGGATCGATTCACATCTTCAATTTAAAGATGTGAATGCGAGAGGCATCCTGAGGGGCTGATATTGAGCTCACGGGTTGTTTAAAAGCAAAGATTTCCCCTCATGTATTCTCCGTCCTTCAGGCTGATGGATGCATCTGCTCTGGGAAGATTTTGCTTTTTCTTGCACACATGAAAACCTTAATTGTTTTCATTCCCTAGTCAGAGCTGACCAGACAGAAACACTGTTCATGGGTGGAGTTTTAGTTGAAAGTCGGCATGTGAACTCTGACTCAGTTCCTATTTGCCTTCGCGGGACAGGATGAGAGGTAGTGGTGAGCCACAGGACTGTCACATGACGGCAGCCACAACACACGGGACAGTTTGCCAAGAAGGCAGAGCTGGCTCGCTCTCACTGCAGGGACAGCAGAGTCCTGCCCTCTTCTCTTTACAGCCGGTTTATCTGTTCAAAAGCGACACCTGCTTTTACAAAACCAACAGAGCTGAAGGCAAACAGTATCACATCATCTGTTCACTGACAGCTGCCATAGGAGGATCTAAACAACACTTCATTTTCCATGTTTAAAAACTCAATAATGGACTCAAAGTGACATTTTTACACCAAATAGATGCATAAAACCTTTAAATAGACGCCATATAAAAGGGCAATTATTACTGAGTGCTCAAAGCCATGTTCAACCGCCCAGAAGTGACAATCTCATGCTCTAGATAATGTTTTTTTTGCCTTTTTGGAGTTTCTCCTACATGCTTGTAAGGCTCAGCTGTATTCAAATGGTTTGCAATCTACAATTTTAAAAGGGGTATCAGTTGCCCCAAAACACTGAACAACAGTTTGTGATTAACTCTGGGAACAACTAGATTATCTTTCCTCTTTTTCCCCCAAGGTTTGCAGCAGAAATATGGAGATCACTTAATCTACCAGGGATGTGCGCTAGCATGTATGTGATTGGTCAACACAGCGGCTCGCGAGGTGGCTTTGTTTGTTCACACAGGGCTCAAGTCTGTCTGCACGCGGGCCTTTGAGTTAGCCTAAAGACATTAATCAGGGCAAAAAAGCACAACCATTTCCTCTGCAAAATGCAAAAAGCCGTATCTAGAGTGAGTGTTTGGTTTGTCCCTTCTGGGCTCCACTATCTGTAGATAAAAACGTCTCATTCTAAGGTTACAAAAACACAACAATTCTTATTTTCAGATGCTTACAGACTAATAAAAACACACCTATGAATATTATATTCCCTTTCTGCCAATAGATCCTCCTAAATATTAAACGCCGGACCTTTAAAGATCTATAAACTCTGCAGTACCTTCCTGGTAGTTGTGCGCCCCGTCCGGTAGAGCCAGGAAAGGGAGGTACTTCCACTCTTCTGGCAGCAGGTTGCTGTCATGGCCCTCATCTGGCATCAGCGGCGGGTAGGAGAATTCAACCTGATGGTGGCGGAGGAGGGAAAGACAGTCAGCAACTTTTCCTGAACTTTTAATTCTTAATCCTGTGAGTGTTTCCTCCACATGCACCGGTTTCCTCCTGCAAGGTTAGAGGATCTACAGACTGTAATCCTCCCTGAACTCTCAATATGGACGATAGGTTTCTTCTCTTCCCACCATTAAAGCAGTTGTCTTCTCTTTTTGTTCTTTATTGCTTATCTTTATAATACTTTTATCATCTTATCATTTCTTTTTCTTATTCATGGGGGCTCTTTGCATGTTATATGTTGCTCTAAAGAGCGTTCTTTGTTCCTATATGTCAAATATATAAAGGAATAAAGAAAATATTCAACATTTAAAACTGGTAAGAAATCCAGAAAGAAACTCTAGGTACTTAACAGCATTACACACTAATCACACACAGTGTCTGAAACCTTGATCCACAGAATACATGCTCACATGTTCAGCAGCTATGTTTACAATGATAACCATCTTAGTTTGGTGTGTAACAATCAGCTCTTCACACAAAGAACATGTGAGCCTGATTTACTGATAGTAAAGTGAAGGATTAATGCTTCATCATCATCAGGAATATCTGTAGTAAGTTTCATGGAAATCCATCCAAACTGGGCAAACTACGAGTAACTCCCTCCAATATTTGGATAGTTGACACACAATTTGGGCATTTCTAAAATTTCTGTCACCAACCATCTGAAAACAGAAACTTTCCCATCACAAAACTGAAAGTTATACAACCTGTTTTACATGATGGTGAAGCTCAATGTACGTTTGGCTTCCAACAAGATTAACCTGAAACCTGCTGGTCGCCACACACACACACACACACACACACACACCCAGCAGTGCACTCCCTCAGGGCGAAGCACTACTACAGACTCTGGAGAAGTGATGCTCTTCATAAAAACCCGCACATGTCTCTTTAATAAGCCAGAAGACACAGACGGGTGGCAGGTGAATAAAAGGTGGAAGGGGGGGGTCGAGAGAGAGGCATTCAGAGTGTAAGAGAAGAGGGATTAAAGAGCCAGGAACTCAATCTGATACCCAGCAGGAGATCGCTGACCCCTATCAGATAACCTCCACCACCGCCAGAGGCAACAGGCCTGAAACAAAGAGAGGGCACTGTCTGCTTTCTCTTTTTTACATCCGAAAATGTCTTTTTTTTTTCATCTTTGGGCTCGAACAGCAGCTGCTGGCGGGGGGCCACTGAGTCGAGATAAACAGGCCACAGAAAGACGGGTGCCTTCATCTTTTGGGACAGATGGAGAGCAGCGACAGCGAGGAGGCGCGGCACGTTCAGGATTTACGGCCTGTAAATTTAATGAATGAATTGAATTTTGAGGAAGAAGAGGAGAGCGTTCATTAGAAGATGCATTAGAGGCTCTTAGGGGCGAGTGGCACACATGCACTTTCACTGATTAGCAGGTGTTAAACGCTGCTTTGTGTCATGCAAGAGGCGCAAAAGGCCAACGTGTGAGGGGCGAAATGTTCATCTTTGCAAAACAGGTTTGAGGCAGAATGTGAGATTTGTCTGCGAGTCAAAAAAGAAATTTAAAAAAATGAGGCTTTGTGGAGAAAAATGGTTCAATGGTTGAACAAAAGCGGTTCAGGAAGAGCCTGGAGAGATAGTTGTTTTCATCATTTCATTGTGATCTGACGGTGGGTTTTCGTGTTTAATCACAATAAATGAATTTTCATGAGACAATCTATGAGTTACATAATGTTTTCCAACTTTATAGACTAGGTTTTGTTGAAAAAAAACCACATTAAAATGCCCTTAAATTAAGAAATCTAGCAGGTATTTGTAGCGAAACTCTGCAAAAAGTAGAAACATTTGTTATGGTATTTAAATATTTACAGTAACAGTGTACGTCATTACACAATTATTATCATTATTATTACTATTTTCACCAGTTACACCGCCCTTACAGCTGTCGCAAGATGCTTCATAAGACTGGAAAGACACAAAATCTGTCTGAGAAGGAAGAATCATTCATTGTTTGAACTTGAAGTCAGTATTTGGGTTGGAAAGGTTGGGAAAGTCTGAGTCAGTGAGCCTCACTCAGACTGAGATCTCTGTTGCAAGGGGGGAGTCTCCCACACATTTCTATGTCTTGTTTTGTCCCAGACGCACAGACGTTCAGGTTAAAATGATAAAAAAAATGAAGTGACCAATCATCGACACAAGAACTTGAGGGACGTAGAGAACCTCGGAAACCTCAAACTTCCTTCTGATAACTTCAGAAAACGTTGTCTTTCGCAGATACGCAAAGCTACTCTATGAAACTGCTGAGCTTTTATCTATCAAACTCTCTTTCTACAGGGGAAAAAACTTGAACACACACACACACACACACAGAAACCCTAACAAGAGACAGATTAAAAGCAGACTTAATAATGCAAAACATAATAATAATAATAATAATAATAATAATAGCTGCAGCTGGGTTAAAGTGGGAGCAGAGCACATTGTTATATAACCCTGTGAGCCAGGCCCCAGTATCATCATCATTATTATTATTATTATTAGTATTATTATTGTTATTATTGTTATTATTATTGTTATTATTAGTATTAATAGTGTCCGGATCGGTCCCACCGCAGTTCGAGAGCCCCCACAGACCCACAGCTACCTGACAGCCCTTCTTATGGTGGAATCCAACCACCGCGATGTGCAGCACCGGTCCTTTCACTTCGTCTCTGCCGTGAGGCTCCATCCCGGCTCCCGTATTCTTCTGCTGCTGCTGCTGCTTGTTGTTGTTGTTTGTTGTTGTTTGTTGTTTATTCACTACACAATAATATGTGCTACCCCCCCCTCCCCTTTCCTCGAAGTTGAATCGATGCCGTCCGCAGTAGCCAGAGAGAGAGAGAGAGAGAGAGAGAGAGAGAGAGAGAGAGAGAGAGAGGTTTTTCTCTTCCGCTTCGACCCACTGCGCAGGAAGAGCGAGCAGCGTGAGAGAGTTCACTCCGGCGCGCTTCCGCGTACGTCATCACAACACGTGATTTATTTATTTATTTATTTTTTTTTACATTTATTTTGAAAATATTTTTATTTTTATTTATTTTTAATTTGTACTCTATCTTTGATTTATTTATTATGTATGTCGCCGATTGTTATTTTATACCTTTTAGTTTTATACATTTAAATTGTTCAATAAAAAAACATTTATTTTGAAAATATTTTTATTATTATTATTATTATTATTATTTATTTTTATTTGTACTCTATCTTTGATTTATTTATTATGTATGTCACCGATTGTTATTTTATAGCTTGTAGTTTTATACATTTAAATTGTTCAATAAAAAAACATTTATTTTGAAAATATTTTTATTATTATTATTATTATTATTATTATTATTTATTTTTATTTGTACTCTATCTTTGATTTATTTATTATGTATGTCGACGATTGTTATTGTATACCTTTTAGTTTTATACATGTAAATTGTTCAATAAAAAAAACATTTATTTTGAAAATATTTTTATTATTATTATTATTATTATTATTTATTTTTATTTGTACTCTATCTTTGATTTATTTATTATGTATGTCACCGATTGTTATTTTATAGCTTGTAGTTTTATACATTTAAATTGTTCAATAAAAAAACATTTATTTTGAAAATCGCCTGTGAACTGGATGTAAACTTTAAATAAAACTTATTATATAAGAGATAAAGCCAGAGTGTATAAAAATAGTTAAATAATAAATCAATAAGATAAATTAACGTAATACATTAATTAATAACACAATATTACAGGATTTTACCGTTTTATAAATACTGATCTAAACATTTGTTTAATTCAATTATTTTCTTTCTCTTTCTATATAAAGTATATAAATATAAATATATATATATATATTTGGTGTTTTTAACTTCCCAGAAACAAAACTGAAGACAAACCTCACTGCACATAATGTTTGATAACGTATTGATTGTTTTCTCTTAGAATAATTTGTTATTTTACCAAAGAGATATTATATATTATAAGTTTTAATTTCTCTTTAATTTTAATGTTGCAGCACATTTTTATTTTTTTACAAACTATATCAATAAGTCATATTGTGTAGATAAAATATCGATTTCCAGCTGTCACATACATTAAATGTCTAAAAAAAGATTTATATTCTCCTCTGAAACAGTTAAACAGAGATATTAGGCGGCCTGTACGACTACGGAAACTGCGGAGGGTCATTTATCTCAGCGCAGTGCAGGTGGACCAGCACAACTGGCGCCGCCACGTGGAAACAGAATCGATAACAAATCAATAAAAAAATCCGCAGACGCTGATATCGATGAGTCAGGTGCGATTGCTTTAGTCTGGAGAACTCACGCTCCTCTATCGATTGCTTTCTGGCTGCGCGCGCACTCCACTGATTTGAACATGGCGGCGACTCCGGCGACCAACCCGTCCCAGTTGCTCCCTCTCGGTGTGTAAAACTCTTAATTAATCGAGTTTCTGTGTGCGCAGAGGTGATTATTGGTTAGCATCGACTAGTATTGATTAGTGTGGAGAAAGCTCAGGCTGTGTGTGGCGGGATTATCCCGTCTATTGATCTTTAATTGGAGATTCGTGCAGTTAGCTGGCGAGTTAGCGTTAGCATCACGCTTTGAGATCACAGTGGTAAAATCAAAACATACTTATTGACAGTTTTATTTAGGTTTATAAAGGATATTAAAGGTTATTTATATACATTATAATTGTATACATATTAGGAAGGGGATGTATTGTCCCAAATATCAGACATTCATTCAGTTTATGCTCATTTAAGAGGAATTAGTGTTGAATCTTTGTCCTTTTTCTTATTAATTACAATATAATCTTATTTTATCAGGTCTGATTGAGGTTATTGTTTTAATTTATTACATATTTTAAGTGATCGCAATCCAAAAAGGCTTAATAACTACAAAGTGAAGTCATTTTTTGGAGCTTAATATTAATATTGTTCTGATTATTAACTGAATCTCCTTGTTTTTAGGGACTGTTGGTCGAATAAAACAAGTGATTTGAAGACGTTACTGTCTGGGAATTAGATTTTTAAATAACGTAAACAATCGATTAAAAGGAAAACTTGATAAAGAAAGAATTAGTAATTGAGTCTATAGAAGTTAAATCTCTCATATACCACAAAGAGGCAAATGCTCCTGTTTTAAGAAGCTTTAATCGGCAAAAGTTTGGTGTTTTTATAATAATAATGTATAATAATAATTCTAATAAACGGTGCAATGTAAAAAAAACCTGATAATTTTATAAAAACTGTAGAAAAATGACTTTCTGTCTGATTTTCCTCTTTGTTTTCCACCTTTTTCTCTTTAGAGCTCGTGGACAAATGTATCGGCTCCCGAATTCACATCGTCATGAAAACCGACAAAGAGATCGTCGGCACCCTGCTGGGCTTCGATGACTTTGTCAGTATCCTTTCCAGTTTGCAGTCTAATCACAGAAACCACACACACACACACACGAGTTTAAACCTCTGCGTGATTTCACTTTATCGTTCGCTCTGAATATTTGTCCCAGATCTCTTCCTCAACTCCCCGTTTTCAGATATGGTGCTGGAAGATGTGACAGAATTGTAAGCACACTTTGTTTTTTTTTTTTTTATTTACGTTTGCATTAATAAATCCACTCGTTTGCCTTTTTCTCCTGTTTTATTGAATGAACGCGTTGTTGTATGTGTGTCTCAGTGAAATCACACCAGAGGGAAGGAGGATAACCAAACTGGACCAGATCCTCCTCAACGGCAATAACATCACCATGGTGTGTAAATAATCCTGTGGCTCATATCTGACCCGGTACTGTTGTTTTTTTAGACCTTTACAGTTTAATTTATATTCATATATGTTCTGGTTTGCAGCTCATACCTGGAGGAGAAGGTCCTGAAGTATGAGAATCATCACTTGAGTGCGGAGACAGTTTTTTTTTTTTCCCTTTTTTGTGTTCCTGAGTTGATTATGACGTTGTTGTTGTTTTTGGATCAATCCTTCTCGATCTTGAGGGAGAATATTTTTGTATATGTTTTGGAAAAACAAAAGTGTCGTGAACCACACGTGACAAAAATTCCTTTTACAAATAAATGAGAACGAAACAGTTTGAAAAAAAAAACCTTCTTTATTTGTATTTTTTTTTTCTAAACTCATAGTTGTACAACTTTTAAATTTAGTGCAAGTGTCGGTACGAAGTGTCGTCGCACCACAGCAGTGATAAAACCTGGATCCAGTTGTGTTCTATGTTTTTGAGAAGAATAAGAAAAGACTGAACAGAGAGAGAGTTGATTTATATTGAATCCACCCAGTGAACTTTAAAACAACAGAGGGGGTTGTAGAATCTGTCCCTGTGGTTCCTCCTCCTCCTCCTCCTCCTCTCCAGCTTTCAGTACATGGATGGTTTCTCCTCTCCTTTCGGGTTGGTCACCTTCTCCAGATTCTTGTTGATGATGTCGTACAGCTCGGCCTGTAAACGGGTAGGGGAAAGAAAACGGGTTTAAGTTTTCCTCCTGAGTGACGGTATGGTGGGAAATACCTCTCGACTCAGGTCAGTCTGACTTACGTAGAAGCCGCGAATGTCGAGAACGATCACTCTGATCTCAGAGAAGATGGTCTCGTCCTTTTCGTGGACAAGCGAGCGGTAGTCCATCTGGAGGAGGAGAAGTTAAAAGGTATTTATTAAAGCCTTTTAAAGAACACTGCTGGTGTTTTATATTTTTCTTATTGTCAACAAATCCTATGACAACAAAAACCGACACCTCTCAGTGCTTTCTGACGCCCCTAATCTGATAAATATATATTGTTTAATTCCTTCAAAGGCTCAGTAGTGTCCTAAAACATCTGGTCACTGTAGTTTTTAACAACAAAACAAGAAACGGTGCATTTTTGGGGACTATTTTCAGCGGCGGATGCATCCACATTTGGTGCTCTAGTGAGTATTTGGTGCGGCAGGACGTTGTTTGTGGGATTGTGTCAAAATAAACTACAGTGTGTGTGTTCGTGGTAATGAAAGAATGTGTCTCAGTGCGGCTCATTGATGTGTTTTTAGTAGCTTTTGGTCTTTTTATTGGATTTGTTGACACCTACATTATCCTTTAAAATACAGACATAGTGAACACTCACCACATGAGTGTCTTTGGAAGCTTTTGCGACAGCATCTCCCCTCTCTGAAAAATACCTGGACGATTGAAAAGAAATGGTTTTATAAGTCACAGTCAGGAAAATGTACCTGTAAATCTGTTGATTTCAACCAAAATCACCACAAAAAATGACGTTTTCTGATTCTGGAACAGTTTAAAAACACTGGATTCTTAATAAAAGTAAAATAAAACTTAAACAAGACACAATCTTAAAGTTTTTGGAGGGTTCATGGTCCATTTATATCCAACCTACTTGTTGATGTTGGTCTGAAAACCGTCGACTTTAGTCTTCACTGCAGCAATTCTCTCCAAGATTTTCTCCTGCGGTGAGAAAATAATTCGCCATGAACTCAACCCTTCACGCAATTTCATCGACACTGTGCGTGAACAGGATGCACACGTGTACGTACCTGGATGGCGACACCGAAGTCATTTCCATCTTCTATTTTGGGGATGAGGTGCTGAATCCAGCAGGAGACCTACAGCGGCGGGACGTGAGTCAATTCAGCGTTATGGAGAATAATCTTGAGTCAGCATTAATCCTAACAGTGAGTGTGATTCACTTACAACGATGATGGTCTCTCTAAGAGCAACGATCTCCGGTTTCACCCTCTCTAGAAGCATTAAAATCTTCTCATTGCCTTTGATGAAGCCACATTTTGGAGCTGAACGACAGGGAGGAGAAATTAGTTGTATTGTCACGTATGTTTGTGTCCAGATGCCACAAAAACAAACACTTTTTTTTTACCTTTCTTCTTTTTCTTCTCATCGTCTTCATTCTTATCTGTCTCCATTTCCTGAGGAGATCAGATTCACACGGTCAACAATGTGATGTAACCTCAGGCCTCATTAACCAAGTTACTAATTGATACATGCATAAATCCCTGTTTTATAGGTATACCCAGATAACATTAGTGCAGTCTAATACAACAATCCTGCTTTAAATCATGAAGGTTTTAATGTTTTTGTTCTGCAGAGGAATGTATGATCATTTTGGAGGATGTAGTTTGTGCTTCCCTTGAACTATATTGTATATATTGTTACATAAAAACATTAAACCCTCCATGAAGGGAAGACATATTAAAGAACTGCTGTTTAATATTAAAAAGGTATTAAAATGAGGTATTTTGTGCTGTACAGTGGTGCACACACTTTCAACCACACACACTGTTACTCATACGCTCTCACCTCGTCCTCTGTGGGAGGAGGGTCCGGTATGGGGATGTCCAGGGGAGCCTGGAGCGAGGTCATGTCTGTGATACTGAGGGCGTCATCCTGAAAACACACACACACACACACACACACAGGATGAGGAGACCACAAGCTGCAGAAGCTCGCTTTTATTTGCATAATCTGCTCCTCTTCTGTGGGTAATGTGGAGCTCATAATGATCCTTAGTGTTTGCAGAAGTTAAATGACAATGTGCAAACACTACTGGTCCGTTTGTGGGCGTTTATCTGCTTTAAATAAAAACTGTGGAGCATCAATTAAGTAAGTTATCGAGACGTGCTGCAGCTTTAGGGCCCGCTGAGCTCTACTGACCCTGAGCAGAGCATCCAGCTGCACAATCTTCAGAGGGATGCAGTTGGAGAACAAATTCTCAGCCTGAAAAACACAAACAAAAATAAGTTTCAGCTGCTGGTTTTCAACCAAAAGTGTCATTAAAAATGTTTCAAAACTCCACAAACCTCATGATACAGCGACTGGCGGAAGTTTTCCACCTGTAGAAGATGTAAAAACAGATTGTTTAAAGCTGCTGACTCATGTTACTGTAGAGGAGCTTTTAGGATTTTTACTTTCGTTTTCCTCTCAGAGGGACTTTCCGTCTTTACACCGGACTGTTTAAAACATGTTTGTTGTTCATGTTTCAGAAACTATCCGCATTAAATTAACTCCCTTATAAATATATATATATATATATATCTTCCTCTATTTTAAACTCTTGTAGCATAATGCTAACTCATGTAGCCTGAACGGAGCGCGTGAACACGTCAACCTCACCTTAAGTGCGCTCGCGCTGTTGATCTTCAGGGTTGACGTCTTCGACATTATCGATTATCGATCAGACTTTTTTTTTTGCAGCTGAGAGACACAGAAACACGTCGGTTGCAGTCTCAGACGGCTCAGTGGAGGACAATATGTCTGACCTGTGTGATTTTCTTTTATTTCCTCCTTCGGTTTACTTTCGATTTGATGTCGGGTGATGCAGTTTGCGCCCTCCCACTGCCTCCCTCTGCCTCCCTCCTCTTCCTCAATAGTACGGTGCTTTCCTCCTCTTAATGTCTGCAGCGTTACAACTTCAGCAAGAGGACACGTTGTGGATTTAAAGGTCAATAATTAATCATAATAATTAGAAGAAATGTCTTTAATGTCTCAATAAGACTGTAAAAACACTGGGTTTTGCATTAGTAGTTATAATATTACTATAATTTCCCCAGTAACTTGTAGTGTAACTGATTACTATTACATTTCAGGAGTTGGCATTCCTCCCACTGACAATCACATCCTTATAAATATTCTCATTTATTTAATTTTAACAAACAAAACTGGATTTTTTTTAGAAAAAGACACCAAAAACAATTTTATGGGGAATAGCAGGAAAGTAATGTAACTAATTACTGTGACAGGGAGTAATTAAAGTACTTTTTAATAGAGTAATAAACATTATTACAGTGCACATCGCTTTGGGAATGTTACTTAATTAAAAGTATTATCAGAAAGGTGTATAAAGTATTAAAGGTATATGTGATTGTTATATATTTATATATTATATCATTAGATTTTAATATAAAGTAAAAGTAGAAAGTAAGCTCTAATGCTACTAGTACAAGTACCTCAAATGTGTACTTAAGTACAGTATTTATTCAAATTGTGGTGAGTGTCTGAAGAATAATAATATTTCATATTTCTGTTGAGGCTTCAATAAAATGTTTATAATAATATACAAATAAATTTAAATCACTGTAGGACAGTTCTGCGATCAGTGGAATAGACAACACATTTTATGATTTCACACACACTCTTTTATTATTTTCATTTAATATGTAGATAAAACACATTATAAGAACATATATATGAATATATATTTATCTATGTATCTGGAGCTGCTGTAACATGTGAATTTCCCCCAATGTGGGATCAATAAAGTCTTTAGTATTTTTCTTTCCCCTGCAATTATATTTAAATACTTAGTAACTAGTTAAACTGTTAGTTACTGGGTTATTTGAGTTACAACTAAAAGCTGTTTTGGAAAATCCTGCAAAGTTTTATTGTTGGACATCCGATTTTATTTTGAAAACTAGAATCCAACCGGAAGTAGAACCGGAACTTAAACCCGTCGTTCCGCATTTGAAGCTAGCTCCAGAGCCAGTGTCGGTACAAACGGAGCAGGAGCGACATTAACCGCTGATATGGACTTAAAAACGAGTTATTCTCATTAATGGCAACATAAAGACTTTAATCCAACACCTGGAAGGACTTTAATGACTGCGTAAAGCTCGTGAAGACGGTGATTTAAATGCCGCAGGTATGTTGTTGTAACGCTTCTTCTTCTTCTTCACGAACTTTTAAAGTTTCGGTTTCAACGAGCGATAATTGTTATTTTAATCTTTTCACCTTTTTAAACCGCGCTAACTCGTTATAAGATGAGATTATTGTTATTTGTGAGTGTTTGTGCTTTAGTGTTTACTGTAAGTGCAGCTGTCAGTGAGTTAGCCCGGACTTTCCCCCTTAAAAAGTCGTTAATGGGGAATTAAAAGTGAAATTGTTGTTTACATTTTGTCCCTAAAAATGAAAATGAAAAATGTTCTGCTGCCACTTGCTCACAACTTCTATCTTTAAATAAATGCTATGTTATTTGCATTAAAACCCGCTTTTTAGTGAAGTTTTTTTAGGGAGTTTCCTGGTTTAATTCACCTCCAGGTTGATGACTTTCTCTTATTATTATTTATTATTTGTTTGTACAATTCACTTATTAACTATATAAATATATAAATACCTTATAATCGATAGGTGTCACATCTCTAATTCCTTTTAATCTCTTGTTTTACTTCTATAAATATTCCTTTTATCTGTTTTCTCACCTTTTTATAGGCATTAATGATGTTTTGTTTATTTGTTGTTTACCATGTAAAGCTGGTATTTAATGTTTTTATTGTTTCTTAGTGAATTATTTATTGATTAATTATTGACTTTTCTGTCGATCGACTAGTCAATAAGGTCAATTTGAAGATGTCGGTTTTTGGGGAGATTAGAAAATGAAAGTTTAATTCAGATTGATATCTAATGATTTAAAATTGGGAACTGGCATTGATCAGTTTAAAATTCATATAATACTTAATTTAATATATTTCACATGTTTCCAAACAACTTTTTCAGGCTCACAAGTTCTTTCTGCTTTAATTTTTAAATCTTCCTGCCGTCACAAATCAAAGATTTTCCTCTGAAATTGAACCAACTTTCAGATTAGAAGGAGAAAAAAAAGCCACTTTTCAGTTTGTTTTAATGAATTAAAGTTTCCTTCTTCTTCTTTTGGGATAATTGAGCTTCCTACCAGCATATAAACATCCGGGGTTTATTAATCTATTGGTTATTTATCTGATTAATCATTTAGTTTGTGATATAATAATTCCCCAGAGCCCCAAACTGATGCCTTTTAAATTCCTTATTCATTCCAACCTAACGTTCAGTTATACAACGATAAACAACAACAGAGAAAAGCAGCAAATTCTCACATGTGAGAGTGAAATTTAAACAGTTAATTGATCATCAAAACAAACTTCTCTCCTCTTCCTGACAGCAATGAGCGGCAGCCCTGCGTACCTCCAGATGGAGGAGGTCAGGAGGAGATCGAACTCCCTCCTGTCCTCCTCGGGTTTGGCCCAGGATGTGAAGGCGGAGGTCCAGACGATGGCCGGCATCCCGCTGCCTCTGTCGGAGAAGTACCTTCACTTTGGAGTGGAGGCCATGTTGAAGGAGAACACGACCGGCCGCAACAGACAGGAGGTAAAGTTTTCTTCATCTGGCGTACCATGAACACAACTTCATTCAAGTTTACTGAACAGGAAAAGATATGTAGATAGGAGAGACACTGGCAAATGTTATTGGACAATATGAAACAGCCCAATGAGAGATTGTAGTTCATAGGTTTCACTCTTAATCAGCTGAAGTATAAACAGTTATGCAAATAACAAAATATAACCAGATTCTCGCAGATTCCTGAGACTAGATTTTATCAAATATAGTTGAGAACCACTGAAACTGAGAACTATTGAATACTGAAATAAACTGAATAAGAAGAAAAAGAGCAAAACAGGAAGAGGAAACAGTAAATTGTGTCAAAGATGAACACAAAACGAAAGAAAAATGACTTTAATCTATTTATCCTGTACAAAGTGATTAGTGGTATTTGACCACTAGGTGGCAGAAATATACAAACAAAGAGCTTCAATACTCTATACACACATGAGATTACACCAATTAAATAGTTTCAGTGTTAATATCCACAATAATTTGAAACACTCTCTAAATCAAGGAAGTTTCCCCCCCAGAATTATTATTTTATTATCATTATAATTTTATTTTAATACTACAGAAAGTGCAGTGTAGTAAAATAAATTACATAAATGAAAATAACACAAAAATATGAAATCTGTGTAAGTTCTATATAAAAAAGAGCTTTTCTTTTACACAGAAATGTGTGTTTTGGGAACATAAATAAACATAAACAACAGACACTGACTCAGCTTGAATATTTTAATGTGCAGCTGCATAAAAAAAATCTTCTTTTAGGAACTTAAAACGTAAGAAAATAAAGGTTCACACTCAGTTTTTAATTTCTAAATCAGTCAGTAAAAGCCAACCACTGCCACATATCTTTACATCCTTAATGTAGGTCACACGTAGCAACAAATCACATTTCTGTCTGTACTTCAGGTCCTGGAGTCCTTGAACAGACTGGTCAAGGCCTTGAGTATCCTGGAGAAGTACGGCTGTAACCTGACCAGTCCCACCAGGCCCAGATACTGGAGGAGCGTCAAGCACAACAACCCGGTGTTCAGAACGACCGTGGACGCCATCAAGGTGAGCGAGTGTTCTGCTTTATATGGACATTTGTAGTCGTAAGATTTGTTTGAATTTAAAGCTTCTTGGTGTGAATAAGAAAGATTTTCTCTTAGAAATTATTAACTTATCTGCGAATACAAAGTCTAAAGGTCTAAAGCTAAATATTTGCATCCCTTGTTGTCCTCCACAGGGAGGGCGGAGAGTCCTCTACCTGTACGGTTACACCAATCAGCAGATAGACGGCCTCAGTTTCCCGGATGAAGTCACCGAACCAGACACGGAAAAAGTGGCCGCGGTGACGCTGGAGGTCATGACCTTACGCACAGAGGTGGACATGATCGTCAAGGTTTGTGTTTGTTTTGTGAGCGTTGTTGTTGTTGTTGTTGTTTTTGTTCGCCTGCGTTTTGTTTTGTGTAAGAAATTCACTGTATTTCCATTTCTTCTATCTCTTTTGTTTGTGTAGGGCACCCATCCTCACCTAGAACACTTCAAAGATATCATCCCATTTGTCATCCAGCAGGTCTGTACGAACGTCTCCTGTGGCTCTGGACTCGAATATGTGTCATTAAATTTAAATAGATTTAACTTTTGTATCAGTGTTGGAGAAATAAGACTAAAACAGAAAGAGAAATGACATATATTTGAACACATGTGACATATTCTCACATAGTCACACATCCCGTTATTGTACACACAGTAATAAATTGTATAAACATAGAAAACTACGAATAAGGTGTGTAAAATCAGCTGTTTTTGGAAAAGTATGTTTGATTTAAGACAACAAATCCTCTTGTCTTCTTGGGAAACAATAACATTTAAACGTTAAATAAAGACTACATAAAACAAATCCTTAACTATAAGTAAGTATGAGGCTTTCAGGTGGTTCGTTTTTCGCTGTCTGCTGCGTGTTTAAAGTGTGTTTACTGTGTTTCTTCAGGACAAGCTGGTGAGTGACGCTGTGGTCATCCCGGCTGGAGAGGAGCAGCAGAGAGACAAACCCCAGGTTGTGACTCCTCCTCAGGTTGTGACTCCTCCTCAGGTTGTGACTCCTCCACCTAAACCTGCTCAGAGTCCCGGAGGACAACCTCTGAAACCGTTGACAGGTTAGCCGCCACCACCACTCCTCACCATTGTCTCTTTTTGATGCCACAAATGATCTATCTATCTATATCTGTGTGCTTTGAACACGTCTCAACGTGTGGCAACATGTACCTAGAAGCCTAAATACTGGAGCTGCAGGATAATTATCGTCCAATAATGGAAATTTACATTATTATGTGTTAGTCCGATGATTAAATGACAGTCGATAAATTATCGGTTGATGATTTTTGTTCTATAAAAGCCAAAGAAAGTTTTTTTTTTTTAAATGTATTTTCTAGTTTACTAACAGTATTAGATTGTTGGTTAACATCTTAACGTCTTTCTTTACGTGCAGGCTCTCCGGCAGTGAGTGAGTGTAATCTCTGTGGCGGTCCTTCGTCTCTGGTTTGCCCGTCTTGTGACAGTCGGCCTTTCTGTGACGCGTGCGATGACCTCTTCCACCGCCACCCCGCCAGAGCCAATCACAAGAGAGAAAAAATACTGAAAGACAAACAGGGTAAACCAGATTTCAGGAGACTTTAAAAAAAACAGGAATGCATGAAGCTAGGAATGTTTTTATTTTACCTGCTTTGTGTGTGTGTGTGTGTGTGTGTGTGTGTGTGTGTGTGTGTGTGTGTGCTTTAGAGAGCTGCAGCATCTGTGGGATTTCCTCCGTGCACGCTCAGTGCTCCACTTGTGTCCAGAGATTGTGTTTGAACTGTGACAAGCTTTTCCACTCTCACCCTGACCGCAAAGGACACAACAGAACCATTATGACTCCAGCTAAAACATCCAGGTGAGGAGAACAGGAACCATTTCACTTCCTCATTGGGCAGCAGTGTGGTCGAATGATCAGAGCTGTGGTATTAAATTCTTACTCAACACTTTCCCTTTAGTGAACGTTGTGGAGCAGTATCCTCCAAAAAAACATCTTAGTATGAGCGAATCTAAGAAAAAGCTGGATACAAACAACATAGTTTGCTCCAGAAAACTCTTGTATTTCATGTGGAGATAAAGAATAAGAGAATAATTGTCCAGTGAGATGCACTTTACTACCTGTAATAACCTCTGTAAAACGGCGTTTTAATGTTTTGCTGCACTCAAACTTTAGCAGGATTTGAGCTGGACCACCTGGTGTCTAATTTATTTATTTGCAATGGTTAGATCTTTTACTGTCCCATGTACACCCACCCAAAATAAAGTAAACTGCCCTTGTTGCTCCAGTGGAGCTTAAATGAATGAATGAATAACGATCCAGCAGCTAGAATACACCATTAACGTAATTTAATTCCCTCTCTGTCGCCTTCCAGTCTGTCTCTGTCGCCCTGGGAGTGCGGTCATTGCACTACAGTGAACGAGATGCGAGCCGTCCTCTGCGCGACCTGCGAGCGGCCTCGACTCGCTACAGCCGCGTCCGCCGTTCAAGAAAGCCCGATGTCGGTTCCCACATCTCCCAACACAGGTGAGACGAGTACAACAAAGCAATAAAGCTCCGCCGTCTCCAGGAAACGAAGGTGTACTGACGGACTGTGGTGTAAATATCTGTGCTCTGATCCCCTCAGAGTGGCAGTGTAAGAGCTGTACCGTCGTGAATCAAGGCAGCAGCATCCTCTGTGAGGTGTGCGAGCGCCCTCGTCTGGCCACTCGCCCGCCTGCCACACCGGCGCTGTCCTGCCCCGGATCTCTGTCTGACTCCGGAACGAAGGTTTGTCTCACTGAAAGGTTTTCCTCTCAATTTTTTTATGTTTCCGGACATTTCTGCAAAGTTTTTATGTTGTTTTGAACAACAACAATGTGACACATTGAGCTGTTTTAGCTCATTGGTTATCTGCCTTCACTCTCACTGCTCTCATAGCGTTGTTTCAGCCGCACCAAGCAGCTGTTTTTAATGAAAAAGCTGCCTTAAACTACCTGCTCAGCAGCAAACAGCAGGCAGACCCAGTCAGAGACTAAGATGGAGAACGTAGTGGAGCATTTAGGAGCTCGTTGTGGCTTCTTTCCTTTGCCTCAATGCACCTTTGTTGATATCTGAACCCAGAATGGTGACACAGACTCACAGAAGATGAAGAAAACTGATCATTTCACTCCACCTGTGAGGTTTATTGAGTTTTTTTGAGGACGTGAACAAAGAAAGAAACCACTTACTTCTGTCTTTCTTTCCCATCCTAAAGTCAGCTTCAAGGTTGTCTCGCCCCAAATTCTACCCGTACTCACTACATCCCCTTATTGTGCTTTACGGGCAGCAGTTATTTCATAAACCTGGTTCACCCCTCTCTCTCTCTCTCTCTGTTCCTCCCTTATTTAACATACATCAAAGCTTATCACCTACAGACAGTTTTATTCCCTTTGTAAGCAATAAACATGTCCCGTATTAATATAAATTCGCTACACATATGTGGGATTTCCCTCAGTATCTTATATATATATTATATTATATTCATCAGGAGGATGCAAACTTGACTCCAGATGAATAATATTGTTGCTCTGTCGGCACTGAGATGTGGAGATAAGCAACCGTTTGCTGTTGAGTTCTAACAAATAAAATTATCTTAAAGCCTTTATAAAGAGCTAAACTTACTGTAGATCATTTAGATCCCTTTTTATTAATCTTTAGAGCTGCTGTTGAGGGATTTCCTGTCTCTTCTTCCTCTAATGTAAGTGTATATATTATGTTAAGTATCTGTATGGAGCAATTTACTGCAGATAACTGGAGGATTTTGTAAAAAACAAGCAGTTGACCGATGGGCTACTCTCTTAAAAATGTAGTATATTCCTTTAAAGCATCTCATACGTATTTTAGTCTAGCTCTGTCGACATGTATAATTTCTTTTCTTTGTCTCTCTCTTTCACAGTGGATGTGTCAGTTCTGCACGTACATGAACACCAAGCCCACTCTGGTGTGTGAGATGTGCAACCTGTCGGGTAAAGACTCGGCTGGAGTTTCTCTGCCTCAGTCCCTCCAGCAGACTCCGTCCAGCGCTAAAGAGCCACCCCAGCCGGGCGTGAAGCCCCAACCGGGCGCGAACCCTCAGCCGGGCGTGAAGCCTCAGCCAAAGCCCAGAGTCAACCCGGAGCTGAGGAGACAGAACATGATGAAGGAGGACGGGCTCATTCTCATCCACCAGATCAGAGTAAGTCAACACGGACACATCGGCGGGCTGAATAACTCGTCTGCTGCATAACTAACAAATAATCATTTTATTTTGATCAACAAATAGAGAGAAACACGTCTTAAGGTGAACCAACAGTCTAAAGTCCAAATATATTTACTTTACTTTAATGTAAGACAGGAAAAAGCTTTGAGATGCTTTAACTAAGAGATGTTATTTTATGTTTATTTTCTGTCAGTCGATTATTTAATCTCTGTAAGTGGTTGAGTCAACACAAAGTTGAGTGACAGTCAAGTAATTGTTTTTATTTGTTTTGAATGTAATAATACATGATTAATAAATTGTATATCTCTGGGTTTTGACAACTTTAAAGGTCTTTTATCAAACATTTTCTGACATTTTATAGATCAAATATTTCACTTATTAATCAGAAAAATAACCCGCAGGTTAAGAAGCCTTCATTTATTTGCAGTGATCCATTCATTTTATAGATTAATCAATTAATTCAAAGAAATTATAGTAATGAACTTAATGAAACAGCCTCACCTTTAAACTGCTTAGAAGAAAGGCTCCAACTAACTATTATTTTCATTATCTGATGATTATTTTCTTGTTTTCTGGTCTTTAAATGTCTGAAAGCGAGAGGAGAAATCTCCAAATGTCTTGTTTTGTCCAACCTACAGTCCAAAGCCTCAAAAATATTCAGTTTACCATCAAATAAGACAAAAAAAAAAGGTATTTTTACTTTAAAAATGACTCATTTTCTTTTGATCCACTAACAGATTATCATTAAGCATCCATGGAGATTCACTCCTGTTTCTCCTTCGTAGGAAGCAGAAAAGAGTGGCGTGAGTCCCGAGGAGGTGTACGCAGCCCTCTGCGTGTGCGGCGGCAGCAACACGAACCCCTCTGATTGGCTGACGTCGGAGCTGCCTCACCTGCTGGATGAAATCTGCGCCATGGCGGCGTCCGTCCAGCTAAACTACAAAGCAGGGGATTCTGGGACGCAACCCGCGGTGGAGAGAGACGGCGTGGAGCCGGAGCAGAGCGCTCCTAACGTCACGGGCGGAGGTGTGAAGCTGTCCAGAGCCGAGGCCAAGGTGGCGTGGTTGACGGCGGGAGGAGACGCAGACAAAGCAGTGAGACAGCTGCTGAGAGACAGACAGTTCAAGGTAGGATAACATTAGAATTACTCAAACACAGTTCATTCAAAAAGAGGAAGATTTTAGCTGTAATTTCTGCATTTTACATCAGCAGCTTCCACCTTTACCTGCGCTGCTTTTTCCTTCCAGAGTTTAGAGACGGATGTTATTTAAAGTCGACTGAAGAATACTTTGTTTTTAACTCCCCACTGTCAGAAATACTAACGTGTTCTTCTACAAAACACTCAGATCTCTAGAGCGATCGCACCAGACTAGAACCTTTCTGCTGTCTATCAACAGCTAAATCACATCACAGTTTACTTGTTTTAAATTTACATTTTAATGTTTTTAAGAGGTTGATTGTAGCCGTTAACAGATTCTCTACAACTTTTGTGTTTGTTTTCCAAAAAGCTCAGCAGCACTCTAGTGGTTAACAAATGTCTCACATTAAAACATTATTTTATTTTACCATGAGTGCCACCAAACGAAGCACATTTCCTCTTATGTTTTTCAACAAGCACAGAAATAAACGTCCTCCCTAACAACACTACAAGAATGATGATACAATCTCTTTAATCATTTATATGCTGGTGTTGTGTTATCACCTCTTTATTCATCCATGGACGCCTCTAGGGTGTCTCCTGGCTTTCTGACCTTGAAGGAAAACTCAGACCAAAGAAAGTTGGGAGTGACATGTATGTGAGTGTTGCACGGCCTTGACATACAACTGAACAGTAAATCTCATAGGCTTATACGGACTTACGCAGGTTCACTCCCTTAAAACAACAAAATCTGATTCAGTCTTTATGTTAATCTTCCCTTCAGGCAGTGGAAAAGCAGCAATCCTGAGACCAAAACTCAAAGCAGCAGCAGTGTATGGATCAAATAAACTTTTATTTACTGCAAACATTTAGCCTGTAATGTCCCTCCCCCCGCTGTGTGCAGATGAAGGCGCTGCAGTCTCTGGGCTTCAGAGACGCGTTGCAGTGTGAGGAGGCCCTTCGGCTGAGCGGAGGGGAGTTGAAGGGGGCTTTGTCTCTGCTTCAGCGACCACTCCTGGAGCCCTTCCACCAGCGCATCTGGGCCGACCAGCCGGAGCCGCCGATTGATCCGAAGAACCCAGACAAACAGGTTAGGCTGCACCGCCGAGGGCTTTTAGAGCGCATACCTGGTGCCTGTGCTGACGTGAGAGTAGCATGATTTCATGTAATTACAATGCCTGTGTGTATTTGAGGTGTGGTGTGTTCTTCTATTAATAGTCCTTTTTGCAATCACATTAAATCGTTGTTGTTGTCGTCTCCTCAGAGGATGTGCAGGCGTCTGCTGGCGCTGTACGACCTGCCCAGCTGGGGGCGCTGCGAGCTCGTCCTCTCCTTGCTTCAGGAGCCGGACGTCACCTACTCTCTGGAGGACGTAGTGCAAGCTGTGAAAGAGTCGCACGACAAAGATTTCATCAGGCGTCTGCTCAACAACGAGTGCCCCATCTGTCTGTCCATCTTCCCCCGCAGCAAGGTGGGTGAGGGGACGAGGGCGGTGACGGCACAGTCAATGTCTAAGCATCTTATACATGAGGCATAATGCCAGACGAGGTGTCCGTTATCCGATTTGTGGTCAGTTGCTCTGAAATTAACCTTCATCATTTCCTCTCACTGCTAGTTTCAGATTTATTTCTCCTCTCTCCGTGTTTCAGATGCAGTCTCTGACTTCCTGTCAGTGCTCCGTGTGTCACGACTGCTTCGGGCAGCACTTCACCATCGCCATCAGAGACAAACACATCCGAGACATGGTGTGTCCCGTCTGCAGCGGGCCGGACATCAACGACCCCGAACAACTCGACAGCTACTTCTCCACGCTGGACATACAGGTACACACAGAGAGAGTTTATAGGTCTCACAACTGTCCCACTTAACATTTAGACTTTAATGGGGATTAATTGATTTCTTTTACTCATAAGGTCATGAAGTCCTTTGTATCTCTTACGTTTCTTATTAGTATTTACATTAAACAAAGCAGGAACATTTCCATCTTTCCATTTAAATGCTATTTAAAGTCGAGTGTTTTTTTTAAACAAGTAGAACTACTTAAAGTTACAGCAAGCATATTGATTATTATACTGAAAACATTAAAGCTCCTACCAGACCAACTGAGAGTGTTGAATTAGTTTTATTTCTTATGGATTCAAGTTGTAGCATTAAATTGTTTTATTTCTGCATTTAAAAGTTACATAGTTTAACTTTAAAGTTAAGGAACAAACATATAAATTGTGTAAAAGGGAAACAAAAACTTGGAGAAAGGAGGGTTGAAGACGTGTTGCTGCTGTGTAGTAATCCATGCAAAGAATCTCACTTGTGATTTGCATTTAGCTCGCAGCAAAGGCACCAAATGGGATCGTATGTAACCTCGTTAGTTTACTTCAGGCAGAGATCTTAATCTCAGTGAGACTCCCTGATTAAATAAATAAATAAAATCTGCCCTAAAGACCGGATACTGAACATAAATGTATGGCACAGATATGTCTCAGAGCATCTCTCATGTTACTTGCACACAGAGAGAAAGTTACACTTTTAAATGAAAGTACAATGAACTAATGTCAAAACACATATGAAATGAACTGCAACAGGTTAATACATCCGGATAATAATGTGCTGAATTGTTCTCTCGTCGTGTTTTGTTTTTACAGCTGCGTGACTGCCTGGAGACGGACGTGTACAATCTGTATCATAAAAAGTTGACCGAGCACGCTCTGATGAAAGATCCAAAGTTCCTGTGGTGTTATCACGTGAGCTCTTCAGTCCACTTGTTGTCCCTTTATCCGCTCTCGCGATCTGATTTCCTCCTCCACCTGTAGTTTGCGTTCCCTGCTTTTCATACTTCCCTATAATTAGTTTTGCTTATTTTTAGCTTTGTGTGTGTGTGTGTGTGTGTGTGTGTGTGTTTAGTGGGTTTATTTCTGCTGCGTTTAAACACAGAGGAGGAAGTGATGGATGCTCACAGGACTTCTGCTTAGTTTTGGAGATTGTTCAGGTTGGATTGACACTCAATATCGGCGGGGAGACGATATTTCATAAACACAAACACAATCATACAGCACAATAGCTCCACACATCAACCACAGAAATAAAAACTGAATGTAGCTCTTGTGGTTAGAGAGACGAGGGACGTAGTGAAATTGACTCCTTTTTCCAGATTAGTTAGGCCTCTTGATGGATCTAAGATTGTATGTATTAGTGCATATATACACGGGTAATCTGCCCAGAATGGCTTTGTACATTAATATATAACAGTGTTGCATCCTGTAGCCTCAGTTAGAAAGCAGCTGATGATAAAGTGGGTCAAGTAAGAGCAAACTAGTAGGGCGAGCAGAACAAAGATGACTTTATCCTGTATAAAGGACACTCTTGTGTTCACATTTATTCAAGATTTTCGGTCCTTTTTTAAATAATTTTTCCCTCCTTTTTGTACTGTTTTATCTTTAAATACCTACTATTATAATCTTTTTTTGTAATCCCTCTTTTATATATAAAAAAAGAGAACAAACAGAAACAAAATCACCACCGTTAGAACGTCATGTGGAGGAGAAAAAATCCAGGGAGGAAATTATCAAAAGATAAAAAATAAAGCATGCATTAACGATCAGCGTGTCTTCCTCAGTGCACCTCCGGGTTCATCAACGAAGGAGACCAGCTGAAGGTCACCTGCCTGTCTTGCCGCAAGAGTTTCTGCGCTCAGTGCAAGAAACCTGTGAGTATGAGCAGCGTCTGCTTCCCATCTGCCCAAAACCTTATCTTACTTTATGAGGAGAAGCCTCACACAGCCTTGAAAACTTTGGCAGCTCTTCAGAGAAGTAACTCACTCATCGTTCTCTCTCTCTCTCTCTCTCTGGTCTCAGTGGGAGCCTCAGCACCAGGATCTGTCCTGTGAGCAGTTCCAGCAGTGGAAGAGGGAGAACGATCCGGAGTACCAGAGGCAGGGCCTCGCCGGCTACCTGAGAGACAACGGCATCAGTGAGGACTTTGACCTACAACCACAAGTTTCATTTCAGCTTTAAACCACAGAGTTTATTTATATCCTCCATTATATTTATTGCACAAAGGCACACAGCTGTTTCCATCCTTCATTAAAGCTACAGTAGTAATAGTAGTAGGCAGTTAAAGATTGACCAGGATGTGTCGTCCCTCTTGCAGCCTGCCCTCACTGCAGGTACCAGTACGCTCTGGCGAAAGGCGGCTGCATGCACTTCAGCTGCTCCCAGTGCAGGTACCAGTTCTGCAGCGGCTGCAACAACCCCTACCACAAGGTGAGATCGAGCTACGACATCAAGAGAAAGATCACAAAAAGTTCACACACACACACACACACACACGTCTGAATATAGACGTCCACGTGCTTCATGTGACACTTTTTTGACTACGTTACCGGCCTCTAACTTTAAATACCGTCTGAAGATGCAAACACACAACAGAGTATTTTGCAAACAACAGGACATTTCTTAATTATACGAGAATTGTAGACTCTCCTTCATCCTGTGTTCGTTCTGTATTCGTTTCCTTCTCTCCGGCAGATGGGATGTAAAGTGGCCCAGTGCCCTTTCACCGGTCTACATGCTCATCACCCGCGCGACTGTCTCTTCTATCTCCGGGACTGGGAGCCGGCCAGACTACAGGACCTGCTGCAGGTACGGACACGGTTTGTGTTTACACGCTAGGAGGGAGATAAACTACATTTAAAAGTCTGGATTATTGATCCCATTGTGATTTTTAAGCCTTTACGTGTCTTTAAGAAGGCGGTCGCTAACAAGTGGCTTAGTGAGACTACAGAGGTTGACGTACTCACTAATCCGCCTTTACAACCTCTTTGTGTTTACACTCGCGCTCTTGCACGATTCTAACTCTTGACTTTGTTTGTCAGTCTTACGACTTTTACTTCCTGGACAACAATAGTTTAGAGGTTATGTAATGGCAGACATACTCCTGTTTGTTTGAATAAATGTACAAAAGTTTCTGAATTGTTCCTTTTTCCCCCCTCAGAGGAGCGGTGTGGAGTTCAACACGGATCCTTCTACTGGAACCCAAACTGGTAAATATGTCTAAAAGATTTAGTAAAACAAATGTCCTGGAAAAGTTCCTCCTCGTGTTTCATCATCTGTTTTTAATTCAGTAAAAACCCAGAATACATGAGGTCTGTCGCTGACTCTGTCCCACCCTCTGTGACACAGACGCCTGTTGTGTGATGGAGCAGAAAGATGAAGCAGGTCAGCAGATTGATTCTCCGTGTGGCATCCAAACACAGCCGGGACAAGCTGGACTCTGCGAGTGAGTGTCTGACTGAAAGCTGGTTTAAAAATGTCTTTTTGTTTACTTTTTTTTTTAAATCAGATAACATTTGTTTAGTAGGTTCTATACCGGCAGAAAACGGAAATAACTCAACTCTCTCTTGGGGAGCAAACACACATCCTGTTGGCTCGCAGTGTCTCTTGTGGGGGAGGTCTGCTGTTGATCCTGTCCCAAAAAAACAAGCACAATCTTTCCATGTTAGCTCATCGTAGTCTTCACTTAGTCTAGAGTCATTTGGTGAGAGTTGAATGAAGTCTTCCAGAATTAAAACATGTTTTGTTACAGTAAAAAAACGAACATAATCTACTGAACTGTAGTAAAAATGTGCTTTAAATCCAGTTTCTCATTCAACTCTCTCGGGCTTAAAGCGGCTATAATCAATATGTTTACACTAACCCTCATTCGCACAGAGAATTATGAGCTGAATCTGCAGATACGAGGATTTATAGTGAGTTTCAGCTCGTAGTTTTCAGACTAAAAGCAGTAAAAAGACACTGCAAACTACCTGTCAGACACACTTACACCATATATATATAAAGCTTTATTTAAACGCAGGTAAACTCCGTCGTTCAGATGCCAGTAAACAGGGTTAGTAAACAGTAAAAAGCAACATTTATTGCTCGTCTTGGTCATCTCACACAGCCAGACGAAGGGCTGTTTCCTCTTCCTCTTCCAATCAGGAGAAGCTCACCTCACTGTCAGTACACAGTGCTAAGAACAAAACTGCTGTTTGCACATTGACAAGACAAATAATGTCGAAAGAGCTAAAGAGAGAGAGACCATAAACTATGCTGTGCTTCTTCTCTAGCATAACCGGGTTTGTTCCTGCAGGAAGCACTACAAGGAGTACCTGGTGAGTCTGATAAACGCCCACTCTCTGGACCCGGCTCTGCTCTACGACGCCCAGGAGGTGATTCGGGCCTGTGAGAGATACCAGGTGGACGCGCAGAGAGGAGAGAACGAGGACGACAACGCGTACGGCGCTCGGATGCTGAAGGTCGGATACAAACGTGTGTCTCAGAGAGGAACAAACTCTTCTGTGTAGTTAGATTGTTGATTGTTGTGTGTTTTTGTTGTCGCCCTCACAGAAACTGATGGAGGTTCCTCTCGGAGAAAAAGTTCCTCGAAACAAATAAATAAAGAAAGCTTCGTCAGCAGAAAATCACCAGCCTCCTGAAATCACCCCCCCCCCAAAAAACACTGACAGAGAATTTTGTTGAAGCCGGACGTTCATCGACTTCTATTAGCAGACAGTTTGTTTGTTTGTATTTGTGTTTTTCTTTCCTCGTTGTTGATCAGTCCGAACAGGTCGAGCTGCTTCTTCTCCGTGATTTTAATCTCAGTTTTGCAAAACTTTTTTTTTTTTTTTTCTTTAAAGAAGGAATTTATTTGCGGTATTGGTTTGTTGTTGTTGTTGTTGTTGTTGTTGTTGTTGTTTTAATCTCAGAATATTGTAGCAGTACTACAGATTATACAAACATATACAGAGAGAGATTAAACATTCGCTGTCTGTCGGAGGTTTCTCTTTATATGTGATGGATGAATCAGACTCCATAAATAAAGATGATTATTTTGAAATTTTTGTGGGTTTTTATTTCATTTCAAATATGTAAATATGCATGAAAACTGAGAGTAATACATTATATTATTAAACAAAGTTTGTTTTTGGTGATAAAAATTACCTAAAGTGGTTACTTTTAATATTTATTTCCTACTTTTATTGTCTCTATTTATATTTTTTCTATGTTTATTGTTATGCACTAAATTACCAAGGCACATTCCTTGTATGGGAAAGGCCTTCTTGAGTTTAATTAGTGCAAGAAAATGTAAAAAATATACATAAAGGAGGCCTAAATCTCTGCTTTTTGGTTCAGTTCTGTGAAGAGAAGTAAATGTAAATAGTCTAACAGAACAATGTCTCAACATCAGGGACAAGAAAACAGTTTGTCCAAAAAAAGAAGCCTATTAAGTCTGTATTATTGTTAAACAATAAAAAAAAACACATAATACAGACAGAGAATTGTATTAAAAATTCCTTAAACAGTCATGAAAATGCATCTCTGATCAATATTTACAGGAAATAATCTGCTTAAATTTCCTCCAAATCACTTGTTTCGCACAAACTTAACCCACTAACCCTAACCCAGTGCAGTTCTCATTCACTTTGTTATATTTATTGTCTCTATTTCTATCTTTATTTATATTTTTCTATGTTTATTGTTGTGCACCTTGGATGGGAAACACCTTCTTGAGTTTAATTAGTGCAAGAAAACATTAAAATACACATAAAGGAGGCCTAAATTTGTGCTTTCGGTTCATTTCTGTGAAGAAAACAATGGTGAAAACATCAAGAACAAGAAAACCGTGAAAAAAAGCCTATTAAGTCTGTATTATTGTTAAAAAATATATAAATATATATAAAAAAAACACAATACAGACAGAGAATTGTATAAAAAGAGGAAAGAAATCACTAATTCCCTGCAGTTTGGAGTTCACTATTTGGATTAATTGTACAGTTTTTAATATAATATGAAAATATATCACCTATTCAGTTCAATAAATGATAGAAAAGTGGTTAATTAAAGTAAAACGTGTGTTTTATATATATATATATATATATATATATATGTGTGTGTGTGTGTGTGTCTCCGTTGGCGCCCCCTGGCGGCCGCCGCACTGACAGTTTCTCTAAAATCACGTGACTTCTGGGAAAAGGAGCGTCTGCTGAAGAGAGAGAGACATACAGAGAGAGTCCGGACCGCAGAGCCCGGAGAGCAGACTGTGAACCTGAACCCTGACAGTCCGCAAACGCACCGCGGAGGAAACGCAACCGAGGTAAACGAAACTTAACAATCTACTTCCTTAATTTGAACAAGTGTGATCCATTAAACCCTATAAATATCAGCAGAAACAGGTGAGAGCAGACGGCGCTTTTTAGTCGTTCCTGAACCAGACTGCGTTTAAAAAAGAGTCGATTTAAGAAACGGGAGTGTTTTTTTTCGTACGTGTGTGTGTTTGTGTGCTCGTGTGAGTGTGTGTGTGTGTGTGAGAGTGTGTGTGTGTTTTCGGGTGAAGTTAAAAAAAAAGCAGTATTTGTAATTAAAACATATTATTGGTGGGGGCTTTTAAATGGGTTATAATGAAAGAAAGGGAGTTTATTAAAGTGGGAGGTTGTTGTTGACATTCATCTGATGGTGGTTTGTTTATTTGTTTGTGTCTCTCTGTTGTTGTTTTTTTTCTATAGTTTTTTAATCATGGCAGGAGGGAAAATGCGATCCACTCGCAGACTGCGCTCCTGGATCGTCGAACAGGTGTGTGTGCGTGTTTAAAACTGTGTGTGTGTGTGTGTGTTTAAAAGTGTGTGTGTGTGTGTGTGTGAGGGTGTGGGTGAGAGAGTGAGGGAGGGGGGGAGACGGAAAGGGAAACCGTGCATGTTTACAGGGCTACAGATTCCATCCACAGGCTGCAGGAGGTGTTTAAAAACATCATGTTGTGGATTATTTTCTGACACATATGATTCACAATTAGTGGGAATTAACATTGTTGCATGGTAATTTTCATTTTGGCCGAAATAAAACCTTTTAAAGTGACATTTTGTACCAAACATCTAACTTATTTCGTGTCTGTAGGACAAGATTTGTAGGCCGGGATGCCTCTGCAGCACTGCGGTGCTTCACTATAATGTGTTTTTGTCTCATATTTTACATTAAGCACAACTAAATTACAGCTTAATAGTAAAACAAAACATAATACAGACACAGAATTGGATAAAAAGCTCCTTAAAATCAATATTCAAAGGCCTGTGTTACACAAACTTATACAGTTTTTATTTACTTTATGTATATGTTTATATATTATTAATATTGAAAACCTATTTGTGCCATGGGGATCTTGTGTACATTTAGTCTGTTATTAACATTTGATTCATGCATTATGTCAGATTCATCATTAATTCACTTTAATGAAGATTATTGCCTCATTTAATAATGACAGAATCTATAAAATAAGCAAATGTTGGTAATTATAGCTTCATTTAGGAGAATATTATAATGATCAAATATACATTTTAATGTAGATTAAATGTGTTTTTGTCTCATATTTTACATTTATTACAACTAAATTGCAGCTTAATAACAAATAAAAACAAAAAACAGACTGAGAACTTCATAAAAAGCTCCTTAAAATGTCAAAAATCTATATTCTCAGGAAATAATCTGCTTAAAATTGCTTGTTTTTACACAAATTTATGCAGTTTTTATTTACTCTATGTATATATTTATATATTATTCATATTGAAAACTCACTTAATAATGACAGAATCTATAAAATAAGCAAATGTTGTTAATATATTCACTTTTTTTTTATATTATAGCTTCATTTATAATGATCAAATATACATTTTAATGTAGATTAAATGTGTTTTGTCCATCCTGAGTATTTGTCTGCAGGTGTTCCTTAAATTAAACAACAGTTGGCTGTTTGCAGGTCAGCAGTGGGAAGTACCCGGGGCTGGTGTGGGACGACGAGGCCAAAACCATGTTCCGCATCCCGTGGAAACACGCCGGGAAACAGGACTTCCGCAAGGACGAAGACGCCGCCATTTTCAAGGTCAAGATGCGTCTCTTGGACTCTAAACTAGAGAGGGGGGGGGGGGGTCGAGCTCTTCTGACTAACCCGTCTCTCTCTGACCTCCGCAGGCGTGGGCAGAGTTCAAAGGCAAGCTGACGGACGGGAGTCAGGACAACCCGGCGTCCTGGAAGACCCGCCTGCGCTGCGCCCTCAACAAGAGTCCAGAGTTCATGGAGGTGATGGAGCGAGCGCAGCTGGACATCTCGGAGCCCTACAAGGTCTACCGCCTGGTCCCCATCAACGAGCAAGGTGAGACACTCTGGAGGCTGGAACAGTATTTATTATCTAATCTGAGCAAAAATGCCTCTCGAATGTGAGGATCTGCTGCTTTTCTGTGTAATCTCTTGTTTTAAATTGGATATTTGGTGTTTTTATGAATGAAGACGTCACCGTAAAACAAAAACACGTCTTTACCTTTTTAGTTGCTATCAGCTTAATTTCTTCCAGTTTAAATAATCCAGACACCTGATGAAGTATAAAGACACATTCACATGTTTCTGCCACTAAATCAATGAATTCATGTTTGTTTTTAAAGATTATAAAGTAGATTAAAGTGAACAAAACAGAATACAAACCAAACAATCGATGGATTAACGGGGGGAAATTGTTCAGGTTATTTTCCAATAACTCACCTTTGGATTAAATAATCCAGCGTACATTCCCAATTTAATATAGTTACATATCAACATTCACACTCACACACCTGATTGTCCAGCAATGCGCCACCTAGTGTTTAATGGCAGAACTGCAGGTGTAATAATAATAATAATAATAATAATAATAATAAGATCTAAGAGTGGAATTATTCACTTTTTTATGTTTTCTGTGTGGATTTTACACCGAAACAAATCCTCAACCAAAGGACAGATTCTAAACATTAATACTGAGAAAATAAAGACTATCACTGGTCTTTGCAGGTTTTATTACGCTGTACTTTGTAGACGGACTCTCCGCCCTGTTATGTGGAAACCATCAGCACAAACCACCGATTATATAAAGTTACACAATGTGACTTTACAAACCTCTCCCACTTGTGTTGCAATGAATTTTCCTTTCCCCATCACTCCTCCTCCTAACCTTCGTAACCTCTTAGAATTACTAGAATCTCTCCCGTTTTAGCTCGTCTCTGTTATGTAACACCGGCGTGATTCTGACTCGTGGTTCCTTAAATGTTTAGTTTAAATGTAAAAATGTCCGTACTGTATGTTTCTACCTGATATCAGCTGAAAGGGATTTACAAGCTGTGTTATTTGCTCTCTGGTTCCATTGTTTTTGCTGACGTCCATCTGCTTTTGAGTCTGAATCATCACAATTAAATGTATTGATTCAGTTTCTACTCATTACTGGACTTTACCTCCTCTCCTGCTGAGGCTTTTAAAAGCTGTGTTATTGTGTAAATAACCAAGCCTTACTGTACACGGTCAGAAACAGAGCCTGACTGACGTTGATTTGGTGCATTTTCTTACTTATTTATGAATTATTCTGGTATTAAATCCAATTAAATAAGTAAAAAACAGCTTTTTTTGCTTGTTTTTGTTGTTTTTTGGACTGTTGCTGGATGGAGTGACGCTGTCTTAACAAAAGTGTGGCGATGATTCATTAAAACCACCAGACAAAAGGCCAAAACAGGTCGAATGAGTCGTTGTTGTTTCTGCTGAGTCAGCGGGGGGATTGGAGCGACTTCCTTTGTGTTCTGAACCGTAAATATCGGTTGTTTACGACGACAGATCTCCGTCTGTTTTTCAGGAGTGGTGGTTCCCGAAAAGAAATGCAGAGTGAAAGCCGCCAAGAGGCCGAAGAGGAGGAGGAGGAGCAGCAGCAGTGACTCGGAGAGCGACGATGGCGGCGTGGGGAAGCAGATAAAGACGGAGGAGGTCACGTCGCAGCTGGTGAGTGGATGTTAGAGAGGGATTTCTTACATTTCTCTCTTAAATCTTGATGCTTGAGCTGCTGTTCAGACGTCTAGAGGAAATAAAAATAACCTCTTTGTGTGATTCTCAGTCTGTGGAAGAGACTCACGTCACCGTTCTGACAGAGGAACCGGCTCAGCACAGCAACGCCATCCAGAGAGACGGTGAGTTTTAGTTTAGTTTATTCTGAAGCAGCCACAGCGGAGGATGATGGGGCGGGGAACCGAGTCCATCAGTACGATAATAAGAGTCCGATATGTTCCTGAACTTCCTGATATCTGTACGGGATCAATTAAAGGGATTTTTTAGTTAAATTATTGACCTAAAACAAGCTTTTCTCGTATAGTTTGTGTTGTTTTTGTGTTCATGTGGACTAATAATGTCCAATTAAAGAAGTACCGTTACCTCTGAGGAAGGAAGGTTTTACCTGCATCAATCAGGATTAAAGAAACCAGATTTCAGCAGCTATGTTTCTCAGCCGGTCTCTGAGTCACGAACACAGAAATCAAATTACCGAGCTGCTGCCTGTAAGAAGGTTACTACAGTGCATGTAAAACGTGGAGTCCTCAGAGCAACCTGTGATATCATGTCAGTGATAACAAAGTATCTGCCAACAAAGCTTCAGGATTCAACCCCTGAAAACCTCTCTCTCTCTCTTTCTCTCTCTCTGCAGTGGTTGATGAGATCAGGTTGGACGTGCGGATCGAGGAGAGCGTCGCCGCTCCGACGGAAGGTAATAAAACTGTAACACACGTACAGCTGAGCAGGTCGTTGTTGATGTACAACCTAATTTATTAGTTTTTACCCAGTTTAAAGATTTAGAACTTCTCCAACAATCTGTCTGTTTTTAGGACTGTTGAATACTTCAGTTTAAAGCCAAGCAGCAACTTTATGTGGCTTTAAGAGAAGAGATTAGTATTAAAAGTTTATTTTATTTTGAAAGTCTGCTCTGTTCCTGTCTCCCCAGGCCAGGACTCCTTCAGTGTGGTGGTTCATTATTTAGGACAGGAGGTTCTCAAGCGTCAGATCCAGGGCACTGATGTCAGGATAACGTACCTGCCTTCCTCTCTCGTCCCCCCGACTTCGGCCGCCCTGAAGGCCCGGTTTCCCCGCATCCCGCTGCCGGAGCCGCCCTCCACGCTGCCGGTCGGCCAGGAGCGGCAGGCCCTCGCCACTCTGCTGCCCTTCATGGAGAAAGGGGTGGTGCTGACCTCCACGCCGCAGGGAGTCTACGGCAAGCGGTTCTGCCAGGGGCGGGTCTTCTGGACGGGGCCGCACACGACCGCGCCGGGGCTGCACAAGATGGAGAGGAACACGGAGCCGGTGATGCTGTTCAGTAAAGACGCCTTCAAACAGCGTGAGTGGCTTTAATTCATCGTTATATTGATTATTTCAACCCAGAATCAGGTTATTTGATTGACTGACTTTTGGTTAAGTGTTGATTGGTCTACTTTAAGATTGCTGTTTGAATTAGATTTTAAAAAATAGTCTTATTTGATAAAAACAGAACAATATTTACACATATTGCTGCCGGTCGAAAATTATCATTTATAAAGCAAAAATGTCAAACTTCTGCTTCTGAATTGTGGTGGATATCTTTCCGTTTTAAGCACATATGATCGCAAACTAGTTATATTTTGGGGTTTTGAACGGTTTATAAGGAAAACAAGCAATTTGGCAACCCCACCTTGGACTTTTAGAACTTATAATGTGCATTTTTTATTGTTTTCTAACATTAAATAGATGAAAAAAATGAGAAAATCTATTAAATTCAGTTGTAACTCGAAACTCTTCTATGAAAATCCACAGTTTTCGTCATTTTCCAGCTCTGTTGCACATGAACTAATAAATAATAATAAATAATTATACATTTATCTCCCTTTTCTCTCCCTCCCAATCAGAACTGGATAATTTCCGTTCAAACGGCGGCGTGCCTCCTCAGTGCGGCGTCACTCTGTGTTTCGGGGAAGAACTGAGTAACACTGAAGACCCGTCTGGAAAACTCATTATTGTTCAGGTAAAGGTAATTCACTACTCATTTTTATATATATAAGCATTTATTTATGTAGTCATGAAGCTTTTGTTCTCTGATCGGCTTTCAACACTCGGTATTTATATTATTTTATATTGTTTGATTATGACTTTGGCACCAAAATACCATCATAAAAGACACAAGCGCATTAATTAACTTTACCTCTGGAAAAGATTACTCACATTATTAAAGGTTAAAAAATCTGTCCATGATACAATATATTGATTTAAGTTGATTTTAAGATACACACAGTAGGCCTAAATCTCAAAATGTCATTAATTTCTGCAAGAAAAAACTAAATAAATAATTATTTCTAAGGTTTCAAGTATTATTTAAGGTAGAAATGTTAAAGACCTGAACACAAAACACAGAATTTGTCAAAAAAAAAAGACCTATAATATTTATAGGAAACGACTCCCAGTGACGAATTAAATGACCTACTCTCGTCCTGTCGCTGCTCTGCAGATCACTTTACCGTGGGCGGAAGAGCAGGTCCAGACCGCCCAGTCCTTCATCGAGTCCATCAGCATCCTCCAGTCTCTGGCCAGTCAGTCTCCGCTGGGAGAAATAACTCTAAACCTGGTCAGCGTGGACTCTCCGATGTCTGAGACCATCATCTGTGGCTCCTTCTGAGCGCCTTGCCCCAATTAGAAAGGGCTTCAAATTTCAACATAAGAGACCTTCCTAACTTTGAAACCCATTCTTGTGATACAAAAGAATACAGTGAGGAACAACTTCACTCTAAATGCATCATCCAAAATTAGTCTTAAAAAGATTAATTACTGAGTCCAGAGTCTCAGATAAACACATTATATAGCTGATAGCCAAATAAAAGCCAGTAGTTTATGTGGTAATTGTATTTTGAGCCCAAACAGATTTCTAGCACATTTCACTTTCTTTTTTTTTTGTTGCCCTGAAACAAATACTGGAGTTTCTGGGAGGGACTTTTGTTCCCCTCGTGTTCCTCGTAGACATTAGTCAGCGTACTGGAAGCACTACATGTAAACCAACACTGAGAAGTCGTCTTCAGAGCTGCAACCAATAAGTCGACTGACAGAGTCCGATTGTCTCTATATAACAGACAACAAAATGAAATGTTAGTTGCAGCTCTTGTCGTCTTTCTTCGCTGGGTTTTTTTTTTGCAGCCAGTAACGGGCCTCAAAGGTGCTGTGGATGTTTATTTTAATGGGGGTCACAACCTAAAACAGGTTGGGAACCACCGCTCTCTGCAACTGTACAGTGCTGTACTCGTCGTCCTTGAAGCTGCAAATAATAGTCCAGTAGAGTAGTGAGCAAAAGATGTATCTTTGTTTTTTAATGTGCTGCCTGTTAATCTACTCAAATCCAACTTTAGATTAGTCATTTCTTTTCACGTTAGTCTCTTTTGTGGGTAAACACATTGATACACGTACAGATGTGTGTTGATAGTCGTCCGGTGACAGGTGCTCAGTCAGAACCAATCAAAGGACGAAGTCTTTCTATACTCCGCTGTTATTATGTGAGAAAAACTAATCTACTTTACAAGAGTGTACATTTAGATTAGTGTTTTAGAGAGTTACGCCAAATTCGGACACTGCGGTAGACAATTTTTAAAAGTTGGTTTGTGTATGTGTGAGGGGGCAAACTGAAGTACATTTCAATACAGAAGTCTTGCAGTAATTACAGGCTGCTGACGCTCAGAATATTTGGTTTTTGGGGGGGTTGTCAGAGGCATTTATACAACTCTTTTTTTAAAAGGTGGTAGTTTGGTGTGATTTCCTGTGAGGTTTGTGTATATTTCCTCTTTTAAAAAAAGGACATAATGTTTGTAGAGTTTGCCACTAATGCACCGCTCAGGCAGGGAATACCGTACTGGAGGTTAGAAAAGGCAGCTACACACACACAAAGTACAAAGTGGCGAACAGAAGTGTCTTAGGCACTATAAAGACATTTAATAAATGGTTTATAACTCACTATAATGTAGTTGTATCCATGTTTACATACTGTACAACACAAACTACCACCTTAATCATGATTCTCAACCTGAATACCTCACAGTCTGACCAAAAACCTAACATTTTAAGCCTCAACAAATTTGTATTTACTGCAGGGCTTCAGTATTACAGTGCACACAGGAATGACAATAATACAACAACAGAGCATAACATTGGACCAAAAATACCACAGGTGCATGGCAGTGGTGTTAAAATGTGTTATTAAGGTGGATTTAAATCAGCCTGGTGTTGGGTTGAACCACAACCACAAAGGCACACGGGGGGGGGGGGGGGTTGAGAGGGACTGTAAATATATTGTTATTTATGCATGTTCTATGTTATGTCCTGTCCAGTTTGGGAAAATGCATTAAAAATAAACGGATTCTTACACTCTGTGTGTGTGTGTCGTGGTTCAGTCAGAACATAAATAAAAGTGAGGTCTACAAACGGATGCTACTGTGTTGGCTCTACATGCTGCCGTTGGCCGGCGAGGTGAGCTCCGCTATCTTGGTGTTCAGTTTCTGATTGGTCCAGTCCTTTGTAATGTCGTCCAAGTGGCTGTCAAAATCCACCAATAGCGTGTGATCGCCGGACTCCAGCAGCTGAGTGGCTATGGCCCGAGTCTCCTCCCACTGTCTCAGCATTATCCTGTAGGAAACAACAAGGGGGCAGGGGCAGCGAGGACTCATTCAGTGGCTGGAAATATTCCCATTACTTAAGATTTTAATGAACAAAGCTACAAGAGACAAAGAACTAACGAAGCTTGTGGCTGAATATGTGGTGGATGAAGTGTTTGATAGACAGATTCTTGGGAAAATAACAGTCACAGGCTTAAAAGAAAAGACTCAAGTTGCTAAAATGTTGTGTCTTTTATCAGTTTGAGGGAGGTGTGTGTTTCATCTAGCCTGTAAATTTGATTAATTCAAAAGGTTGCAGGGTAAAAAGCTGCTAGTTTGAAGCCTTTCATTACTGTTTTTAATGAATGAATGTGTCTGCTCTGATTCACATGTGCCCTGCTGCTGTTTATATGAGCCACAAGTTCCACTCTGGGGTTTGTTTGTTTTTTTTTAAATTTGACATGAACTGAAAACACACATGCAAAAAACAGGCGGATGGAAACGACTAACAACAGCTTCACTCCACGTAAACCACGTGCAAACCGCCACTGGTGCAGTGTGACAGTAAGTACGTTTTCATTCTGAATCACCAACGATGACGAGAGACTGTTTCACCACGATTAACATCAGAGCTCGACAGAAAACATGAGTCAGTGTTCGATTAGGTGTGTCTAATCAAAATAGGTCAATAACATGTTTATTCTTTAGTGCACCTACGTGTGAGAAAGACTCCGCTATCAGTACACTTAATCGTGAGCTGATTGTGAAGAGAGCATGAAACTGGGAAACCCCTACTGTTTGCTACTGAGCTGCAGTGTTTGTTTACACCGGCTGTGCCTTACGTGTGTTTGTCTTTGAGCATCCATCTTGAGTCTTTGCGCTCGTACATCACGATGGGAGGAACGCGATAGTCCGGAGACATCTTACTGCCATCGAGCTGTGACGCAATACAGAGAAAAACATCAATAAAAATCTGTTAAGAACTGCTTAATAACTTAAAATATATTCAGTTTCAAGTGATTTTAAAGCAGATTGATCCCCGTTTTTTTGTTCCATACGAGCCAACGGGTGTCGAGTTTATTCTCACCATCAACAGAACTGCGTTGTCAAACTGCTCAGAAATCTTATCGGCTATCTTCAGCGCACACGGCGTCGGGCTGTAGAGGTCAAAGTTAGGAAAGTTTACACTAAAATGTGAGTTATATATATATATATACACACAATGTAAGATAACAGGTAACATTAAAGGTGAAGTGCAGCTGAAATGAAACGGGGCTGTTTGGAGGAAACTCACCTGCTATCTGACACACAGGCATTGGCTTGATAGTATCCCACTATCCTCTGCTGAGTCTGTGAACACCACACGTCCACCTGACAACAGGAGAACACTTTAAAACATCTTTTTTTTTTACATAAATCTAGAAATCTCCTCCAGGTCTGTGTTGTGCTCGTCGACCCTCTCAGCCCTCGTGTCTCGGTGGTTTGTCTTATTTCTCTACCGGTTGCTCCTGATATCAGTTTATACTATCTCATAATGGCCTGTTTAATGTAAATCCAGCTGTAAACTGCCTTAATGTGTGTAAAACTGTTCATGAATGAGCCAGACGTGCTACAAGAAGTGTTATATATAATATATTTGTGGTTGATTTCCCTGTTTTTAAAAAGGAATTAACTAAAGTAGAAGCTTAAATTAAATGTAGACAGCACTAGTAACGGTGCACTGGGTACTTTTATATATTCCTTTTCGCTGACGTCCTATTGTTGAAATATCTAATTTATATTGTGAATTAATGATGAATCACACGTCAGTAACAACCTACATTCCCACAGGATCCATGATGATGAAGATATAGAAAACATTTTTAGTTTTTGTGTAAAAGATGCAATTTTTAGCAGATTATTTCCTGTAAATACAGATTTTTTTTTAGTTTTTGTGTAAAAGAAGCAATTTTTAGCAGATTATTTCCTGTAAATACAGATTTTTTTTTGGTTTATGTGTAAAAGAAGCAAATTTTAGCAGATTATTTCCTGTAAATACCGATTCTTTTTTAGTTTTTGTGTAAAAGAAGCAATTTTTAGCAGATTATTTCCTGTAAATACAGATTTCTTTTTAGTTTTTGTGTAAAAGAAGCAAAATTTTAGCAGATTATTTCCTGTAAATACTGATTTATTTTTAGTTTTTGTGTAAAAGACGCAATTTTTAGCAGATTGTTTCCTGTAAATACAGATTATTTTTTAGTTTTTGTGTAAAAGACGCAAATTTTAGCAGATTATTTCCAGTAAATACAGATTATTTTTTAGTTTTTTTGTAAAAGACGCAATTTTTAGCAGATTATTTCCTGTAAATACTGATTATTTTTTAGTTTTTGTGTAAAAGAAGCAATTTTTAGCAGATTATTTCCTGTAAATTCAGATTTTTTTTTAGTTTTTGTGTAAAAGAAGCAATTTTTAGCAGATTATTTCCTGTAAATACTGATTATTTTTTAGTTTTTGTGTAAAAGAAGCAATTTTTAGCAGATTATTTCCTGTAAATAGAGATTTTTTAAGTTTTTGTGTAAAAGAAGCAATTTTTAGCAGATTATTTCCTGTAAATACAGATTTCTTTTTGTTTTTGTGTAAAAGAAGCAATTTTTAGCAGATTATTTCCTGTAAATACAGATTTCTTTTTAGTTTATGTGTAAAAGAAGCAAATTTTAGCAGATTATTTCCTGTAAATGCAGATTTTTTTTGGTTTTGTGTAAAAGAAGCAATTTTTAGCAGATTATTTCCTGTAAATACAGATTATTTTTAGTTTTTGTGTAAAAGAAGCAAATTTTAGCAGATTATTTCCTGTAAATAGAGATTTTTTTAAAAGTTTTTGTGTAAAAGAAGCAAATTTTAGCAGATTATTTCCTGTAAATACAGATTTATTTTTAGTTTCTGTGTAAAAGAAGCAATTTTTAGCAGATTATTTCCTGTAAATACAGATTTTTTTTAGTTTTTGTGTAAAAGAAGCAATTTTTAGCAGATTATTTCCTGTAAATACAGATTTTTTAAAAAGTTTTTGTGTAAAAGAAGCAATTTTTAGCAGATTATTTCCTGTAAATACAGATTTTTTTTTAGTTTTTGTGTAAAAGAAGCAAATTTTTAGCAGATTATTTCCTGTAAATACAGATTATTTTTTAGTTTTTGTGTAAAAGAAGCAAATTTTAGCAGATTATTTCCTGTAAATACAGATTTTTTTTTAGTTTTTGTGTAAAAGAAGCAAATTTTTAGCAGATTATTTCCTGTAAATACAGATTTCTTTTTAGTTTTTGTGTAAAAGAAGCAAATTTTAGCAGATTATTTCCTGTAAATACAGATTATTTTTTAGTTTTTGTGTAAAAGAAGCAATTTTTAGCAGATTATTTCCTGTAAATACAGATTTTTTTTAGTTTTTGTGTAAAAGAAGCAATTTTTAGCAGATTATTTCCTGTAAATACGGATTTTTTTTTGTTTTTGTGTAAAAGAAGCAAAATTTTAGCAGATTATTTCCAGTAAATACAGATTTTTTTTTGTTTTTGTGTAAAAGAAGCAAATTTTAGCAGATTATTTCCTGTAAATACAGATTTCTTTGAGTTTTAAAACAGTCCAAGGAGCTTTTGATCCACTCCTCTGTCAGTATAGTGTATAACCGTGTGTGGAGCTAACCCCACCTGTCCACCACACCTGTGCGCTACCTGTGTGAGGGCCAGCTGAGTGATGGGAGCCAGGGGCAGGTGGGAGTGAAGCAGCGGCACGCAGTCTGTCACGCACACAGCGCCACCTGTCGGGCTGGACGACAACAGCAGCCCGTTGATGCTGCACCGTGGAAACAGACAGGAGTGCAGGTACATCTTCACATACGCCCGACAGCACAGCTCCACCTCGCCCATGATGACCACTGAGAGCACGGACAGCGACAAAGAGGCAGAAAAAAGGGCTTTAAAAGAGGCTGAATGTACATAATTAAACACATACGAACTCCTGGGAAGGGTTTCTGAATCAAAAGAAGCAGCTGTTATCCCGCTTTTTGTGATATTTTACAGAAAATGAGGCAGAAATCGCGCACGGTTGTGTTTTTATTCAAGGAGGTGTAGCCAGCTGTTAGCTAGCCGGCTGCTGCTTCTACAGTGTGTGTTTCGCATCAGGAAACTCGCTGACTACACAAACTTACCTGGAGAGGAATAAAACCCAGTCAACGTAGCCTCAACAAACAAACAAACACGGTTGTTTTTTTCGCGCTATTTTTTCTAAATATATCTGTTAATCTAGATTTCTTTCCAGAGAGCTGTAACGGCTAACTGGCTCACTTGACAGCTATTACCAACAGCCACTTCCGGTCCCGCCCACTAGCGTTAAATGTAATCATCTGATTGGCGGAGACGTCGCCCCCCTCGGTTTTGTGTAATCCCATTGGAGCAACTGAAGTGCCAATCATTCTTCCAGCCGCTGCGTCATGCTGGTGCTCCACAGCAGTGCGCCCTCCAGCGGAGAGGACTTAGTGTGTAATTATTGTGTAATTATTGTGTTTTTGGACAGTTTGAAGGGTTTAAAACGTTAATTATATTCAGAAATAAAAAAACTACTATTTTTTCCCCCACCTCCTCAACTTCAAATGTTTTTCAGCTAATCTGGAAAAAGGTTTTAATGCCTAAAGAAGAGCCCAATAAACTATACTTGAAGATCTTGTGAAGCACATTTGTCTTGTTTGAGTCCATTCCTGCTTTTAGTTAATTATTTTAGATGCAGATTTTAAAAGGAAAATAGTACAACAGTAATTGGAATTAAGGCAAATATGTTATATATCAGAATGCAATAATATTTACTACGCAACAAATGATCAAATGTCCTTTTGTAAGCAATAATGTGCATTAAAACTTGGAAAATGTGTGAATAATGGGCTGTTGTGTTTAGTTAAGACATTTGAAATATACAGAGGGGTATTTTAGATAAGTCGACTCATCCACTCACTCTGTATGAGCCCAAACTTTACCTCGTCACCATGTTACTTGCACCGATTGCTTTTCAGCAATTAAAGTGTGTTTAATTTACAGCAGGTAAGAAACCAGATTAAGAGTAACTTTGTCCATGTGAGTTTTTTAATACACATCTTGTTCTTAAATAGAAATTAGCATGAACGTGTCCCATGAACTGACCACTGAGTAATTACTGAGCAGAGAATAAAGTTTACAGTTTTCTACAAGAAAAAGACCAGAAACATCAAAAACATGGCAGAATACAAGGTTCGTTTATTTTAAATTTCACAAGTCAATACAAAGGCTCAGTTGTGTCGTCAATGCTTCAGTGTTGTAGTTCCTAAGGAAGAGAAATATATTCAGTGTTTGAAAACTTGACTCATCAATGGCTGAGTGAAAGTACATACTTGGGCTGCTGAGGTTAAGGCTGCTTGGGTGGGTATCCAGGCTGCTGGGGCACCTGGGGCTGCTGGGGCACCTGGGGCTGCTGGGGCAGTTGTGGTCTCCATGGTTGGTAGAAAAGCTTTTTCATAACTTGTGGCTTGATCTTGACCTGGTACAAAGGCCCCATGAGCGGGTAAATAGGCACCTGGGGCAGGTAGCTAGGCACCTGGGGCACCTGGGGCAACTTGGGCCGGTAGCGAGGCACCTGGGGCAACTTGGGCCGGTAGCTAGGCACCTGGGGCACCTGGGGCTGGTAGCTAGGCACCTGGGGTTGCTGGGGCAACTTGGGCTGCTGGGGCAACTTGGGCTGGTAGCTAGGCACCTGGGGCAACTTGGGCTGGTAGCTAGGCACCTGGGGCTGCTGGGGCAACTTGGGCTGGTAGCTAGGCACCTGGGGCACCTGGGGCTGGTAGCTAGGCACCTGGGGCACCTGGGGCTGGTAGCTAGGCACCTGGGGCACCTGGGGCACCTGGGGCTGGTAGCTAGGCACCTGGGGCACCTGGGGCACCTGGGGCTGGTAGCTAGGCACCTGGGGCACCTGGGGCACCTGGGGCTGGTAGCTAGGCACCTGGGGCACCTGGGGCAACTTGGGCTGGTAGCTAGGCACCTGGGGCACCTGGGGCAACTTGGGCTGGTAGCTAGGCACCTGGGGCACCTGGGGCAACTTGGGCTGGTAGCTAGGCACCTGGGGCAACTTGGGCCGGTAGCTAGGCACCTGGGGCACCTGGGGCAACTTGGGCTGGTAGCTAGGCACCTGGGGCACCTGGGGCAACTTGGGCTGGTAGCTAGGCACCTGGGGCACCTGGGGCAACTTGGGCTGGTAGCTAGGCACCTGGGGCAACTTGGGCTGGTAGCTAGGCACCTGGGGCACCTGGGGCAACTTGGGCTGGTAGCTAGGCACCTGGGGCACCTGGGGCAACTTGGGCTGGTAGCTAGGCACCTGGGGCACCTGGGGCAACTTGGGCTGGTAGCTAGGCACCTGGGGCACCTGGGGCAACTTGGGCTGGTAGCTAGGCACCTGGGGCACCTGGGGCACCTTGGGCTGGTAGCTAGGCACCTGGGGCACCTTGGGCTGGTAGCTAGGCACCTGGGGCACCTGGGGCACCTTGGGCTGGTAGCTAGGCACCTGGGGCACCTGGGGCACCTTGGGCTGGTAGCTAGGCACCTGGGGCACCTGGGGCACCTTGGGCTGGTAGCTAGGCACCTGGGGCACCTGGGGCAACTTGGGCTGGTAGCTAGGCACCTGGGGCAACTTGGGCTGGTAGCTAGGCACCTGGGGCAACTTGGGCTGGTAGCTAGGCACCTGGGGCACCTGGGGCAACTTGGGCTGGTAGCTAGGCACCTGGGGCACCTGGGGCAACTTGGGCTGGTAGCTAGGCACCTGGGGCACCTGGGGCAACTTGGGCTGGTAGCTAGGCACCTGGGGCACCTGGGGCAACTTGGGCTGGTAGCTAGGCACCTGGGGCAACTTGGGCTGGTAGCTAGGCACCTGGGGCACCTGGGGCAACTTGGGCTGGTAGCTAGGCACCTGGGGCAACTTGGGCTGGTAGCTAGGCACCTGGGGCACCTGGGGCAACTTGGGCTGGTAACTAGGCACCTGGGGCACCTGGGGCACCTTGGGCTGGTAACTAGGCACCTGGGGCACCTGGGGCACCTTGGGCTGGTAGCTAGGCACCTGGGGCTGCTGGGGCACCTGGGTCTGGTAACTAGGCACCTGGGGCACCTTGGGCTGGTAACTAGGCACCTGGGGCACCTGGGGCTGCTGGGGCAACTTGGGCTGGTGGCTAGGCACCTGAGGCTGGTAGCTAGGCACCTGGGGCACCTGGGGCTGCTGGGGCACCTGGGGCTGCTGGGGTAGATATTTAGGCTGCTGTGGTATCTGCGGCTGCTGGTAGGTCAGCCCTTGAGGCTGCTGGGGCAGATAAGACTCTGCTACCTGGATGGTTTAAGGAGAACTGAATGAAACCTTGAATTCTGATTTGGTTCCTGTGATTCAGCTTCAGGCTGTAACTAACGGTCAGTTGTGTTAAAGCTACTTGCCTCATTTGTATCTGATGTTGAACCACCAGCAGCTGGTCCAGTGCTCCATGAAGAGTCGTCTCCAGTGTTTAAGCTATCTGAATCTGGTCGATAGCCTTCAACTGGCACGTTACCTCCATACTTCCCAGCAGATCCAGTTCTGTAAGCTGCCAAGCAAATGTTTTAGACCATGCTTACAGCCAATGTGAGTTTCACTATTCGACTAGACTTACCATCTGCCTGATGCCTTCCAACAGCTAGCAAGGACAACAGTAACCATCTATGCAAGACATCCCCGAGTTAGTGTATGCTTTAATAATCAGTTGAACAAACAAAGAATAAAACACAACCTTTAAAACTCACCTTAAGAGAAAGCCCATGGCTCCGATGAAGCAGCAAACTCTGTTCAATCAGCTCCTACCAAACCACACAACTGAGCTAAACAGAAAACAGTAACTCACTGAGGTGACTGGAACTCTTTCTAGGTCGTCCACTCTTACCTTGCTGATTACCTGGACACAGGTGTGAGTAGTTGAAGGTGGGTGTGGCTAATAAAAAGGCAGGAGAGGTCAGAATAAACTCACATCAGCAAAATTCTGTGAAATCTGTTTATATAATATGAATCCCCAGATGGGAAATTCATTCAGCGACATCAGGACATAAATAGGTACAGATAAATAGAAGAAAGCAAATAATAAACAATTCAAGATATATACAATTAAAATAGAAGTAAAAATAGTAGCTGGAAGAGGGCAATTCAACTTTGTGAATAGTAGCAGCAAAGTCAGCAAGTCTAGTATAATAATAATAATAATAATAATAATACATATTATTTATTAGTGCTTTTCTAGATACTCAAAGACACTGTACATAAAAGCAGCAAAACAACATCAAATAGTAAAACATTAAAAACACATCGGACTAAGCTAAACATTAAAAGCAATTTTAAAAAGGTGAGTTTTTGTCATTGATTTGAATGCTGGAGGGTCGGTGTTATGCAGATGATACGCAGTTATATCTATCGATCAAGCCCGATGAAATTAATCAATTATCTAAATTACAAACATGTCTTAAGGACATAAAATCCTGGATGAGCTGTAATTTTCTGATGTTAAACTCAGAAAAAAACAAAATTCTTGTTCTTGGCCCCAAAAACCTTAGAGACTCACTGTCTAAAGATATAGTTACTCTAGATGGCATTACCTTGGCCTCTAGCACCACTGTCAGGAATCTTGGAGTTATCTTTGATCAGGATTTGTCTTTTAACTCCCACATAAAGCAGACCTCTAGGACTGCCTTCTTTCATTTACGTAATATTAGAAAAATTAGACACATACTATCACAGACAGATGCAGAAAAACTAATCCATGCATTTGTTACTTCAAGGCTGGATTACTGCAACTCTTTATTATCAGGTTGCCACAATAAGTACATTAAAACGCTCCAATTAATTCAGAACGCTGCAGCACGAGTACTGACAGGAACTAGAAAAAGAGATCACATCTCTCCTGTACTAGCTTCTCTGCACTGGCTCCCTGTAAAATATAGAATAGAATTTAAAATCCTCCTCCTCACCTATAAAGCTCTTCATGGTCAGGCCCCTTCATATCTTAAAGAGCTCATAGTACCCTATTACCCCACTAGAACACTACGTTCTCTGAATGCTGGGCTACTTGTGGTTCCTATAGTCTCTAAAAGTAGAACAGGAGCCAGAGCCTTCAGTTACCAAGCTTCTCTCCTGTGGAACCAGCTTCCAGTTGTGGTTCGGGAGGCAGACACCCTCTCCACATTCAAGAGTAGGCTTAAGACATTCCTCTTCGATAAAGCTTATAGTTAGGGCTGGATCAGGTGAGTCCTGAACCATCCCTTAGTTGTGCTGCTATAGGCCTAGACTATCAGGGGATTTCCCATGGTGCACTGAGCTCCTCTCTTTCTGCACTCATTCATGTTCCATTAATGCATGTTACTAACTTCACTTCTTCCTCGGAGTTCTTGTGCTTTCTCGTCTCGCAGGTTCTTATCGATCCTTGTGGAGCCTCCTGCCATGGTCCTGCTAGATTGCCATTGCCAATACTGTTGTTGCTGTGCACCTGTCTGTCTGATCGAGGCAGACGACCACTCACCTAGAGCCGAAGGATCTGTCCTAGGTTTCTGCCTTTTTACAGGCAGTTTTTCCCTTGCCCTTGTCGCCAAGTGCTTGCTCATGGTGGTACTGTTGGGTCTCTGTTAATGTTTTAAAGAGTTCGGTCTAGACCTGCTCTATTTGAAAAGTGTCCTGAGATAACTTCTGTTATGAATTGGCGCTATACAAATAAAATTGAATTGAATATTAGTTTTTACATTTCTCAAACTCACGAAGATGCAGCACACTGAATACGGGGGGAGGGGGTACAGGTCACACTGCTGATACGACGACGCCAACGAATAACCAGTGGTATCGGAGGGGCGGCAGATTGAGAGAACTGGACTACAGAGGGGTAATTTCGATAAGTTGACTCATCCACTCACTCTGTATGAGCCCAAACTTTAACTCGTCACCATGTTACTTGCACCGATTGCTTTTCAGCAATTAAAGTGTGTTTAATTTACAGCAGGTAAGAAACCAGATTAAGAGTAACTTTGTCCATGTGAGTGTTTTAATACACATCTTGTTCTTAAATAGAAATTAGCATGAACGTGTCCCATGAACTGACCACTGAGTAATTACTGAGCAGAGAATACAAAGTTTACAGTTCTACAAGAAAAAGACCAGAAACATCAAAACATGGCAGAATACAAGGTTCGTTTATTTTAAATTTGACAAGTCAATACAAAGGCTCAGTTGTGTCGTCAATGCTTCAGTGTTGTAGTTCCTAAGGAAGAGAAATATATTCAGTGTTTGAAAACTTGACTCATCAATGGCTGAGTGAAAGTACATACTTGGGCTGCTGAGGTTAAGGCTGCTTGGGTGGGTATCCAGGCTGCTGGGGCACCTGGGGCTGCTGGGGCACCTGGGGCTGCTGGGGCACCTGGGGCTGGTAGCTAGGCAGCTGGGGCAGCTGGGGCAACTTGAGCAAGTAGCTAAGCACCTGGGGCCGCTGGAGCTGCTGGGGCTGCTGGGGCACCTGGGGCACCTGGGGCTGCTGGGGCTGGTAGCTAGGTAGCTGGGGCTGCTGGGGCACCTGGGGCTGCTGGGGCTGGTAGCTAGGCACCTGGGGCAACTTGAGCAAGTAGCTAGGCACCTGGGGCCGCTGGAGCTGCTGGGGCTGCTGGGGCTGCTGGGGCACGCTGCTAGGCACCTGGGGCACCTGGGGCACGCTGCTAGGCACCTGGGGCACCTGGGGCACCTGGGGCACGCTGCTAGGCACCTGGGGCACGCTGCTAGGCACCTGGGGCTGGTAGCTAGGCACCTGGGGCAACTTGGGCAACTTGAGCAACTTGAGCAACTTGAGCAAGTAGCTAGGCACCTGGGGCCGCTGGAGCTGCTGGGGCTGCTGGGGCATCTGGGGATGGTAGCTAGGCACCTGGGGCTGCTGGGGCACCTGGGGCTGGTAGCTAGGCACCTGGGGCCCCCGGGGCTGGTAGCTAGGCACCTGGGGCTGCTGGGGCAACTTGGGCTGGTAGCTAGGCACCTGGGGCTGCTGGGGCAACTTGGGCTGGTAGCTAGGCACCTGGGGCTGCTGGGGCAACTTGGGCTGGTAGCTAGGCACCTGGGGCCGCTGGGGCAACTTGGGCTGGTAGCTAGGCACCTGGGGCCGCTGGGGCAACTTGGGCTGGTAGCTAGGCACCTGGGGCCGCTGGGGCAACTTGGGCTGGTAGCTAGGCACCTGGGGCCGCTGGGGCAACTTGGGCTGGTAGCTAGGCACCTGGGACCGCTGGGGCAACTTGGGCTGGTAGCTAGGCACCTGGGGCCGCTGGGGCAACTTGGGCTGGTAGCTAGGCACCTGGGGCCGCTGGGGCAACTTGGGCTGGTAGCTAGGCACCTGGGGCCGCTGGGGCAACTTGGGCTGGTAGCTAGGCACCTGGGGCCGCTGGAGCAACTTGGGCTGGTAGCTAGGCACCTGGGGCCGCTGGAGCTGCTGGGGCAGCTGGGGCAACTGGGGCAACTGGGGCAACTGGGGTTGGTAGCTGGACCGCTGGTGCCGCTGGTGCAACTTGGACTGGTAGCTAGGCACCTGGGGCAACTTGGGCTGGTAGCTAGGCACCTGGGGCAACTTGGGCTGGTAGCTAGGCACCTGGGGCAACTTGGGCTGCTTGGGTAGATATTTAGGCTGCTGTGGTATCTGCGGCTGCTGGTAGGTCAGCCCTCGAGGCTGCTGGGGCAGATAAGACTCTGCTACCTGGATGGTTTAAGGAGAACTGAATGAAACCTTGAATTCTGATTTGGTTCCTGTGATTCAGCTTCAGGCTGTAACTAACGGTCAGTTGTGTTAAAGCTACTTGCCTCATTTGTATCTGATGTTGAACCACCAGCAGCTGGTCCAGTGCTCCACGAAGAGTCGTCTCCAGTGTTTAAGCTATCTGAATCTGGTCGATAGCCTTCAACTGGCACGTTACCTCCATACTTCCCAGCAGATCCAGTTCTGTAAGCTGCCAAGCAAATGTTTTAGGCCATGCTTACAGCCAATGTGAGTTTCACTATTCGACTAGACTTACCATCTGCCTGATGCCTTCCAACAGCTAGCAAGGACAACAGTAACCATCTATGCAAGACATCCCCGAGTTAGTGTATGCTTTAATAATCAGTTGAACAAACAAAGAATAAAACACAACCTTTAAAACTCACCTTAAGAGAAAGCCCATGGCTCCGATGAAGCAGCAAACTCTGTTCAATCAGCTCCTACCAAACCACACAACTGAGCTAAACAGAAAACAGTAACTCACTGAGGTGACTGGAACTCTTTCTAGGTTGTCCACTCTTACCTTGCTGATTACCTGGACACAGGTGTGAGTAGTTGAAGGTGGGTGTGGCTAATAAAAAGGCAGGAGAGGTCAGAATAAACTCACATCAGCAAAATTCTGTGAAATCTGTTTATATAATATGAATCCCCAGATGGGAAATTCATTCAGCGACATCAGGACATAAATAGGTACAGATAAATAGAAGAAAGCAAATAATAAACAATTCAAGATATATACAATTAAAATAGAAGTAAAAATAGTAGCTGGAAGAGGGCAATTCAACTTTGTGAATAGTAGCAGCAAAGTCAGCAAGTCTAGTATAATAATAATAATAATAATAATACATATTATTTATTAGCGCTTTTCTAGATACTCAAAGACACTGTACATAAAAGCAGCAAAACAACATCAAATAGTAAAACATTAAAAACACATTGGACTAAGCTAAACATTAAAAGCGATTTTAAAAAGGTGAGTTTTTGTCATTGATTTGAACGCTGGAGGGTCGGTGCAGTCGCGGATGTGTTTGAGGAGAGAATTCCAGAGGGAGGGGGCAGCTACAGAGAAGGCTTTGTTGCCCCAGGTTCGGTGCTTGGTCCTGGGTGGTGGAGTCAGGAGGTTTGAATCGGATGAGCGGAGGCTACGGGATGGATTGTGGCGGTGGAGCAGGTCAGTGATGTAGGAAGGGGCCTGGTTATGGAGTGCTTTGTGTGTGAGGAGGAGGAGGATTTTGAATTGAATTCATTATGGGACCAGGAGCCAGTGGAGGTTCTGGAGGACAGGGGTGATGTGGTCATGGGTGCAGGTGTGGGTGAGCAGACGAGCAGCAGAGTTCTGGATGTACTGGAGTTTATTTAAGGTTTTGGATGGTGTGCCGTAGAGGATGCTGTTGCAGTAGTCGATTCTGGAGGTGATGAAGGTGTGGATGAGGGTTTCTGCAGCAGAGAAGTAGAGTGATAGGCGGAGTCGGCCGGTGTTTTTTTGGTGAAAGAAGGCAGTTCTGGTGATTTGGTTTATGTGGTGTTCAAAGGATAGGTTATTGTCAAAGATGACTCCGAGGTTGCGACTGTGAGGGGATGGAGACAGGGTGGAGGTGTCGACAGTGAGGGAGAAACTGTGAACGGTTTTAGTAATGGATTTGGGGCCGATGATGATCATGTCTGTTTTGTCGCAGTTAAGTTCGAGGAAGTTGGTGTGCATCCAGGATTTAATGTCAGTGAGGCAGTTGGAGAGAGTGGAGTGAGTGGCGGAGGTGATGGATTTGGTGGAGATGTAAAGCTGGACGTCATCGGCATAGCAGTGAAAGTTGAGACCATGGTGGCAAATGATGTTGCCAAGGGGAAGCAGGTAGAGTATGAAGAGGAGAGGACCAAGCACCCAGCCCTGGGGGACGCCTTGGGACAGCGGGGCAGTGGAGGAGGTGCAGTTGTTGATGTGGATGAACTGTTGTCTGTCGGTGAGATAAGATTGGAGCCAGGACAGGGCGGTGCCGGTGAAATGGTTCAAACAGGTCATTTGAGCAGAGGTGGGTTTTGAGTTGTTTGGCGACAGTGCGCTCCAGTATTTTTTACAGAAAGGGGAGATTGGAAATGGGCCGGAAGTTTGACATGACGTCGGGGTTGAGTCCAGGTTTTTTGAGGATGGGGGTGACAGCAGCCAGTTTGAGTGAATGGGGGATTGAGCCAGAACTGAGAGAGGAGTTGATGATTTCTGTGACGAGTGTGGAGATAGCTGGTAAACAGTCCTTGATGAGGTGGGATGGGATGGGGTCCAGGACACATGTAGATGTTTTCATCCCTGTCAAGATATAGTATGAGGTGAAATGTAGTAATATATTGTATAGTAAAACAAACTATACAATATCAATAAAAAAGGCCCTGCTTACCGAAATGCTTGTTTTTCCACCCTATGCTAAATTGTTCTGGAACCGGGCGATTGGATCGTGTAAAGGATCTGAGAAGAAGGAACTGGAGAGCCCGCAGGTGGAACGGACCATAGTGGGCGGCAGTAGTTCAGTGTGTAGGGACTTGGCTTGGGTCCCACAGACCACAGTATTGAGTGTGGACTAGTAGCTGCAGAGTTGCCAGTTTTCACCTCCTGTGCTCTCCTGAGGTGCCCTTGAGCAAGGCACCTAACCCCTAGGCTGCCCACTGCTCCTAATGTATATAGGATGGGTCAAATGCAGAGGCCAAGTTTAATTTTATCTATGTCACAGTGCTGTAAATATGACCAAAAAAATAAATAAAAAATCCTCACCACGTGGACGGCAGTACAGATTGCAGAGAGGGCAACTTGGATCCACGCTAGCCACTGCAGAAGGGCCCAAGAGCCAACATAAAGCATGCATCAACATCAGTAAGTGAGCTGACGCTTTCCCCTTCCTTGTGTTTGCGAGGGAGAGAGGGGTATGGATATCTCTAGGCAGGGGTGCCGCCAGGAATTTTGGGCCCCATGACAAAAAAATCAAATTGGGCCCCCTCTGCGCAGCTGTTGTCACCACATCTCTAGGACCTAACTGTCCCATCAAAAGCTTTACATAACTCTTATTAAAGGCTTGCAACTGTTTTGCTTCTTGTAGTTCAATACTAGTTTATTTGAGGATTTTCAGTCAGGATTTAGAGTTCATCATAGCACAGAGACAGCTCTGGTTAAAGTTAATAATGACCTTCTGATTGCTTCTGACTGTACTTGTATTATTAGATCTTCCACAAGTTCCACAAGGTTCTGTACTTGGACCAATATTATTTACTTTATATATGCTCCCTTTAGGCAACATTATTAGAAATCACTCCATTAACTTTCACTGTTATGCAGATGATACACAGTTATATCTATCGATCAAGCCCGATGAAATTAATCAATTATCTAAATTACAAACATGTCTTAAGGACATAAAATCCTGGATGAGCTGTAATTTTCTGATGTTAAACTCAGAAAAAAACGAAATTCTTGTTCTTGGCCCCAAAAACCTTAGAGACTCACTGTCTAAAGATATAGTTACTCTAGATGGCATTACCTTGGCCTCTAGCACCACTGTCAGGAATCTTGGAGTTATCTTTGATCAGGATTTGTCTTTTAACTCCCACATAAAGCAGACCTCTAGGACTGCCTTCTTTCATTTACGTAATATTAGAAAAATTAGACACATACTATCACAGACAGATGCAGAAAAACTAATCCATGCATTTGTTACTTCAAGGCTGGATTACTGCAACTCTTTATTATCAGGTTGCCCCAATAAGTCCATTAAAACGCTCCAATTAATTCAGAACGCTGCAGCACGAGTACTGACAGGAACTAGAAAAAGAGATCACATCTCTCCTGTACTAGCTTCTCTGCACTGGCTCCCTATAAAATGTAGAATAGAATTTAAAATCCTCCTCCTCACCTATAAAGCTCTTCATGGTCAGGCCCCTTCATATCTTAAAGAGCTCATAGTACCCCATTACCCCACTAGAACACTACGTTCTCTGAATGCTGGGCTACTTGTGGTTCCTATAGTCTCTAAAAGTAGAACAGGAGCCAGAGCCTTCAGTTACCAAGCTTCTCTCCTGTGGAACCAGCTTCCAGTTGTGGTTCGGGAGGCAGACACCCTCTCCACATTCAAGAGTAGGCTTAAGACATTCCTCTTTGATAAAGCTTATAGTTAGGGCTGGATCAGGTGAGTCCTGAACCATCCCTTAGTTATGCTGCTATAGGCCTAGACTATCGGGGGATTTCCCATGGTGCACTGAGCTCCTCTCTTTCTGCACTCATTCATGTTCCATTAATGCATGTTACTAACTTCACTTCTTCCTCGGAGTTCTTGTGCTTTCTCGTCTCGCAGGTTCTTATCGATCCTTGTGGAGCCTCCTGCCATGGTCCTGCTAGATTGCCATTGCCAATACTGTTGTTGCTGTGCACCTGTCTGTCTGATCGAGGCAGACGACCACTCACCTAGAGCCGAAGGATCTTTCCTAGGTTTCTGCCTTTTAACAGGCAGTTTTTCCTTGCCCTTGTCGCCAAGTGCTTGCTCATGGTGGTACTGTTGGGTCTCTGTTAATGTTTTAAAGAGTTCGGTCTAGACCTGCTCTATTTGAAAAGTGTCCTGGGATAACTTCTGTTATGAATTGGCGCTATACAAACAAAATTTAATTGAATATTAGTTTTTACATTTCTCAAACTCATGAAGATGCAGCACACTGAATACGGGGGGAGGGGGTACAGGTCACACTGCTGATACGACGACACCAACGAATAACCAGTGGTATCGGAGGGGCGGCAGATTGAGAGAACTGGACTGCAGAGGGGTAATTTCGATAAGTCGACTCATCCACTCACTCTGTATGATCCCAAACTTTAACTCGTCACCATGTTACTTGCACCGATTGCTTTTCAGCAATTAAAGTGTGTTTAATTTACAGCAGGTAAGAAACCAGATTAAGAGTAACTTTGTCCATGTGAGTGTTTTAATACACATCTTGTTCTTAAATAGAAATTAGCATGAACGTGTCCCATGAACTGACCACTGAGTAATTACTGAGCAGAGAATACAAAGTTTACAGTTCTACAAGAAAAAGACCAGAAATATCAAAAACATGACAGAATACAAGGTTCGTTTATTTAAAATTTGACAAGTCAATACAAAGGCTCAGTTGTGTCGTCAATGCTTCAGTGTTGTAGTTCAATGGCTGAGTGAAAGTACATACTTGGGCTGCTGAGGTTAAGGCTGCTTGGGTGGGTATCCAGGCTGCTGGGGCACCTGGGGCAGGTAGCTAGGCACCTGGGGCAGGTAGCTAGGCACCTGGGGCAACTTGGGCAACTTCAGCAACTTGAGCAACTTGAGCAAGTAGCTAGGCACCTGGGGCCGCTGGAGCTGCTGGGGCTGCTGGGGCACCTGGGGCTGATAGCTAGGCAGCTGGGGCAACTTGAGCAAGTAGCTAGGCACCTGGGGCCCCCGGGGCTGCTGGGGCAACTTGGGCTGGTAGTTAGGCACCTGTGGCCGCTGGAGCTGCTGGGGCACCTGGGGCTGCTGGGGCTGGTAGCTAGGCACCTGGGGCCGTTGGAGCTGCCGGGCCTGCCGGGGCTGGTAGCTAGGCACCTGGGGCCGCTGGAGCTGCTGGAGCTGGTAGCTAGGCACCTGGGGCTGCCGGGGCTGGTAGCTAGGCACCTGGGGCTGCCGGGGCTGGTAGCTAGGCACCTGGGGCTGCCGGGGCTGGTAGCTAGGCACCTGGGGCCGCTGGGGCAACTTGAGCTGGTAGCTAGGCACCTGGGGCCGCTGGGGCAACTTGAGCAGGTAGCTAGGCACCTGGGGCCACTGGGGCTGCTGAGGCACCTGGGGCTGCTGGGGCACCTGGGGCTGCTGGGGCACCTGGGGCTGCTGGGGCACCTGGGGCACCTGGGGCTGCTGAGGCACCTGGGGCTCCTGAGGCTGCTGGGGCTCCTGAGGCTGCTGGGGCACCTGGGGCTGCTGGGGCACCTGGGGCACCTGGGGCTGCTGGGGCACCTGGGGCACCTGGGGCTGCTGGGGCTGCTGAGGCTGCTGGGGCACCTGGGGCTGCTGAGGCTGCTGGGGCTGCTGGGGCACCTGGGGCTGCTGAGGCTGCTGGGGCACCTGGGGCTGCTGAGGCTGCTGAGGCTGCTGGGGCACCTGGGGCTGCTGAGGCACCTGGGGCTGCTGAGGCACCTGGGGCTGCTGAGGCACCTGGGGCTGCTGGGGCTGCTGAGGCAGCTGAGGCACCTGGGGCTGCTGGGGCTGCTGGGGCTGCTGAGGCACCTGGGGCACCTGGGGCTGCTGAGGCACCTGGGGCACCTGGGGCTGCTGAGGCACCTGGGGCACCTGGGGCTGCTGAGGCACCTGGGGCACCTGGGGCTGCTGAGGCACCTGGGGCTGCTGAGGCACCTGGGGCTGCTGGGGCTGCTGAGGCAGCTGAGGCACCTGGGGCTGCTGGGGCTGCTGGGGCTGCTGAGGCTGCTGGGGCACCTGGGGCTGCTGAGGCACCTGGGGCACCTGGGGCTGCTGAGGCACCTGGGGCACCTGGGGCTGCTGAGGCACCTGGGGCACCTGGGGCTGCTGAGGCACCTGGGGCACCTGGGGCTGCTGAGGCACCTGGGGCACCTGGGGCACCTGGGGCTGCTGGGGCTGCTGAGGCACCTGGGGCTGCTGAGGCACCTGGGGCACCTGGGGCTGCTGAGGCACCTGCGGCTGGTAGCTAGGCAGCTGGGGCAACTTGGGCAACTTGAGCAACTTGAGCAACTTGAGCAAGTAGCTAGGCACCTGGGGCCGCTGGGGCTGCTGGGGCTGCTGGGGCACCTGGGGCTGCTGAGGCACCTGGGGCTGCTGAGGCACCTGGGGCTGCTGAGGCACCTGGGGCTGCTGAGGCACCTGGGGCTGCTGAGGCACCTGGGGCTGTTGAGGCAACTTGGACTGGTAGCTAGGCACCTGGGGCTGCTGGGGCTGCTTGGGTAGATATTTAGGCTGCTGTGGTATCTGCGGCTGCTGGTAGGTCAGCCCTCGTGGCTGCTGGGGCAGATAAGACTCTGCTACCTGGATGGTTTAAGGAGAACTGAATGAAACCTTGAATTCTGATTTGGTTCCAGTGATTCAGTTTCAGGCTGTAACTAACGGTCAGTTGTGTTAAAGCTACTTGCCTCATTTGTATTTGATGTTGAACCACCAGCAGCTGGTCCAGTGCTCCACGAAGAGTCGTCTCCAGTGTTTAAGCTATCTGAATCTGGTCGATAGCCTTCAACTGGCACGTTACCTCCATACTTCCCAGCAGATCCAGTTCTGTAAGCTGCCAAGCAAATGTTTTAGACCATGCTTACAGCCAATGTGAGTTTCACTATTCGACTAGACTTACCATCTGCCTGATGCCTTCCAACAGCTAGCAAGGACAACAGTAACCATCTATGCAAGACATCCCCGAGTTAGTGTATGCTTTAATAATCAGTTGAACAAACAAAGAATAAAACACAACCTTTAAAACTCACCTTAAGAGAAAGCCCATGGCTCTGATGAAGCAGCAAACTCTGTTCAATCAGCTCCTACCAAACCACACAACTGAGCTAAACAGAAAACAGTAACTCACTGAGGTGACTGGAACTCTTTCTAGGTTGTCCACTCTTACCTTGCTGATTACCTGGACACAGGTGTGAGTAGTTGAAGGTGGGTGTGGCTAATAAAAAGGCAGGAGAGGTCAGAATAAACTCACATCAGCAAAATTCTGTGAAATCTGTTTATATAATATGAATCCCAAGATGGGAAATTCATTCAGCGACATCAGGACATAAATAGGTACAGATAAATAGAAGAAAGCAAATAATAAACAATTCAAGATATATACAATTAAAATAGAAGTAAAAATAGTAGCTGGAAGAGGGCAATTCAACTTTGTGAATAGTAGCAGCAAAGTCAGCAAGTCTAGTATAATAATAATAATAATAATAATAATAATAATAATACATATTATTTATTCGTGCTTTTCTAGATACTCAAAGACACTGTACATAAAAGCAGCAAAACAACATCAAATAGTAAAACATTAAAAACACATCGGACTAAGCTAAACATTAAAAGCAATTTTAAAAAGGTGAGTTTTTGTCATTGATTTGAACGCTGGAGGGTCGGTGTTATGCAGATGATACGCAGTTATATCTATCGATCAAGCCCGATGAAATTAATCAATTATCTAAATTACAAACATGTCTTAAGGACATAAAATCCTGGATGAGCTGTAATTTTCTGATGTCAAACTCAGAAAAAAACAAAATTCTTGTTCTTGGCCCCAAAAACCTTAGAGACTCATTGTCTAAAGATATAGTTACTCTAGATGGCATTACCTTGGCCTCTAGCACCACTGTCAGGAATCTTGGAGTTATCTTTGATCAGGATTTGTCTTTTAACTCCCACATAAAGCAGACCTCTAGGACTGCCTTCTTTCATTTACGTAATATTACAAAAATTAGACACATACTATCACAGACAGATGCAGAAAAACTAATCCATGCATTTGTTACTTCAAGGCTGGATTACTGCAACTCTTTATTATCAGGTTGCCCCAATAAGTCCATTAAAACGCTCCAATTAATTCAGAACGCTGCAGCACGAGTACTGACAGGAACTAGAAAAAGAGATCACATCTCTCCTGTACTAGCTTCTCTGCACTGGCTCCCTGTAAAATATAGAATAGAATTTAAAATCCTCCTCCTCACCTATAAAGCTCTTCATGGTCAGGCCCCTTCATATCTTAAAGAGCTCATAGTACCCTATTACCCCACTAGAACACTACGTTCTCTGAATGCTGGGCTACTTGTGGTTCCTATAGTCTCTAAAAGTAGAACAGGAGCCAGAGCCTTCAGTTACCAAGCTTCTCTCCTGTGGAACCAGCTTCCAGTTGTGGTTCGGGAGGCAGACACCCTCTCCACATTCAAGAATAGGCTTAAGACATTCCTCTTTGATAAAGCTTATAGTTAGGGCTGGATCAGGTGAGTCCTGAACCATCCCTTAGTTATGCTGCTATAGGCCTAGACTATCGGGGGATTTCCCATGGTGCACTGAGCTCCTCTCTCTTTCTGCACTCATTCATGTTCCATTAATGCATGTTACTAACTTCACTTCTTCCCCGGAGTTCTTGTGCTTTCTCATCTCGCAAGTTCTTATCGATCCTGGTGGAGCCTCCTGCCATGGTCCTGCTAGATTGCCATTGCCAATACTGTTGTTGCTGTGCACCTGTCTGTCTGTCTCTCTTTCTCTCTCTCTCACGCCAACTGGTCGAGACAGACGACCACCCAACTAGAGCCGAAGGTGCTTGCTCATGGTGGTACTGTTGGGTCTCTGTAAATAATGTTATGAAGAGTTCGGTCTAGACCTGCTCTATTTGAAAAGTGTCCTGAGATAACTTCTGTTATGAATTGGCGCTATACAAATAAAATTGAATATTAGTTTTTACATTTCTCAAACTCACGAAGATGCAGCACACTGAATACGGGGGGAGGGGGTAAAGGTCACACTGCTGATACGACGACGCCAACGAATAACCAGTGGTATCGGAGGGGCGGAAGATTGAGAGAACTGGACTACAGAGGGGTAATTTCGATAAGTCGACTCATCCACTCACTCTGTATGAGCCCAAACTTTAACTCGTCACCATGTTACTTGCAACGATTGCTTTTTAGCAATTAAAGTGTGTTTAATTTACAGCAGGTAAGAAACCAGATTAAGAGTAACTTTGTCCATGTGAGTGTTTTAATACACATCTAGTTCTTAAATAGAAATTAGCATGAATGTGTCCCATGAACTGACCACTGAGTAATTACTGAGCAGAGAATACAAAGTTTACAGTTTTCTACAAGAAAAAGACCAGACACATCAAAACATGGCAGAATACAAGGTTCGTTTATTTTAAATTTGACAAGTCAATACAAAGGCTCAGTTGTGTCGTCAATGCTTCAGTGTTGTAGTTCCTAAGGAAGAGAAATATATTCAGTATTTGAAAACTTGACTCATCAATGGCTGAGTGAAAGTACATACTTGGGCTGCTGAGGTTAAGGCTGCTTGGGTGGGTATCCAGGCTGCTGGGGCGGGTATCCAGGCTGCTGGGGCGGGTATCCAGGCTGCTGGGGCGGGTATCCAGGCTGCTGGGGCGGGTATCCAGGCTGCTGGGGCACCTGGGGCTGCTGGGGCACCTGGGGCTGCTGGGGCACCTGGGGCTGCTGGGGCACCTGGGGCTGGTAGCTAGGCAGCTGGGGCAACTTGAGCAACTTGAGCAGCTGGGGCAACTTGAGCAAGTAGCTAGGCACCTGGGGCCGCTGGAGCTGCTGGGGCTGCTGGAGCTGCTGGGGCACCTGGGGCACCTGGGGCTGCTGGGGCCCCCCGGGGCTGCTGGGGCCCCCGGGGCTGCTGGGGCCCCCGGGGCTGCTGGGGCATGTAGCTAGGTACCTGGGGCAACTTGGGCAACTTGAGCAACTTGAGCAAGTTGAGCAAGTTGAGCAAGTAGCTAGGCACCTGGGGCCGATGGAGCTGCTGGGGCACCTGGGGCCCCCCGGGGCTGCTGGGGCTGGTAGCTAGGCACCTGGGGCCCACGGGGCTGCTGGGGCTGGTAGCTAGGCACCTGGGGCCCCCGGGGCTGCTGGGGCTGGTAGCTAGGCACCTGGGGCCCCCGGGGCTGGTAGCTAGGCACCTGGGGCCCCCGGGGCTGGTAGCTAGGCACCTGGGGCCCCCGGGGCTGCTGGGGCAACTTGAGCAAGTAGCTAGGCTGCTGGGGCACCTGGGGCTGCTGGGGCACCTGGGGCTGCTGGGGCACCTTGGGCTGCTGGGGCACCTTGGGCTGCTGGGGCACCTTGGGCTGCTGGGGCACCTTGGGCTGCTGGGGCAACTTGGGCTTGTAGCTGGACCGCTGGTGCCGCTGGTGCAACTTGGACTGGTAGCTAGGCACCTGGGGCAACTTGGGCTGGTAGCTAGGCTGCTGTGGTATCTGCGGCTGCTGGTAGGTCAGCCCTTGAGGCTGCTGGGGCAGATAAGACTCTGCTACCTGGATGGTTTAAGGAGAACTGAATGAAACCTTGAATTCTAATTTGGTTCCTGTGATTCAGCTTCAGGCTGTAACTAACGGTCAGTTGTGTTAAAGCTACTTGCCTCATTTGTATCTGATGTTGAACCACCAGCAGCTGGTCCAGTGCTCCACGAAGAGTCGTCTCCAGTGTTTAAGCTATCTGAATCTGGTCGATAGCCTTCAACTGGCACGTTACCTCCATACTTCCCAGCAGATCCAGTTCTGTAAGCTGCCAAGCAAATGTTTTAGACCATGCTTACAGCCAATGTGAGTTTCACTATTCGACTAGACTTACCATATGCCTGATGCCTTCCAACAGCTAGCAAGGACAACAGTAACCATCTATGCAAGACATCCCCGAGTTAGTGTATGCTTTAATAATCAGTTGAACAAACAAAGAATAAAACACAACCTTTAAAACTCACCTTAAGAGAAAGCCCATGGCTCCGATGAAGCAGCAAACTCTGTTCAATCAGCTCCTACCAAACCACACAACTGAGCTAAACAGAAAACAGTAACTCACTGAGGTGACTGGAACTCTTTCTAGGTTGTCCACTCTTACCTTGCTGATTACCTGGACACAGGTGTGAGTAGTTGAAGGTGGGTGTGGCTAATAAAAAGGCAGGAGAGGTCAGAATAAACTCACATCAGCAAAATTCTGTGAAATCTGTTTATATAATATGAATCCCCAGATGGGAAATTCATTCAGCGACATCAGGACATAAATAGGTACAGATAAATAGAAGAAAGCAAATAATAAACAATTCAAGATATATACAATTAAAATAGAAGTAAAAATAGTAGCTGGAAGAGGGCAATTCAACTTTGTGAATAGTAGCAGCAAAGTCAGCAAGTCTAGTATAATAATAATAATAATAATAATACATATTATTTATTAGTGCTTTTCTAGATACTCAAAGACACTGTACATAAAAGCAGCAAAACAACATCAAATAGTAAAACATTAAAAACACATTGGACTAAGCTAAACATTAAAAGCGATTTTAAAAAGGTGAGTTTTTGTCATTGATTTGAACCCTGGAGGGTCGGTGTTATGCAGATGATACGCAGTTATATCTATCGATCAAGCCCGATGAAATTAATCAATTATCTAAATTACAAACATGTCTTAAGGACATAAAATCCTGGATGAGCTGTAATTTTCTGATGTTAAACTCAGAAAAAAACAAAATTCTTGTTCTTGGCCCCAAAAACCTTAGAGACTCACTGTCATAAGATATAGTTACTCTAGATGGCATTAACTCAGGAATCTTGGAGTTATCTTTGATCAGGATTTGTCATTTAACTCCCACATAAAGCAGACCTCTAGGACTGCCTTCTTTAATTTACGTAATATTAGAAAAATTAGACACATACTATCACAGACAGATGCAGAAAAACTAATCCATGCATTTGTTACTTCAAGGCTGGATTACTGCAACTCTTTATTATCAGGTTGCCCCAATAAGTCCATTAAAACGCTCCAATTAATTCAGAACGCTGCAGCACGAGTACTGACAGGAACTAGAAAAAGAGATCACATCTCTCCTGTACTAGCTTCTCTGCATTGGCTCCCTGTAAAATGTAGAATAGAATTTAAAATCCTCCTCCTCACCTATAAAGCTCTTCATGGTCAGGCCCCTTCATATCTTAAAGAGCTCATAGTACCCTATTACCCCACTAGAACACTACGTTCTCTGAATGCTGGGCTACTTGTGGTTCCTATAGTCTCTAAAAGTAGAACAGGAGCCAGAGCCTTCAGTTACCAAGCTTCTCTCCTGTGGAACCAGCTTCCAGTTGTGGTTCGGGAGGCAGACACCCTCTCCACATTCAAGAGTAGGCTTAAGACATTCCTCTTTGATAAAGCTTATAGTTAGGGCTGGATCAGGTGAGTCCTGAACCATCCCTTAGTTATGCTGCTATAGGCCTAGACTATCAGGGGATTTCCCATGGTGCACTGAGCTCCTCTCTTTCTGCACTCATTCATGTTCCATTAATGCATGTTACTAACTTCACTTCTTCCTCGGAGTTCTTGTGCTTTCTCGTCTCGCAGGTTCTTATCGATCCTTGTGGAGCCTCCTGCCATGGTCCTGCTAGATTGCCATTGCCAATACTGTTGTTGCTGTGCACCTTTCTGTCTGATCGAGGCAGACGACCACTCACCTAGAGCCGAAGGATCCGTCCTAGGTTTCTGCCTTTTAACAGGCAGTTTTTCCTTGCCCTTGTCGCCAAGTGCTGCTCATGGTGGTACTGTTGGGTCTCTGTTAATGTTTTAAAGAGTTCGGTCTAGACCTGCTCTATTTGAAAAGTGTCCTGAGATAACTTCTGTTATGAATTGGCGCTATACAAATAAAATTGAATATTAGTTTTTACATTTCTCAAACTCACGAAGATGCAGCACACTGAATACGGGGGGAGGGGGTAAAGGTCACACTGCTGATACGACGACGCCAACGAATAACCAGTGGTATCGGAGGGGCGGCAGATTGAGAGAACTGGACTACAGAGGGGTAATTTCGATAAGTCGACTCATCCACTCACTCTGTATGAGCCCAAACTTTACCTCGTCACCATGTTACTTGCACCGATTGCTTTTTAGCAATTAAAGTGTGTTTAATTTACAGCAGGTAAGAAACCAGATTAAGAGTAACTTTGTCCATGTGAGTTTTTTAATACACATCTAGTTCTTAAATAGAAATTAGCATGTACGTGTCCCATGAACTGACCACAGAGTAATTACTGAGCAGAGAATAAAGTTTACAGTTTTCTACAAGAAAAAGACCAGAAATATCAAAAACATGACAGAATACAAGGTTCGTTTATTTTAAATTTGACAAGTCAATACAAAGGCTCAGTTGTGTCGTCAATGGTTCAGTGTTGTAGTTCCTAAGGAAGAGAAATATATTCAGTGTCTGAAAACTTGACTCATCAATGGCTGAGTGAAAGTACATACTTGGACTGCTGAGGTTAAGGCTGCTTGGGTGGGTATCCAGGCTGCTGGGGCACCTGGGGCTGCTGGGGCACCTGGGGCTGCTGGGGCACCTGGGGCTGCTGGGGCACCTGGGGCTGCTGGGGCACCTGGGGCTGCTGGGGCACCTGGGGCTGGTAGCTAGGCAGCTGGGGCAACTTTGGCAACTTGAGCAGCTGGGGCAACTTGAGCAAGTAGCTAGGCACCTGGGGCCGCGGGAGCTGCTGGGGCTGCTGGAGCTCCTGGGGCCCCCGGGCTGCTGGGGCCCCCGGGGCTGCTGGGGCACGTAGCTAGGCACCTGGGGCTGCTGGGGCACGTAGCTAGGCACCTGGGGCTGCTGGGGCACGTAGCTAGGCACCTGGGGCTGCTGGGGCACGTAGCTAGGCACCTGGGGCAACTTGGGCAACTTGAGCAAGTTGAGCAACTTGAGCAAGTAGCTAGGCACCTGGGGCCGATGGAGCTGCTGGGGCTGCTGGGGCACCTGGGGCCCCCGGGGCTGCTGGGGCTGGTAGCTAGGCACCTGGGGCCCCCGGGGCTGCTGGGGCTGGTAGCTAGGCACCCGGGGCCCCCGGGGCTGCTGGGGCTGGTAGCTAGGCACCTGGGGCTGCTGGGGCAACTTGAGCAAGTAGCTAGGCTGCTGGGGCACCTGGGGCTGCTGGGGCACCTGGGGCACCTTGGGCTGCTGGGGCAACTTGGGCTTGTAGCTGGACCGCTGGTGCCGCTGGTGCAACTTGGACTGGTAGCTAGGCACCTGGGGCACCTGGGGCTGCTGGGGTAGATATTTAGGCTGCTGTGGTATCTGCGGCTGCTGGTAGGTCAGCCCTTGAGGCTGCTGGGGCAGATAAGACTCTGCTACCTGGATGGTTTAAGGAGAACTGAATGAAACCTTGAATTCTGATTTGGTTCCTGTGATTCAGCTTCAGGCTGTAACTAACGGTCAGTTGTGTTAAAGCTACTTGCCTCATTTGTATCTGATGTTGAACCACCAGCAGCTGGTCCAGTGCTCCACGAAGAGTCGTCTCCAGTGTTTAAGCTATCTGAATCTGGTCGATAGCCTTCAACTGGCACGTTACCTCCATACTTCCCAGCAGATCCAGTTCTGTAAGCTGCCAAGCAAATGTTTTAGACCATGCTTACAGCCAATGTGAGTTTCACTATTCGACTAGACTTACCATATGCCTGATGCCTTCCAACAGCTAGCAAGGACAACAGTAACCATCTATGCAAGACATCCCCGAGTTAGTGTATGCTTTAATAATCAGTTGAACAAACAAAGAATAAAACACAACCTTTAAAACTCACCTTAAGAGAAAGCCCATGGCTCCGATGAAGCAGCAAACTCTGTTCAATCAGCTCCTACCAAACCACACAACTGAGCTAAACAGAAAACAGTAACTCACTGAGGTGACTGGAACTCTTTCTAGGTTGTCCACTCTTACCTTGCTGATTACCTGGACACAGGTGTGAGTAGTTGAAGGTGGGTGTGGCTAATAAAAAGGCAGGAGAGGTCAGAATAAACTCACATCAGCAGAATTCTGTGAATTTATGAAATGTGTTTATATAATATGAATATAATATATAAATATAGATAATTCAAGATACATACAACTAGAACAAGAAATAAAAATGGTAGCCGGAAGAGGGCAAGTAATTAGTGATTGATTGTTTAGTAGCAGCAAAGTCAGCAAGTCTAGTATGTAAACAGCATACAAGAGACTATTACATAATATGATTAAGTAATGATATGTAAATATAGCATGGGATAAAAGAATGGGAAGATATAGTATGAGGTGAAATGTAGTAATATATTGTATAGTAAAACAATAAACTATATAATACTGTATGTTAATAGTATAGTGCAATAAATTATACACGTAGTATAATATTTAAGAAAATATAAACTTTTTTTTTTAAATTATCTTTATAAATAAAAACAATGTAGATATTTTAAGTTTTTGTCAGTGTTTTTTTTTTTTTTCGTGTGTGTCCCTTTAAGAACTACATTTCCTATCAGCAACCACGTTACACAACGCGAACGCTACTTCCTGGAACGAAATTCCAAAATAAGAACACGTTCGAATGTCGTTCGCTATCTCCGCCACGGATTAGAACGCGAACCTAAAACCCGGCTTTTATTTTGAAATCAAGGTCATTCCTCCGCGTTTCGTCGCTCTCTGGCGGAGCCACTGATCGCCCGGGACCGGCCGAGTGTAATCCTGCATGAAACCGTGCGGCTTTTCAGGCAAGCACAGTCCGCCGCGATGAAGCTTCCTTTGGCCGGGGCCGTGCTGCTGTCGGCGGCCGCCTACTACGTCTACCTGCCGCTACCGAGCGGCGTGAGCGAGCCGTGGAAGCTGATGCTGCTGGACGCGCTGTTCCGGAGCTTCATGAAGGCGGTGAGAGCTGGAGGATGCACCGACAGGAGAGCAGAGGAGGACAGGTTGATGAGAGAGAGAGAGAGGGGGGGGAGGAGAGAGGTGGCAGGGTTAGAAAAACAAGAGTGTATTGGAATATAATTTATACTTTAATAGAGAAACTGTGGCATGAAACAGAGATAATATTCGAGATAATATTCGAGATATCAGTATTGCATTGATATTTGTGGAATAGCACAACCTGGTGTAGAGAATATATATATGTGGAATAGAAGAAAATAGAGTAGAAAACAGTAGAATTTGATAATACAGAGATTTTGAAATCATTAGATTCAGTAAATTTACCAGAATAAGAGATCAGATTCAGTAAGAATAGAGTAAAACATCAATACTATACTATATTATACAAGTTATAGTATAATATACAGTATAATTTAATGCTATATACTATGTATATGTAATTGAAAAGAATAGAATAGAGCACAAGTGGGCTGGGGAATACAGTATAACTTGATTTGAACGTTTTAAGGTAATTTTGAGGACTAAGTTTTGCTTCATGGGTTGAGAAACTTGCATTATCATCCATATAAAGACCTTTAACCCGGCTGCTGAGCGGCCTGCAACCTGCATCAACCTTGTGCACATGTGACAGAGCTGTAATTCCTATATAACATGTTCGATTTAACTTTTAAGCTCTTAAGCTCACCAAGTGGCACACCCTTAAAACTCTTTTCAGTCTTGCAGTGCGACAGGTTTTCACACCCTGCTCACTCTCTCCCTGCAGCAGTGCAGACTCCCACCTTTATTCCAGGGTTTTAATACTCAACACAACGGCAGGGAGAGACTCCGGATCACCTTTACAAACAAATACATAACAAGTTGTAAGTTTAAGGGCGTAAAACCAAGTGGTGGAAGTACTTTTACTCACATTTTCTGCCACTTTATCTACTACATTACTGCATTCGTTCATATTTATGATACAAAACATGTCAACAAATACACTATTATGTAATATTATTGATTAAGATAGAACTTTATTGATCCCTGAAGGGAAAGTCACAAGCTACGTAACAGATAAAATATATATGCAGCAACAATAAAGAACTTTTGTGTTGATTCTGGCGCCCCCTGTGGACTGAGGCGGTAGTGAAATAGCCAATTTTAGTACTGATGGTCTCCTGTGTGTATCTGAGTCATATAGAGGCAAACTGAGACTATTTCAGTTAAAAACTCCTCGTTCGTTTAAGTAAAAGATCTGAGTTCTTCTTCCACCTCTGATTTAAAACATTTCTGCTTCCACTCAAAGAAAACAAACTCTTCTAAAACTTTCCTCAAGTTGCTTTGACAGATGTTTAAAACTCAGCATGTAATAACTGACATGTGTGTGTGTTTGTTTGTGTTTCCAGAGTGACGTGGCTCACGCGCTGGGCGTGTGCCATCGGGTCCACCTGTTGAACCAGGTGGTGTCCTGGGTGGAGGTGATCGAGGCTCGCTCCGGCCCCACGGTGCTCGTGGCTGACTCCACGCTGGGCGGCGTGCCCACCCGGGTCTTCCAGCCGAAGGCGGGGAAGCAGCTGAAAAGAGGAGTCGTATACTTCCACGGAGGAGGATGGGCCCTCGGCAGTGGACGTGAGTGCTGAGTTTAAAACCCTAAAAGCAGCAGAAAAAGAAGATTTCTTTACTTTTTTAATAACTGTAGTCAAATTGTATTCCCACTTACAGTTTAGTCTGATAATAAAAAGCAACATTCATCACTGTGGAATATGATATGTGGGCTACATTAGTGTTTACAGGATATCGTGATCACTTACTGAGTCTGTCTGCGTCACAGGGATGCGATCATATGACCTGCTTTGTCGGAAGATGGCGGAGGACCTGGACTCTGTTGTCATGTCTGTGGAGTAAGTTCTGTCACATTACAGCGAAAGAAGGAAATGTTGTATTTGAGCCTCTAGTTGGTATTTTACAGTAACAAAGGTTTTTATTTCATCCATTATAATTCATTTGTGATTTCCAATGAAAGGCCAATATTGACATTTAGCAGTTCTTTAAATAGTGTATCTGAAAACACGTTTGTTCCCAAAGGTGGATGAAAGCTTCTTAAAAAAACTGTGTGAAAAAGGAGAACATTTGAATTAAAAATGACATATTTGGGGCTTTTCAAATCACTTTGTATTATATAAACTATAATTTGAGCTGCACTTGTCACAAAAAAAAAACAGTTTACAGTTAACTGCAGTGACCAGTGTCTACTAACATCAGAATTTGGGGACAAATATGGAAGAAAAATACATTTAAACCAATGAAGAAGCGCCCACTTTGCCCTTTAAAGTCTTATATAACACAATCATTCTGTCCTCCTGTGATGTCCTGTTGCTATAGTTACCGTCTCGCTCCAGAGGCCGTGTTCCCAGATCAGTACCACGATGCGTTAGCGGCGTCGCGGGCCTTCCTGTCCCCCGAGGTTTTAGAGCGCTACAGCATCGATCCGGAGAGGGTGTGTGTGTCCGGAGACAGCGCCGGAGGAAACCTCGCAGCTGCTGTGGCACAGGAGGTAAACAAAACAAACGCACACACGGAAATCTCACTCGAGGTGAGAGCTTAAAATTCTTCATCTGAAAGCTTAACACAAAGGTTTACAGCTCTTGTTTGTAAGGCTATTACTGTTTCTCAATCCTGGCTGGAAAAAAACCCAAGAAATGTTGATGTGATTGAAGTGCAGACAGCAGATCAGAGTCTCTCTGACACCAGCTGGGGTCAAAATGTGTGTTAGGTCAGCCAGAAATTATATTCTGAGGCATTTTACGCCCTGATAACAAGACAGTTGTGGTTGAAACACAAAGTTTTAAAGGCACTATGTGAAGTAAACTTACATCTTACACACAAAGTGGCATCCCAGATATTGAAGGTATTAAGTAATAAGGCCCTGTTTACACGCGTGGGTGGACGATGAACTGGGGTTGTTACTCATAGGGAACATAAAGCATCAAAGTGTATCTACTGGGCAACGTTTCCAACGATTACAGTCTGGGACTGGATTTAAAAAGTTTGTGCTTTCAGGCTCCCAAACCGCCGTTGTCGTGTAAACATAGTTATAGTTATATAGTTATATCATCTGTAATTTGATCTACAACCTGTCCCACAGCTCAGCTCAGATGACAGTCTGACAGTGAAGTTCAAGGTCCAGGCTCTGATCTACCCGGTGCTGCAGGCGCTCGACTTCTACACCCCGTCCTACCAGCAGAACCAGGCCGTGCCCATCCTCTACAGGCCCTACATGGCTCGTTTCTGGCTGCAGTACCTGGGCGCCGACTCCTCCCTGGAGCCCCTCCTGCTCGCTAACAACCACAGCTCCCTGGACCAGCCGACCATCAGCGCCAGCACCCGCTCCAAGCTGGACTGGACCGCTTTGCTCCCGGCTAAACGCAGGAAACACTTCCGGCCGGTCGTCAAAGAAACGGGATCGCCGGGGGTGATGGGCGAGCTGCCGGAGCTGATGGACGTGAGGGCGGCACCGCTGCTGGCGGAGCAAGGGGTTCTGGGTCGGACGCCTAAAGCATACGTGATGACCTGCGAGTATGACGTGCTGAGGGATGACGGGTTGATGTACGTCAGGCGCCTGCAGGACGCCGGCGTCACGGTGACCAGCGATCACTACGAGGACGGTTTTCACGGCTGCATGGTGTTTGCGTTCCTGCCGATGATGTCTAGCGTTGGACAGAGGAGCATGAACAACTACATCCACTGGCTGGAGCAGAATCTGTAGACAATCAATACAATCCAGGATCTGTATGGTCCGTGTGCGGAACCAAAGATGTCCTGGAGCAGAAAGTCTGGTACTTGAGAGCTCCTTGTTGGACCTGCAGAAAGACTTTGGTTATCATAAATGTAATCGTGGTCGATTCATTCCTGGTGAGAACTGATTACGCAGAATGTAAACATGGAGGAGGTCACTATAGTGTTAATGTTGGAAGATCTTAATAACATCTCGTGGATGTGCAGCGATTAAAGCCGCAAACGTGCATTCAAACACGTCTTTTATGAGCAAATAAATCAACGCAGTGTAGTTTAAAATCTGGAATTCGAATGGACCACAAAGCGTCCTCGCTGGACCCTGAAACCAAAATGTTTTCCAATCAAATGTAACCAAAGAAAGTGACGCTTTCACACTTACGTCAAAGGCCATAAATCCAATGCAACAGTTTGGAGAGTGACAGTATACTTCAACGCTCATTATTTTCAAGACAAACAAAAATCCTGGAGTTTACAGAAGGGCTAACGAGGTTTATGTTCAATAACAGAACATTGTTAAAACACTAGAGCTACAGGACGCTCTCTAGTAAAACCACTGCTATTAGTATCAGTTTTTAAAAATGTCTACACTTACTGTACGTAGATATAATACGGGCTAGGCTCATCTGTGTTGAACAGACAACCAAATTTTGAAGATGTTACAAGATAAAAGTGACATATAATCACACTAAAATTAGTTTTCAGGTGTAACTAGCTAGCTCACGATTGATGTAGAATAGTCAGTTATCATCGACATATACAGATAGATGGACCTTGCGTCTCCACTTTCTGCCACTGTACGCAAGTGAAAACAAAATATTCTGGTTATGGCCGCTGCTATCTTGCGCTGGTAGCGTCATTTGAGTCAGAATTAAAACTTATAATAAAAAGCGAACACTCGAACACATCAACGTAATAAAAATTACCTAAAAATTACCTAAAAAAAGCTTAGCACACAGCATATCTGAGTACAGGGAAGGAGAAAGTTGCCATTGGAGTTTTAAAATCATGAACACAAACACATCAGAGTCGTCCGGTTAAACTGTCTGTTACGGTTGTTAATGGTGTTTATTTGATGTTTAATAAACAGATAAAACATTGGATATAAAGCATCGATATAAAAGTCAACAACCTTCGAGGGGAAACATCTGGACAAATTAAAACTCTGGTATGATTTTGTAAGTAACTGTAAATGATGAGCTTTGAATAAGTTGCCTAACAGACTAGTCTTAGAGCTCAAAGTCACTCTTCAAGTTTATCTTCAGCTTTTATTCTTTTACGATGCACTGAGACACTGAAACAGTTTGCTCACACACACACAAACAGGCCAGTCAAGGTTACAGTGTGTGTGTGTGTGTGTGTGTGTGTGTGTGTGTGTGTGTGTGTGTTCGTGTGTGTGTAAAAGTATGCCAGAGTTCACATCTGTCACTGGATTGTGCAATATTGTATGTTTAAAAGTATCCCTCGCCCTCTGTAACTCCACTCTCTGATGACCACTGTACTGCAGAGCCAATGCAATGACGACGACGACGACGATGATGATGATGATGATGACGATGATGATAGCTGTGAAATTTATGCGAGAATTACTGTATCACCACGACAGAAGAGATCCCAAATGGACTATCATGTTCCCCCTCCCCTCAGCCGCTGCTGGCCCCAAAACTAATATAATGAACCGACGACAGCGAGCGTCAGACAGACTCGGTGTTTGGCTTTCGGCCCACGAACGCAGCGAGCCAAGAGCGTAGCAGAAACACTGAGCCGAGTGTGGTCATTACAAGGGCTTCACATTATTCAGAAAGAACATGTTGGAAGTGTATCAGCGACTGTCAGGAGGTTTTCTTCTTTCCTTAAAAGTAAAATAAGTCACTCATGAATAAGAAATGTGGATTTTTGAGGCGACTGTGGAGAAGAGACTTTTTGAATGTTTCTCAAGTGCTGTGATTTTTTTTTTAATGCTGTATGTGAAATTACGCATTAAATGGGTTTTATACTGTATAAATAAGGTTTTAATACGAGTCGGGTTTGGCAACAGGTTGTTTCAGTCGAGCAAATATAGAAAACTGGCCCCAGATGTGCTCCTGCAGCGCTAATAAAGCCCATAAGTTAGCTGCTTTATTGGCTTCTGTGACAACTCTAGTGGTTTATAGGGAGCAGGATCACAATATTTCTTGTTTTCTTTATGTTATTGTTTTAATAATGTACTGTATAATCCGGTGAGGATGTCAGTGCACACACACACACACACGTATACATACACATATATATATATATATGTATACGTGTGTGAAAGCATAACAGTGTTTAACTATGATTACGAGGACTAAGAGCTGCTGCGCCTGTAGAGGGCGTCCGGTGGCCATATTGGAGGTTAAACAGAGCATTTGGCATTTGATATAAGAGCTTAAAGCACAAGTGATCATTTAGTCACAATTAGCTAAATTAAATGTTTTTAAAAAAGTGCTGATGTGCTTTTTAGTTCTACAGTATAAATTGCTTAAATTTTGCTCTTAAAAAAACATGTATATGTAAATTTATGACACAAAGAGCTGTAATAATTAGTTAATTGAGAATGAATCAGCAACGTTTGAGTCCTATTTCAAGAAAAATGTGTCAAGAAGAAACGTTTGCTGCTCAAATGTGAAGATTTTCTCCTTTTTTCTTTCTTTTAAACTCACTGTAAACTGAATATCTTTGGACTTTTGACATTATTCCTTATTTGCTGTTGCTGCTGTTCAAGTATTAATTTTAAATAATCATTAGTTGCAGCTGTAATCACGTTAAACACCATTTCATGTCACACTGAGCAGCATTTTACATGATTAATTCAGATTTAAACGTTGGGGGTTTCCAGACATTTCCCATGCATTTTAAACCTCCAGTGAAGTACATGTTAAATGCTTGATACCTACCCATATTAATGAGACCAAGATGTAGATATTTGGTTAAAATAAGAATATTTAAAGTCTTTACCATCCTGTTATGGTTCAGTTTTTATGTTTTTTTGTTTAGAAAGTGAGTGTCAACCTCCAGAATGGCTCCAGATGTAGGTCGTTTGGTGATTTGAGACGCTGTAATTGCATTTAATTCCTCTATATTGTACTAATTGATTGAATTGTGATGTAACGGGGGCTTAAGTGGGAAAACCTACTGTATCTGCACACAATGTAAAAATGTTCACAATTTACTATTTTTTATGATTTATTTATGAAAAACAAAGATTATAATGACACATATAGAGATGTTTTTGTTGCTTGTTCTGTGCAAAAATCACAAATCACACAAATAAAGTTAATATCCCTAATAAACAGCCTGTAAGTGTACTTTGTGTAAGACTACAAATCAGTAGTTATTAACTATTAGGTTTTTGTTTATCATTACTGATGGAATTAATAACTTCAAAAACTAATTTTTAATGATAGTTTATATGGTTATCAATAACATATATATTAGTGGGTATTAAATATATAGTTGTTTTTAATAAAGTTAATTTTACTTATTAATTATTACAAATATAGCAATTCTATTAATAAATGTGTTGTATTATGTCACTATTTATAATTATCAGTTATCATATGTACAATTATTTATGATTATTTATGATTATTGGTTACCATGGATATCAAATATATTGTATTTTTAATTAAAACCACTGGTATTAGTGACTAAATCACAGTTTAGTTAAGTTATTAGTTATGTTATCGTTATTATATATCACTATTAATAATTATTAGTTATAAAAGTTATAAAAAATTAATTGTTCATTAAAAAACAATTATGTAATTATTAATTGACAGTTATTGATTATAGAGATTATAGAGGTTTTTATGGGTCAGTATCTAATTTCAAAATAAAAGTCTGACACGGGAGATGGCGCCAAATCCTCCTCCTCCTCTGCACCGGCCTCCCATCAGTAAATCAGCTGTTATAAATAAGTGAAGATATCATTTATCAGAGGAATCATCTGTGTTTTATTCCTTTTGTTCTCCCTTTTCATGTCAGATTTATGAAGACCATAAAATTTAAGGGTTTTTCTGTGATGGATTTACACTTCAATACTTTTTTTTTAATCCCTGGATTCAGACGTTGGTTGTGATTTATGCCTGTGATCTGTGAACTTTCTCCATGTGTCATCCTGGTGGAAGTTTCCTCACCTCTCGCTGGATATCAAAAGAGACAAAACCCCCACTTCTGTTTCTGTCCTTCTCCGTGCTTCACTTCTATCTCCTACTGACACAAGCTCTAGCTCTCTTCAAGTCAAAGCCTGCAGAGGGAACAGAAACCAAATCCATCAGGTCATCGCGTGACAGAATGCAACGTGCCTGTCAGATCATGTGATCAGGAAAGGTGAGCAGAAAACACGCTTCTCCTGACAGACAGGTTTTGTTGTTTGTGTGCCATTAGCAGCCAAAAACCCAGCATCACCAGACTCGCATCTGGAGTGGCCACGGGGCATTTGCTCGGTGTTTGTCTGCTCACATCTAACACAGTTGATTAGTGTGCGATTGCCCATCAGGACCTGATTACTGTGTGTGTGGGTGGTGGATCTGCAACGCTGCAGCCTGCTGCCAAACAGGCCGCACGACTGAGTGCTTAGTTCTGTACGAGTATCCACTCAGCCATTGTTTTTCCATAACCACTAAATCCCATTTAGATTCACAGCAGAGCAGAGAGCTTATCCCAGCATGCACTTTGTTCACGGATCAAGAGGGTGGATCTTTTAAAGTCCACAATTCAAGATAGAATAAGTTATAGGAGGTCAGCAAGAGTCTGAGACATGCAGATTTATTTCTTTTTAGCCTGAATTTAGAGGAAACATTAGGTTTAACCCTTGCAGCTCTCGGTATCCCCTAACCCACGCGGCCTGCCTCTAGCGGCACGCTGAGGGATCGGAAATATATATGTTTTAATTAAATAAAACTGAGATCACTGCAGTGTAATTTCTAATAAGTTTTGCATTTATATTCTTGTAATTTGTAATATTTTGTTACAGTATCAGCGTGCTACGTAGTCACGTTCATGCCCGTAGCGCACGCAGACATCCAGAACAGCCTTCAATACTCACATTTAAGAAGCTGGAAGCAGATAATCTTTAGCATTTTTGCTTAAAAAACCACTGAAACAACAGTTTGATTATTTTATTAGTTAACCAACCAATCTAATAATGTTTTTAAATGAAATTAATTCATAAAAAAAAACACATAATAATATCAAAATACTACAAAATTTCAAATGAAAATACTAAACTGAGATCACAGCAGTGTCATTTAAAATAAGTTTTGCATTTCCTGTTTCCAGGTTTCAATATCAGCCTGCTACGTAGTCACATTCATGCACGTAGTGTACGCATACATGCATGATTAGTTACAATCTTAAATGTGATGGTAATATGGTAAACAGAGGTCAAATTAACGGCTGAAAAACCGAGAAATCTAGCATCCAAACGGGGAACTACTGGGAAGAGAAGTGTGGACCAGGAGGATTTAGGATTTAACAACAGTGAGCCATAAATAATCTTATTATTAGGAATAAACCGGCCTCCTGTATGAACTAGCTGTAGCTGAACAGGTCCGGCCTGAGATTGTACGCCGGTGTTAAAAGCTTGAGAAACACTGCTGTACTGTACTTGTGGATCTGTGTGCACTGTACCTGATTACTAAATGACAGGATATATAGTGCAGGGGGGAGGAGGGAGCTCATATATTGCTCCAGGGCCCCCTTTGAGCATAATCCATCCATACCTCAGGGTCTCATATGCAGACATTTCCACTCCACCCAGGCGGGAATTTAAACAAAAAAACACTTTCATGCAACTTTTCACACTGACGTTAATTAAAAAAAAACATCAGGTGTGACACACAGGAGAAGATTAAAAAACAGTGATGTGACGCTCGGCTGTAGTGTGAACATATATTTAGTGCATGTCTGTGTTTGACCCCGTGGAGGCCCGACTTCCTCCCTGCCCCCTGGTGCCACTCGTTAATCACCGGGTGCAGAGATGATCATTTCTAAGAAAAACAGAGGCGCCGGGAGCGAAAACAAACCGGCGAGAATGTGAAAGGAAAGCCGGAGCGGCGGGGAATTCATGAGGGAGAATGTTATCGCTGCGAGTAAAGGTCATATTGTTCACTTCTTCCTGACAGGCGGAGAGAGAGAGAGAGAGAGAGAGAGAGAGAGAGAGAGAGAGAGAGAGAGAGGGGAGGGAGTGTAAGTCAATTTGGAAAGAGGTGGAGGGGGCGAGCAAGGGAGGGTGAGACTGCAAAAAGGGGAAAGAGAGAGAGAGAGAGAGAGGGAGGACAGAGAAAGATTGGTGGGGAGGAAACCACAATGTGGGGCCTCAAACTGCACAAGGACACATTCTGTATGTTTGCACACACAAAGACATGGACTCCA